TTTTTTTAAAATTTTTTAAAGGATGACTGAGTTGAAGAAAAGCTATTCCATTTTTTTAATCTATTATTATTAATCTATGATGTTTTATTTGATGATAAATAATCATTTTTAAGGTCCTTAATTTCTACAAAAAAAGTCCTTAATTTTTTTGATAAAAGTCCTTAAAAGTGCTTAATTTTTGCTTTGATAAAAAAGTGGGAACCCTGTAAATGCAAAAATTTACCACGATCAATGAACAATCCTGCTAATATTTCCAGTATTTGTTTATGCAGTCACACTTACCAGACATTTTATTTATAACACACTTTTTCTTATTATCTTCAATTTATATTTGACCTTACATTATTTTTTTCTTCTTATTTTTAGAATTTTCAAAAAATTCTGTTGCACTTTGTCAGTATTTTTCCTTTTCTACCAGGATTAAATAATACTATTGAAAAGATTGCCAACATTTCAGAGGTATGTATTTAGTTTTTCTTTTTTTCTGAAATAACAACACATAATAAGTACAGTAATTTCTGATAGATTTGCTGCACCTGCGAAAAAGTGCAATCATCATATAGACTGCACCGCCGTAAAAGTTGCACCGCCTTTTTCTTTCCCACTAACATACAATAAAGTATGAAATGTCACTAGATTTACTCAATTATATTGGCAAGAAGTACTACATATTAACCTGGTTACAATTTGCCTTTCAAATACAGAATTAAAGTTTGAAGTTAAATAAAAGTTATTTGCAGTTAAAAGAAAGAAAGTAACATCTTTAAATATGCGAAATAGTTAGCACCACATTGGTCGTCACATTGATTCTTATCAAATATCACATGTGTGAAAATGCACTTGAAAAATAACAATCTTTAAAACATAAAATCTATACTTATAAAACAGTTATTAGTAATCTTTTTTTTTATATGCACTTATTATAAAAAGAAAAAATTGAGAATGATACTTACTTAACAGAAGAAACATATACAGTAGGGAACCGATTATCTGGAATGATTGGGACCATCGCCATTCCGGATAACTGATTTTTCCGGTTTTCTGAATCGCTACAAAAAGCTGTTTTTCTATAGTTAAACTCAACTAAAAAAAAATTTTTGGAAATATTCTTAAAAAGAAAAAAAAACGAAGTAATACACTAATGATTATTTCCAAAATGATGGTAAGGTAAAAAAAATTTCAAAAAAAAAGCAAAAAATCCTGAAATCTTATGAGGAAAAAAAATTTTTCTTTTTAAAAAATGGCGGGAAAATTTATCGAATTTCGTTCCGGTTTTATGGTTTTCCGGTTTTCTGATTTCCGGATAACGAGTTCTGTACTGTATAACCAATCAGAATCATAATTTGAGAACGTATACGTGATAAGAGATAAACTAATCACAAAATGAAAATAAATCACCAACTTTTTTTTCTTCAAATATTTCCAATCTTATATTTCATCAACACTTTCGGATATTCGAATAATATTGGTTTTAGTTTTATTAGAAAATGGTGATAAGACTTTTAATAGCTTGGGAAAGTGATAAGTCCCATATTGCATTACAATGGTCTTATTAATATTGTCCAGAAACAGATAAAAGCTTTTTTCTTAGGTTAATCTTCATTTCTCAATGTAACTATCTCTTTTAACATAGGCTCTTGTCTGAATAAAATCCTATTTTAATGTCTATGGTGCTATAACTTTCTACAACCACTGGCTGTATTTCAAACTTTAAATGTTAATGATTTTAAATATATATATTTTATTAATTTTCATTTTAATGGTATGTATGCATTTTTATATAGATCAAACTTAATATTCAGTGTTGAATTTGTTTTCTGTATATTCTTTAAAGATTGTCAGTTTCTTTATGACTACCTGTTCTTGAGAATAATTTTCTCTCTTTTACTGTCTTTTTTGTGAATAATTATTTTATTTGATAACTAAGAGTATTATTTGTAAATAAATCGTTTTGTTATTAAATTACACATATGTAACTTGGTGCTTTGTTCACAGTTAAAAAATATCATGTTTTTATCTATCTATATAACATATGTCTATAACAAAAGATTACTTAAATATTATTAATTACTTTTCATATTTTCAAGGATTTACTGCAAGAAAATGAAAATGAATACTGTGAAATATTTGTGGAGATTATTACTTACAGCTTTGAGCATCTCCAATGTATAGATTCAGATTCTAAAAAGGTTCGTTAGTATTTTTTCTTGTTTTAATATTCTTAAGTTGGGCTTCTTAACTTAACTTATCTTCTTAACTTATGATAACTCTTAACTTAACTTATAATACTACAGTGAAACCTCCAGGAAAGACCACCTCTGTGTAGCGACCACCTTTATTTGCGACCACTATTGAGAGGCATGTAATATTTTCTATAGATATTTTGAAGAAAACCTTTTGGAGAGACCATCAAAACCTCTCTTGGTGACCGAGCAAACCTCCGTACCAAATGCGGAAAAGATCAAATAAGGAAAAATGTAAAAATTATTGGCCAAACAAATCTATCAATGCTTTAGTTTTAGAGTTAAAAGTTAGTAGAATAGTTAGAGTAATTAGAAAAAAATCTATTTTTTAAAAAAATAAGCATCTCAAACAACCAAACCTCACATTTTTTAAAGTAAATTTAATTTTTATGATACAAAATTAAATGCAAACTCATGCAAAAAACATAATTGTTTATATATTTAAAATAGTATCAATCATAGTTGGTAAATTTGTTTTTACACATAATTATATCAGTTGGGGTCATTTTTATTGACGCTAAATTTTATTTGTTGATCTGATTTTCATGACGTCAGCACAAAAGGCATTTCGGAGAAAATGACACTGAGTTAAGTACAAATCGCTTGCGAAAAATCATGTACCTTCGATAACATTTTGAAGTCAATGAAGTTAACCTCTGAGAGCAACCTCGATTAACAACCATTTTGCTGTGGAACAAAGAGTAGTCACTCCCGAGTGGCTTCACAGTATTATGAAGTTTTTTTCCACACCTTTGATATATATTATTATGTGTATTAATTTCTTTAAAAAAATTATATTACGCAAAATAATATAAAAAATTATACTGTCAGTTTTTATTTTTCGCATTGAATGTTTGATGCTATTTCTTAATGATACTGATTTAAAAAATATGCAGTTCTTTATTTGAAATTGTAGCACATGTTAATTCTTAGTTTTACCTAAACTACTTTTAAAAAATAATTTTTCTGAAGTTTGTTTTTGTAATTCGTAGTATTGAAAAAAATGATACTATTACTGCTAATTTTATTATACTTTTGTACTTGTTTATAGTGAAATGACAGATGACTGTTTTTTTCCCATTTAGCATTGCTTATTTTGCTATTTTACATTAACACAAAAAAACCTCCTTCCTTCAGATGCGTGATTTTTTTAAAAATATTTATTATAGGATGTTACCATGGACTTTATCACAGTATTTAAGGACATTTTTAATTCGTAGTATTGAAAAAAATGATACTATTACTGCTAATTTGATTATACTTTTGTACTTGTTTATAGTAAAAATGATAGAGGACTATTTTTTTCCCATTTAGCATTGCTCGTTTTGCTTTTTTACATTAACACAAAAAAACCTGCTTCCTTCAGATGTGTGATTTTTTTTTAAAAATTTATTATAGGATGCTACCATGGACTTTATCACAGTATTTAAGGACATTTTTACACTGGATGAGGACATGAGATTGCTTGTTTTGAATTTTTTTATGAAAGTATTTTATGAAACCTATGATCCTAATGAAAAATACATTATAGGTATGTTTTAAGTATTTTGCATCATGTTATAGATACATTTATTTTATAAGTAAACAATATTTTATAATGCTAATTTTTGTTTTATCACCTCTACTGAACAGATTAGCCAAATACTTGATTTATGTTTTTTACCTTTGTTTTTGTATTTATTTTTGTCTTATTATGTGTAACTGTATTTCCCTTATTTAAAAAGAAGGTATGAAAAGATTGTATGAAAATTTGTAATATTTTAAAGCATTTTCCACGCTCCCCTATTGAAAATGTGAGTTAATTTTTTTGCATTTAAACATTAAGAGTCTACAGCTGCAACCATTTAATTCTGCAACTAAGCAATAGAATTGTTCCCATTGGAAATAACTTTGCACTGAATAACAACCAAATCCTTATCCAAATTCCATTCATGTTTATTTCATATGACAGATAGGGATTGCATTATTTCAATTCGCCCTGTTTATTTTTTCCCGTCTGTGCTTTCTTTCTTTAAAAAAAAAAAAAACATTCATATATGAAGGACATTTTAAATAAATTCATGTACAAAGGTGCAATGGAATCTATTTTATTCAAAAGTGAAACAGTCGAACTTCGTTATAGCGAAATTGGTAGAACTATCATAATTCTTTCATATTAATCAAATTTTGTTTTATCCAATACATCATAAAAACAATTTATTAGGTATTATTAATACATATTATGTACTACATTACTGTATGCAAGCAATTATGAACCAGACAAATTGAAATAAGCTTAAAAGTTTTAACTACTATATTAAATTGTCTTATTTATTTGCTCATCTGCTACTTCTAACAGAGGAAGAGAATAGAAAAAGCATTCCTCAAAACGAATGATTGGGATTTTTTTCACATGCTCATTATCTGTGCTGTATCCAGTTTCCTTTCATGTTAATTGATAATCAGCTTGAAAATTTCGTGTTTAACAATTAAAATACAACAATAATTGCTGACTCATGGGACTAAACATGTCTTTCATGTAAAACGATATTTCACAATAAAGATTTCTTGTTAAGAAGGTTTGCCTGCAATACATTTAGCCAACTAGGGAACAAAACAATCAGTTCCAGTCTTGAAAAAAGTTGAAGGCTGCTGACGAGTCCACACTCTCACCCACTCCTGCATTTCATCATCCAAGTGAAATGGACGTTCTGGAGTGTCTTTTTTACGGGTCACCAAAGGCCACAAAGTAAAAGAGAATCTTGAAATGTTTCCCAGGCAAATTTCTGAAGCTTACTTTATCGATTAAAGTTACTGGGGATTATATGTAAAGTTTGATTTTATCTCATTCATTTTTTGCATATGACCTTTTAAATTTTTCATATTTTTGTTTCACCTATAATTATATTGTAAAGATCAACTTTGAATTATATATTTATTTTTAAAAGTTACTTATGTTGAATGTATTTTTAGATTTTGTTAGTCTTATAAATCAACTCATTAAAGATGACATTTATTCCAAAGGAAAAACTCTTGAAATTTCTGCTAAGTGAGTAGATTTTTTTTTCCTGTTCTTTTCTTTTTAATGTGTGAATTTGTTCTAATCTTTCTGATCTGATAACTTTTTAAATCCTAATTGTTGTTTTTTATATAATTAAATGCATTGGCACTTCATTTCAGAATATAATTCAAAGAATATCAATTTAATACTTCTTTTTTGATTTTGATATTAATACGGAAAGTGCATTAGAAATGAAATCGTTAAATTGAATGAATATCCAGTTATGTAGCTTAGAAATAACATAACTGTGAAATGAATAGTTGATTCCTTATTTACAAATTAGCTTTGTAACTACTGAAACACAACAATTTGACATTATGTTGCATTGTAGTTTGTTTTAACTGGAAAATCCCATTCCGAGGTATATTTTTTCCCCCGTGGCAGAATTGCAGCAACACGGCGGTTGCCACAGAACATTACAGAGTTCTTGTTGATTAGTAAAAAAAAAGTTACTTTTCTTTTCTACTGAAATTTACACTTAATATTTGAATCATGCATTCAGATAATCACTTTTTGACAATTTATGCGATAGTATCGTAAATCTATGTACTGTTTCGATTGTATGTTTGACAGTTATTGATATTAATTTTCACATGGATTTTAAATATCCCAATATATTTCAAACAATATGGAAAATTTGAATCGTGCATTCGAGTATTTACTTTTTAAGGCAATAATTCTACTGATTTTTTGGCGGTTATTGCTATTGATTTCTCCATAGTTTCTAAATCCAATATTTTTTATGCGATATTGTTTATTACAATAACCTAATCTCAAAATTAAAATCTCATTTGAGGAGTTCAATTCATGTGATTTTGTCATCCATCTTTTTTACGGCAGAGTACTACTATGGATTTCATGATTTTTTTTTATTATTATTATTGTGAGGATTATTTAAAAAATGCAAAGAAGGAAATAATTTGGTCATTCCCCTCCTCTGACAAAATGCAAGAATATCACCCATCATATTAGAATAAAAAATTCTTACGTCTTCAATTTAAGAAAATTATATAGTTTTTCTTTGTAAACACAGCGCTTTTGTTATTTTAAATTAGTAACATATATGTTTGTCATTATTAAAAGTATTTTGCAGAAATATGCTAGTGCTATAGAGTTTCGTCCCAGAGAGCTGGAAAAAATTCTGCCACAGAGATTTTTTTAATATAAATCTTCTTATTTATTTTCAGAACATCTGTTACCAATTTTGTTATGGATCTCTTGGCATTCAAATCACGAAATTCAGAGTCTTTCAAATCATTTAATGATGAGGAGCTGAAGAATCTTACAGGCTTTTTCTTGAATAAGTTTTCAACTCCAGCTTTGAATTTAAAGCTACATATTGAGGCTGGCCAATTAATAAAGAAACTTGTTTTGTGTCAGAAGCCAGATGTAAGTCAGTTACGAGTACAAGTTGAAGACCAGTTACAAAATCCTGATGCAAACAAGATACTAAAGCAGTTGAAATCTAAGGTAACTAATAAACATACCCAAAAAAATACATTTTAAAAATAAAATTAACAAATATCTGTTTTCAATTTTATCAATTTAATGTAAAATTGTATACAAGAGTTTGTTGAAGTCAGATTTTTCTGTGTAAATTAAGTGCTAAAACTTTTAGATTTGTTACAAGAGTTATAGCCAATTTTGTTATGGATCTCTTAGCATTCAAATCTCAGAATTCAGAATTTTTAATGTCATTTAATGAGGAGGAGCTAAAAAAGTCTTACAGGTTTTTTCTTGAATGAATTCTCAACTCCAGCTTTGAATTTAAAGCTACGTATTAAGGCTGGACAATTAATAGAAAAATTTATTTTGTGTCAAAAGCCAGATATAAGTCAGTTTCGAGTACAAGTAGAAGACCAGTTATAAATGCCAATTACAGATCTGTTACAAATACCAATTACAGATCAGTTACAAAAACCTGATGCAAACAAGATAACAAGGCAGTTGAAGTCTGAGGTAACTAATAAACATTCCTAAAAAATTACATTTTAAAAATTAAATAAATATTTGTTTTCAATTTTATCAATTTAATGTAAAATTATATACAAGAGTTTGTTAAAGACAGATTTTATTGTGTAAATTAAATGCTAAAAGTTTTAGATTTGTTGCAAAAATTATTAATTTAAAAAATATTATATAGTTTTTAATTTTTTAAAGACATTTCTAGGTTGAGTTCTTTGTTGATTCAAATACAGTTTTTCCATTTACCTAATATTGAGTTATTATTTGGTTTATTTTACAGTTTTTTTTATTGATATTATTTCTAAACATAAATACTGTATCAATAAAATGGACAATCTGAAAACTATTTTGCAACTTTATATATTTGGCATGTTATAATTATAATTGGCATTTAAGAATATCTAATTAAAAGTAAACATTATTAAAAAACAATTTCTTTAAAAGTTTTTTACCTCAAAAGACAGGGGGAAAACAGAATAATTTTAGATAACACCATTTATGTTATATATTTTCCAATTTTATAAATAGCTGTCTACTTTAATTTTAAATGCATTTTAGCTGATAATAAAATGAAGCATTTTCAGGTCAATTATGAGGAAAGATTTACTTTTAAAATGAAATGAAAATTAGAAAAAAAAATTCATTAAATTAATGAATTAAGCTGTTTTTGTTTTCTATATTAATGAAGGTTATTTGAATCCAGATAATATTGTTTACGGACTTAGATTGCAAGTTATTTAATTGGTTTTAAGAAATTTGCTTATATAGGACTGGAGAATGTAAGTTTTAAAAGTGTTCTTTGTTTTCGTGCGTAAGTCAAAGACTGAATGTTAAATCTTGGTTTATTTCCTTTATAAAAAGTAAGTACTTTATCTTATGCATTTAAATTTAATTGCTTTGAAATTAATTCATTTTTAATTGTTTAAAATCTTTGATATGTGACTCATACACATACATATTTATATTAAATGTATGTTAAAAATATGGAGAAAACATGGAAAATATTAATGGAAAAAGAAGAAAAATTATTAAAATAAAATATTTTAAAAAAATTATAAAAATATTTTTTATTTCTTTTTTTTAAATATTTTATTTAATAACTTTTCTTCTTCTCTTTTCATAAATATTTAATATTTTCCATGTTTTCTCTGTATTTTTCACTTATTTTATGAGTTCTATATGCTTGCAGCTTATTCACAGCAAATAAACTTATTAATTTTCTTTGTTTGTTTTCTTTTTGTCCATTTTGTCTTTATTGTGCTATGTGTATATATGCATATATTATTTCCATAAACAAATGATGAACACATTATAAAATTACAGATTATGTAATTGATTTAATATGAAATGAAGTGCTTTTGTATAGCAACAATTTTGATGATGTTCAAATCAGAAATATTTAACTTTTTAAAAAAAAATGGTAACATTGAAAATTTGACCATAAAATTTATCGATTTATGAAGAAAAAAAATTTATGGATTTTTTGACTTCTATAAGTTACTATAAGTTTTTTTGACTACTATAACTTACAATAAGAATCAAACATTCCATTGTATTCAAGATTACAGTCATTGTGCATATTAAGAAAAAAATGCACAAGTACTCATTATTAATCCTTGAATAAGAAATGAATGATCTATAAGGATAAAGGAGGAAGAATTTAATAAAAACTTGTTTAAACATTAATTATTTTGTTGTATCTTTCAGAATAAAATTTTAGTGTGCACATTGGAAATATAAGGGAATTACAATACAACTTTTCTCATTAATATAAAGCTTTTGTGATTATGAAATTGTATCAAACCAGATATTTTGTATTTAATATCACACTTAAAATTTTATACTACATTTTTACTAGTAAATTTTAAAAAAAATTCCATTAAAATAAAGTTTACAATATCTTAATTATATGCATTAGATCTTCTAAAGTTTTAATTTTGTAAAGCTGAGTTATTTCATATTTATCTGTGCTTGAAAAACTAAGTATGCACATTTCTTCTTCTTATCCATTTGTTACAAGAAATAATGTAAAAAAAATTTCCATGATAAATTATTGTACAGTGTAAATCCTTACAGGTTGATGATCTAAAAAATATTGTAATAGTTTTAACTTCAAGATTGAAATTAGTCATTGAAGAGGAGATATTTTTAATCCACAGGTAAGATTTAAGCTTTCTAAGTCAAAAGTAGTCTTAAAGCCTCATATTTTTTTATAAAGAAGTAAGTCTGTTATTTTATTTTTACTGTGTTTAACTAAATTTGTTTTCATGTCTGTTTGTTTAATTATGAATGACAAGTCTTGTTATCAAAATTTTGAGACTAAATCTGATTTAGCTAAACCTAATGCCAGATATTAATACAAGTTTTAGTCATTAAATTCAAAATTGAACGGACTGCTACAAGCAATGTTTATTAACAAATAACATTTTTAAAAAATTTTCTTTAACTAGTCAGAGGACGGAAATTTCGATTGAAGCTTCGCCCTGAATAACGCAATGCAGGTTTCAATTTGTTTCCTAGTTGCTACAGGTAGATTTTTCAGACCAGTAAAAATTTTAACTAATTTATGACATAAACAAACCAACAGGCATGAAATTAGACTCAAAAAATTTTTTCATAATAAAAGTGTTTAAGTACAGTGAAACTCTCTCTCTACTACGATATGTAATACAGCAACTCCCTTTATTACAAGTCTTACGAGTATTGTTTGTAATCTCGACAAACTTGCATACGAATATTACGTCGTGCTCCTCTCAATATTACGATATTCTCTGAAGCAATAAACCCCTGTAAAACAATTTTTTTTCCAAATTTCAATCTTATTTCCTCCATTTATTGTTGGTTTTCAAATAATGTAAAAAATCTTATTTTATCAACTTTTGCCATTTTTTCCATCTTTTCTGACAAGATAAGACTCATCGCTGACCACCCCAAGAGCTTCCATTCTTAGAATTGCCTCCCTTATCTCTTAAGAAGTCACAGATGTAACATTCCTATCTGATTTCATTTCCTGTATGTTAAAAGCTGATCATGAGTCACAAATGATCACAAGCACCACATTAACACCTGAAAGAGAATTTTTTCTGTGGTGGATTGGTGGGGCACCATTCACAAACGATAATCATTTTTGTGCTTTGGCTTCAATATATACTTTGTTGATTGACTTGGCAGTCAAAAAAATTAATAAACAAGCAAATATATCAGATTATTTTCAATAAAAACGATTTTCAGGTATGTTTACTATCTTGTATATTAAATTTATTTTAATTGTTTTTAATATTTAACCATAATTAACACTCTGCAAATTAATTTTTTACGTAATATATATATTTATAGTTAATACATATAAAAAAATACATACATACATTTACATTAAAAAAAAAAACTTTTTTTGTCCTCAATGTAACAATATATCCCTCTACAACAATATATNTAATTAACACTCTGCAAATTAATTTTTTACGTAATATATATATTTATAGTTAATACATATAAAAAAATACATACATACATTTACATTAAAAAAAAACTTTTTTTGTCCCCAAAGTATGTAAGTCCTCAATGTAACAATATATCCCTCTACAACAATATATATATTTGGTCCCCAAAATATTGTTGTAGCAAGGTTTTACTGTACTAAGTTTTTCAATTTGACTGAAAAGGAGAAAATAATTCTGATTTAATCAAATAAAAAATGCAATCATGTGGCATATCACTTTATGTATAATCAGCATTAAACAACCAACCCGATTCTGGGTTTATGACTGTCTATGTTGAACTCCAATGACTGACAATGTTGCCTTATGGTTTCGAACCCAACACAGTGGACTATTGAAGTCCTCGGTTAAACTATCCTTCGCAGAGAGCTGTTTGATGAAACTAACTTGTGTTTGCGTTAATGGGAAGGAAAAACACACAAGTCTCCTGTGGTTAGGCCGACAACAAGAAGATTCTATCCCATTATCCGTCTACCATTGGAAAAATTTTACGTCTGCATTGTGGTGGGTGTCAGCCAGGAGTTTAATTCGTATCAACCAGCTATTGCTGGGATTTGAACCTGGAGGTTGGCGCTCTCTTCTGGGCCACTGCTTATCACTTAAGCGATAAATTTGTGTCAACATTTTATTACTCCCACATTTTTAATTTCAATTGTGGAAAAATAGAATTATTTTCTCAATTTTTTTCTTTTAAAAAGTATGATTTTGTTGTTTAATTTTTTTTTCTTGTACTTTCTGTTGCAGTTCAGATTTAAGGAAAAAGGGGGATAAGCCCTCTGATTCTATTGGAAATTTGGCTGGCTACAATGAAAAAGTATGTAATTTTTTTAGTGAATAAACATATTTTTTCTACTTTATCATTAAAAACTGTAATTTTTTTATTAAAGTTTATTAATTATTCTAGGTAAGAAATTATTTCTTATTAAATGTATCACAAACTATATCATTTTATCAGTTATTAACATTTCATTACAATTGGGGTTTTTAGCATAACTGTTTTTCCCCATAGTATTTATTCTCTTAGAGTGTATTGATGTGTCCAAAATCTATAATTCTTAAAAGTATTTAATGTGCTTAAAACTCCAAATGTACACAATGCTTCTAATAAAAAATTTTAAATTTAAATATTAGCTCAATTGATATCCCATAATTCATTAAATATATTGTTATGTAGAGATATTGCGTAAACTCTCAAATGTGTTAAAATTTGTGCGTGAAGTTCATTATTGTATGAATATGTATAACAAAAGCAGCTAATTCACTGCCCACTAAACAAATGTCTAATACCTTTGTGTGTATGGTACTTTCCCTCCATTTACTTTTTCTTTTGTATGATCAATACAATAATATTATAATTAAAGTCTACTCTCATTAGTATGACCTCTCCATTAGTAAGACTTTTCCGTTATAATGACCACTACACAAAGGCCCGTTTGCTGTTTCATAGATACTATGTTATTTTAACAACCATTAGAATCTCTGAACCGAACCGTTCATTCTAATGTAGCAACTGAAATTTTATTTCATTTTCTTTTAATTCCCCGAAAATCAATCTCAAAACAGGTGTAAACATTTCTGCACTTTCAAACAATGGGTCAATTAGTAACAAAAACTTTGATTAAAACTATTCAAATCACTAACTTTTTAGCACAAAGGTCGCCCACTTGTGTATTTATTCAAATCACTATTTCCATACCTGTCAAGTTTCCTGATTTTTAACCAAAACTCCTGTATTTTATGGCTATCTTCTGTTTACCCATATGTTCTCAAATTTCTCCGTATTTGTGGAAGAAAAATTTTTTTGGTGATAAAATATCTGCTGATGGCAAAAATACTTCTCTTATACCTCGACAGATGGTGCTATTGCCAGTACTGCAGTATGTTGAGTGTTAATAGTTTAAGTAATTATGAATAATGGTTTAAAAAAAATCTTCTTTAGATTAAGATTTATATACATATTTTTTACTTCACTGATGATCATGATGTATTAAAGCTTTACTCATAACCTAAAAAATGTTGGTAGTAAAATCTTTATTATTTTATTTCTCTAATGTTTGTATATATTTGTGTTCTGTGTCCCTGGCAACTTTGCATAATTAGTTTGTTTATGTTCCATGTGGCTTTGTGTTAAGTCTATGTGTAAATATATAGTGAAAAAATTTTAATTTTTGTAAAAGAATTTAGTATGTGTCCCTTAAGAGAATACTTGGCGGGCTTGGCTTACTTGAAATAAAATGGAAAGAACAGTTACTAACGTAAACAAATGCCACGTTTGAACAGGTTCTAGATACCCACACTATGTCACTTGCAGGTGTCCCATTACAAATCTTAAAGTAATTGTGAGGCAAAAGGACAAAGATTTCTAATTTCATGTCATCATTCTTGTGAGACAAAATTTCAAAATATATGAAAAGCACAAGCTAAAGATAATGTGCAATATTAAAATATGTTTTTAAAAAAAAAACTTTAATATTCTATATTAAGTAATATTTGTACTTAATCGATGTTAAAAAAACTGTGTATTAGCCAGTTTCATAATGCTATTTAAAGCAGGGTTGACTTTTTGCCAGCAGAAACTGGTTTTTGCCATGCCAGTGGCAGAAACTGGTTGTAACCGGCAAAAACTAAAAAAACTTGTATATTAGTTCTGGTAATTGATTAATGACATTTTGTTTAAGTAAACTGAAAAATGTAACTGTAGCAAACTTTTTAATTCATTGTTTGTAAATATATATTATTTTGTTTNGGATTTTTGGCAGCGGTTTACCATCCGATTGAAGACCTTGTGAGGTACACTAGAATTATTAACAATTCTAAGGTTTTAGGGTTTTTCCATATTAAATTATTGTCTTTAATTTTGCTGGCAATTATTAAGGTTTTTTTTTTGCCCTTAAAATGGATCATGTAATTTGTTTTTAATAAATTATTTACTTATTATTAGCTATTTATTGTTTATTTATAATAGCTTGCTGTTAATACATTTTGTGTTTAGTAGAACATGAACTTGAGTACTTTTTGTGTCTCATATACTTCTGACATCTTTATGATGAATAATAATATTAAATAATTATGTCATGTAACTTTTAGTATGATTTTATTTTTTTAATACTTATATTTAAATTGTTTTTATATTAAGTCTAAATCTTTTTTTCTTCTTTCCAGTTTATAGAACACCCTTGGAATAATGAATGTTTTAGTAATAGTTATCAAGACTATTACAACTTAATTGATGTAGTACTCACAGTAGCACAGTCTGTTATTAATATTTACATGGAAATTGTTAATGGTAGTTCTTTAATTTTTTTAAAATTATATTGTTTTTTTATTATTATTTAGCATCAGCACTTGTTTCAACTTTCACATCAAGTGTTTTTTGTTTTTTTTATTATTATTTTTAAAAATTGCAGATTTCTCTTTTAAGACATTGTAAACTCTCTGATTGATCGGAAGAAAATTAATGTCTGACTTAATCTATTAATGTCTAATCACTTAGAACGAAACAAATTGTCTGTCTTGCAGAGGATTCACGTCTCATGCAAACATTGTTAAGTGTAGCTGCTCACTTCAGAAACAGATAGAACTTGTATTAGTAAGAAAAATTTTTCAAAAATCGGGAAGTAACAGTATTACTTGTCACTATTCATTTCAAGGAATTATGATATCACTGTCTTCACAGAATTTTATTTCAAATGTTTTAAGTAATATTTGTCTTTATTATGTAATTTTGTCTTGTTGCAAATTCCTTCATTTTTCTTGTCATTAGTGTAATTAGTAAATGTTCACTTTTAATTTTTAATAATTTCACTTTAAATCTTAAAATGTATTTGTTAACTGTTATTGAAGCTGAATTTTTATCTTTCGAATGCAATTTTTGTTTAATATAAAAATCGAAACAGGAAATAAGAAGCAATTTTAGGTTTAAAATGATGAGCAAATTTAGTTTATAACCTTAACAATTTTAATTTAATTTTTTTCCCTCTGTCTTTAAAAAAGAATTCCTAATACAAATAAATATATATGCAAATTTTTAAAATAAAATTAAAATTTTGTTATTTTCAATCATAAAATTTGCTAAGATTTATGAACTGGAAATGTTTTGCTTAACTATTAATAATATAATAAAAATTTACTAAATAGCTCCATGTCAGACAAGTTTTTGGAATTTGTACGAAACTTGTCTTGCTTACAGCTTGCAAAATATAGATGCAAATTAGTGCTGTTAGAACTTTATCTTAATTGTTTTTAATTTTTAGTTTTTTTTTTTGTTTGAGAAATTTTTGTTCATGTTCTCACATTTTTGTTTTTTATTTCAGTATTTGATGAGAAACATGAGTATTTTGATTTTGATCCTAAATTATTTCAAGACTTTCTCTGTGTTACTTCAAAAGCATTATGTTTCTTTCCTGGTTGTATGTTTTTTAAAGAGAGGTATGTTGATAATTTTTGTGTGACAATAGTTTTACAATTAGCTGTTATTTTATTATTCTGCATTTCCCTTTTTACATATTTGATATAATGTCGAGGCATTGTTTGTGTTAAGTTATTCTTTGTGAAATACTAAGCAGTGTTCATTTTTCAATTAATTTTATTCATTTGCAGAATAATACCTTTAAATTTCATTTATTAAAAGTAATTATGACTGTTAGATAGTTTCTCTGATTTTAAAAATAAATTTAAATAGTTTTGAGATATATTTGAAATAGAAGTTCATATGTATTTTAAGAATTCATATGAATTTTTTATTATATAGAATTCATAAAAAAATTTATTATGTATTGTATAGCTTAGTTTGCGTTAATTTTTTTTTTTTTTTTNTTTTGTAAAATATTAATCAAATTGTTCCCAATTAATTTTATAAAATCGGAGAATAATTGCCATAGATTTAATTATTAAAAGAAATGATGACTGTTCGGTGGCTTCTTTTATTTTAAAAATAAATTCAAGTAGTTTTGAAATATATATATGATAGAAGTTCATATATAATATTATAATATATTATATTATAATATAATATTTCAAGAATTCATATAAATTTTTTCTTATATAAAAATTCAAAAAAAAATTGTATTACAACGTTTTTTTATTATATAGCATCATTTATGTTTAGTTACTCTTTGGGAAATATTAAACAAAGTGTTCCTTTTTTTATTCATTTGCAGAATAATATCTCTATTTTTTTTATTATTATTATTAAAAGTAATAACAAATGTTAGGTGGCTTACAAATAAATTTGAATAGTTTTATTAAACAAAGTGTTCTTTTTCTTATTCATTTGCAGAATAATATCTCTATTTTTTTATTATTATTATTAAAAGTAATAACAAATGTTAGGTGACTTACCAATAAATTCTAATAGTTTTGAGGTATATATAGTATAAATTCATTTATATTTTAAGAATTCATACTTAAATTTTTTATAAAATTTTAATAGCATTTTTTTTCAAACTTTAATCCCGTGAAGTTGTGATTCTTATTCTTTTTTTATGAGGTTAAATTTAATTAAGAAATATCCTTTTTGTAGGAGTTAAGAGGCCCATGCCATCTTGGATTTTAGATTCGATTTTTTATTTGCTTTTTTTATGTTCTTTTGCACTTAAAAAATGTTGATGATATAGNGTTTTTTTTTTTGCCCTTAAAATGGATCATGTAATTTGTTTTTAATAAATTATTTACTTATTATTAGCTATTTATTGTTTATTTATAATAGCTTGCTGTTAATACATTTTGTGTTTAGTAGAACATGAACTTGAGTACTTTTTATGACTCATATACTCCTGAGTCAGGAGTATATGAGTCCTGACATCTTTATGATGAATAATAATATTAAATAATTATGTCATGTAACTTTTAGTATGATTTTATTTTTTTAATACTTTTTTTGATTTGTTTTTAAATTAAGTCTAAATCTTTTTTTCTTCTTTCCAGTTTATAGAACACCCTTGGAATAATGAATGTTTTAGTAATAGTTATCAAGACTATTACAACTTAATCGATGTAGTACTCACAGTAGCACAGTCTGTTATTAATATTTACATGGAAATTGTTAATGGTAATCTTTAAATTTTTTTTAAAATTATATTGTTTGTTTTTTTATTATTATTTAGCATCAGCACTTGTTTCAACTTTCACATGAAGTGTTTTTTTTCTAAGATAATTTTTTAAAAATGGCAGGTTTCTCTTTTGAGACATTGTAAACTCTCTAATCGATCGGAAGAAAATAAATGTCTGACTTGGGCAGGTTTCTTGTCTTACGTAAACATTGATCAGTGTAGCCATGCCACTCTCTCCAAAAGCTGGGAAACTTGGAATAAGGAGAGAAATTTTTAAAATATCAGAAAATAGCAGTATTACTTGTCATTATTATTTTCTACCAATTATTAAATATTGTAAACTCTCTAATCACTTGGAACGAAACAAATTGTCTGTCTTGCACAGGATTCACGTCTCACGCAAACATTGTTAAGTGTAGCTGCTCACTTCAGAAGCAGAGAGAACTTATATTAGTGAGAAAAAATTTTCGAAAATCGGGAAATAGCAGTATTACTTGTCACTATTCATTTCAAGGAATTATGATATCACTGTCTTCATAAAATTTTATTTCAAGTGTTTTAAGTAATATTTATCGCTTTTATGTAACTTTGTCCTGTTGCAAATTCCTTCATTTTTCTTGTCATTAGTGTAATTAGCAAATGTTCACTTTTAATTTCTAATAATTTCACTTTAAATCTTAAAATGTATTTGTTAACTATTATTAAAACCGAATTTTTATCTTCTGAATGCCATTTTTGTTTAATATAAAAATTGAAACATGAAATAAGAAACAATTTTAGGTTTAAAATGATGAGCAAATTTAGTTTATAACCTTAGCAATTTTAATTTAATTTTTTTCCCTCTGTCTTTAAAAAAGAATTCCTAATACAAACAAATATATATGCAAATTTTTAAAATAAAATTAAAATTTTGTTATTTTCAGTCATGAAATTTGCTAAGATTTATAAACTGAAAATATTTTGCTTAACTATTAATAATATAATAAAATTTTACTAAATAATTCCATATCCAACAAGTTTTTGGAATTTGAACGAAACTTGTTTTGCTTACAGCTTGCAAAATATAGATGCAAATTAATGCTGTTCGAACTTTATCTTAATTTTTTTTTAATAATTTTTTAATTTTTTTTTCTTTTTGTTTGGGAAATTTTTGTTCATGTTCTTACATTTTTGTTTTTTATTTCAGTATTTGATGAGAAGCATGAGTATTTTGATTTTGATCCTAAATTATTTCAAGACTTTCTCTGTGTTACTTCAAAAGCATTATGTTTCTTTCCTGGTTGTATGTTTTTTAAAGAGAGGTATGTTGATAATTTTTGTGTGACGATAGTTTTACAATTAGCCGTTATTTTATTATTCTACACTTCCCTTTTTACATATTTGATATAATGTCAAGGCATTGTTTGTGTTAAGTTATTCTTTGTTAAATACTAAACAGTGTTCATTTTTCAATTCATTTTATTCATTTGCACTGTAAAACCTTAAAATTTTATTTATTATAAGTAATTATGACTGTTAGATAGTTTCTCTGATTTTAAAAATAAATTTATGTAGTTTTGATGTATATTTAAGATAGTAGTTCATATATATTTTAAGAATTCATATGAATTTTTTTATTATGTAGAATTCATAGAAGTTTTTATTATGTATTGTTTTTTTGTATAGCTCAGTTTGTGGTAATTTTTTTTTCGTAAAATATTAATCAAAGTGTTCCCAATTCATTTTATAAAATCGGAGAATAGATTTAATTATTAAAAGAAATTGTGACTGTTAGGTGGCTTTTATTTTTAAAAAAAATTCAAATAGTTTTGAAATATATATATGATAGAAGTTCATATATAATATTATAATATAATATATTATATTTTAATATAATATTTCAAGAATTCATATGAATTTTTTCTTATATAAAAATTCAGAAAAAAATTTTATTACATTTTTTTATTATATAGCATCATTTATGTTAAGTTATTCTTTGTGAAATATTAAACAAAGTGTTCCGTTTTTTATTCATTTGCAGAATAATATCTGTATTTTTTTTATTATTGTTATTAAGAGTAATAACAAATGTTAGGTGACTTACAAATAAATTCAAATAGTTTTGAGGTATATAAAGTATAAATTCATTTATATTTTAAGAATTCATACTTAAATTTTTTATGGAAATGTTAATAGCATTTTTTTTTCAAATTTTAATCCCATTAAGTTGTGATTCTTATTTTTATGAGGTTAAATTTAATTAAGAAACCTCTTTTTTGTAGGAGTTAAGAGGTCCATGTCATCTTGGATTTTAGATTAGATTTTTTTTTTATGTTCGATTGCATTTAAAAAATGATGATATAGTACTATTCAGCAGTACATTATCTTTCCAAAAAAGGCAGAAAATATAGGGGTTGCTTTGTTAGATTAGAAGATATAGAGCTTGATAAATTTTAAGACTTCTATGAAATTTTTCCCTAAACATTAAAGCAAGAAAGAAATCTGTAATTTGTGGCTTTGAATCAGTAATTTATAATTACACGTTTTTCAGTTTTTAGATTTTTTAAGTTTCATTTTATTACAATTTAATCTGATGAAAATGGATTCGAATGATTGCATGAATAAAACAAAGATGTTTATCAAAACTTTAGGAACAGACAAACGTATATTATTTTACTATTTTTCAAAAACTACTGATTGCAAAAATATATTAATATAATTTTGTCAAATAAAATTGAAAAATATTCTAAATTACTACATACACACTTTATAAGTTCTGATTAGATAGCTGCTTTGTATTTTGAATGTATCAAAAGATAATGTTGTTTAAAGCATGAAAATTAAATAAGGAAGATTAAAAGCATATTTAGAATTTTCATTCCTCACCCCTTAGTCAAATGAGTTCCATCGCAGGAAAAAGACCTCTTACATCAAAGAATTAGATATTCTTGTTCTCTATGAGTATAAGATTTCATTAGTCTAATAATTAACTCATTACAACTGACTGAAACATTGTAACAAACTGAGAAAGCAATTGAGGTGTACAATTACTTAGCCTTTTTGTAATTTTATTACTTGGTCTATGGATCTTTGTTACGTTTGTGATTTTCTTAAACTATAAAATTCGTATAAGTTTTAAATAATGTTGGCACTTTTTTTCTTCATATTTTTGACCTACCTCCCACTTAATAACAGTGTCATACTTCACCATACCCTTTTTTTTGTCATTAATTGTCAAATTTTGAGACCCATACCACCCTTGTCTCATGTCTTGCTATATTGCATAAAATTATGCTTGCAGTTTGTAAATAAAACATACTATTGATCCTATTTCAATTCTTTTTAAATTTCAGCCATGTTTTTTAATGTCATTTGTCAGCATAACAATTAAATAACATACGAGAACATATGATTGAATATATAAAAAACCATTTAATAGTTACTAAAAAAGTCTTTTTGATTATAGAAATTATATTTGCTCTAAAATTCAAAAAAGTTAGTTTTAAGTTTTTTTTTCAGTCGTATTCAAAAGTTTAGAAATGATTGATTTAAAAGTGAGCTGTGTTTGGAATATTTTACCTTTAATGCAGAAAAAGATACCATTTTTTCATGATTTCATTATTATTGACATCATTATTTCATAATCGTAAATTATTGAAATGGTAATATTTTTTCACTTATTTTAACTTAAATTAATATTAAAGTATAAAAAATATATTTAATAAAATTTCTGCGTCTAATGGATAAGGCTGTAGAAAAACGCAAATAAATTATATCTAAAAAAGGTGTGATCATTATAACAAATTATAGGAATTGTAGTAAATAATTGGTAGGTTAACTATTCATTTGAATCATCTGTTTTGTAATTCTGCATTTTTGTTACAATTTTGTTGTTTGATGCCGTTTGATAATTTTTTTTAACAACCAACAGAAAGAGTTTAATTTAGCGTAATTTTTTTAAATTAATAATTTCTATCAATTTTTGGTTTAATGTTCTCAGAAAAAATTTAATGTGTTTTATCTTTTCTTATATTCAATGTTTTAAACATCTTTGCTGCTTTTTTACATATTTAATTTATGCAAAAAAAAATTTGAATTTGTTTTAATTTGTTTTTAAGCCCCAGCAAGAAAGAAGGTTTTCTGAATTTAGCAGCTGTGGTATGTCATCACTTTTTCTTTCCTTCTATTTCTTTAAATGATTTTTTCAATCTTTTATTCTACAATTTAATATCAATTTTAAAAACAATTTAAAGATACTCAAAGCTAAAAAAATAAGTCTTTAATAATTAAATTTACAAATATTCTTAGAGAACCTGTGTTTATTTATATTTTTCTTGTGTTATTCTTCAGTTTTTGTTTTGTTTAATGCGTTATTATTTAGATTTATCTGTTATTATTCAGCTTGGAGGTTAATTTACCATTACTCTTTTGATTTCAGTTTGGGAAATTCTCACCAAAAAGACTCCAGCTTATTTTGCATCTCAGCTTTGAAGTAAGTTATTTGTAGTAAATTATGTGGTTTATATTTAGGTTATCTGTTTTAAATCATAGTTTTAACAAAATAGTATTTTTTTAAATAAAAAAACAAGCCTTTTTTATTCTTTTTAATAGTTTAATTTTTTTTATTATTACTTATATTTAGTTTTATTTTAAATAGAGCCAAAAATAAAAATATTAAGTTTTTTAAATTTAAATGCTAATTTTTATTTTCTTTTTTTTTAAATAAATAAAAATAAATATATCATTTTTAAATTTTAATGTATAATTGTGTTCTTACAAAAATATCAATATAAAATAAATAAAATGAACAAATTAAAGATTAAGTTAACATGCCTCTAAAAATGTTTAAAATAAAAAAGAGCCTCACCAAATCTATAATCTGATAGTTTTTAAAATTAATTGTGCTTATTTTTTTCGTTTATCAGTGTCACTAAATTTCTATTATAATAAAATTTCATTCATTGTAATATTTTCAAAATGTATTTACAATACTTTAACTGTATGTCATTTTATTTAATGCTGAATCAGTTGTGTTGTAGACCATGTAGAGCATAAGAAAAAATAAGGACAACATTTAAAAACAAAAAATATCTTTGCATCTTTCGTACATACTAGACTTCTTTTAAAAAGGGCAAACAACAAATTAAACAGAGCATAATAAAAATGCATTTTATCGCAAGTGCAATAAAATATACCCTTTTTTATTCCTGAGTTGTTTTGTTCAGTTCAGAAAGTTCTGACAGTTTCCGGAAAATTTTAGGAATGAAGCATTGAGCAACTCTTGATAATTTGGCACAAATATTTTAGAGATTTTAATGATACTTTTGCACAAAAAAATAACCAGTGTCCGTTAGCTATTTATCTCCCAATTAAAATTCATAATTGAGTTCCCAACTTACTTAAACAAATAATTTTTAATATTCTTTTTATCATTTATAGACGCATATGAGGAAATTTTTAATTTTTTTCGTCGTCAGTATAGTGTATTTTATTGTCATTTGTAGTCCAATATGTGGATATAAGTTTATGTTTATTGCTAGTGAAGATTTTTCTCTCACCCTCTAATATAACATTAATATTTTATTAGTATTTGTAGTAAAATATAAAAATATGAATATTTTATGTTTAATCTTATTTAATTGGTTGTATTGAGTATGTGCTATTAATACATACTGTATTTTATAAAATTTAAATTGTTTATTTCCTTTTTTGCTTTTAAATTATTAATAATTATTCACAGTAACTTTTCATATTTTTTTCTTTTAGGTCATTCTCAATTGTATTTTGAAAAATTATGAATTTATGGTAAAGTGTTTATTTTATTTATTCATTTTAGTGTGTATCGTCATAATTTTTCTTTTCATTTGAAAAAATTTTATATTTAAATAAATAAGTTTTTATTTTAAGATTCAAATCAAGACTTGCTCTTAATAATAATATTAATTACAATTTTATTATTATTATTGTTATTAATTGCAGTTGATCTCTCAGCAATTTATTGTAGGGCTAAATTTATACATTCAAAGATTATCTAAATCATTTAAAACTAGCTTTAAAATTGATAAAAGGAAAGCATATATATTTATCATAGTATGTCAAAATCCGAGCGAAAATCAACAAAAATGTGCCATTTTTAAAATGTGATGGAAAAAGGGAAATAATTTGACCAAACACCTGATGACGTGATACGGTTGAGAAAACGTTGGATGAAATTGGGATAAACCACTGTAGAAATTTAGCTGATGATGATTCCCGATGGAAGAAAATTTTTTGAGACAGCCCGGACTTGCAACAGGCTGTAGAGCTACAGAAGAATATTTAATAAAAAATTTATGTATTACAAAAGTTATCAAAATCCTTACTTTAAAAATATCTTTCATTAAATTTGTTGTAAATAATTTTTCTTCCAATTAGTGCGAAGTTGAACCTCTAAAATTAATCAGATCTTATAGCTTCAGAAAATTCTTCCCATATTATAGCTGTTTTGAAGTGTCTCTTTAATTTTTACAAACTTGGCTTAAATGTTTTGGAAAAAAAGTGAGAATTGTTGAAGGTCACGAACCTAACAGTATTAACACTAATGTTAATTGCTTTTTTAGGTAATAAGCATGTAGTTTGTTACAATTGATTTACATTATTCTCTTACAAAAGAAACATTATTTTAAGTGTAATCTTTTGCGACTACCCACTTGTAATGATAATTATGAATGTTTATTCTCAGAATAAACATGTAAATGGTTTCTGAATTTAATGAATTCATTTTTGAAATATGCTAAGCATATCATTGAATACAATTTAAAAATAAATTCACTTTTTCATAACTAAAATATATTATTTTAAGAAAAATCTTAAAAATAAACCTCAAAGCAGGAAATGATAATGAAAAAGCTCTTTAACTGAAATATTTAAATAAAATTTATTTTCATTAAACTTCGGAATGATTTTTTTCTTTTTACAGATTTAAAGCTTTAAGCATTGTATTTTTTTTTTTTTTTTACTTAAAAAGTATTAATTTTGTACTAAATCAATCATATCAAGGTACTTTTTGACTTATAAATCAATTTACATCAATAATTGCAAAATTTATCATACTTAAGAGCTCGCTTTACCACATTTCTTATGATTGGTTAACAGTATAAACAATAATAAGATTCTAAAACTGTAATAAAATTTTGAATATGATGTATCCCTCAGCTTATGTTTTGTTTATGAGATAATGTCTGAACAACATTCTGGACAGTTTCGTTATTGAGATTGTATTTAAATTTTAACATAATTTTACCATTCATAAGAATTTTGTATTTTATATATTCTGAAATGTATGACGATGTGTGAACAAACTTTATATTATGAAGAGTTTCGTTATTGATATTGTGTTTAAATTTTAACTTAATTTTTCCATTCATAAGAATTTTTTTGTATTTTATATATTCTGAAATGTCGTGAGCTGTAAATCAATTTAAAGAAATTGATATCACTCCATAAATAAAATGCGAGGATTGCAATGTTTTTACTGTTATCTTCAGTTTTTTATGTTTTCTACTGAAGTGAAACAGATTTATAAATTGAATGGAAAATTCATATTTTAAGCAGTACATGTAGAAATAAACCAAAAGTAGAAACTTAGGAGTTTCGTTACGAATTTTAACCGCAATCGAGTTTTAATGCAATCTTTTTACTTTACATTAAAGGATGGCAAGCTTACTGGTTTTTATTTAATACACATTTTTGACTTTTTTTTTTCAGTATTTTCTTATTGAACTTCTCCATGAACCATCCAATCTATCAACTGCAGTTATTGAAGTTCTCTTGAATTATCTTTTAGAACATGTGGAAGACATAGGAGGTAAATTTAGTATTTGATCCAACTACTTTTCTGGTATTCAAAACCATTTCAATAAAAATTTGTATAGCATTGCTTTTTTTTCTTCCAATTCCTGTACTTGTCTGGGGGCAACCACGTAACAATTTATGTTTTTTAACAAAAATTTTCATTAATTGAATGATTTTCCACTAGACTACTAGTTTAATTAAAATTCTTCGGGTTTTTGTGCATTTTAGAAAATTCCCTAAAATTGAGCCAATCTTCTAAAAAAAAATCCCGATTGAAATAGAATTTTTGTAGAGATTATTACTTGCTTGAATCTTTAAATGAGTCTTACTGATACATAATGAAGCAAGCCTCATTTATAGAAATCAGTTCAAAACTTTTATTGTTCTAAAATGTTCAGTTTATTTTTATTCAGAACTCTCTTTTTAAATTAATTAAAAAAATCTATTAACTATCTTAGAATTAAATGCCTATTAATATTTCAAATTATGAGTAAAAATAATATGTAACATTTCAAGTGTGTTTATTATCAAGTGTATTTATGATAACTGGAAAACATTGCATTTTTTCTATTTTGATGACTATAAAAATCTCTGAAATTCCTTACTTGTAAAATATTTAGTAGATTATGCCAAACATTGCTAATCTATCCAAGCGCCATCCAGTACATCCTTGTCATTAATTTATGTAAAAGTTTGATTTTGTCTAAATAAAGAAACATCCTTTAAGAAACAGGTGGGGGTTTTTTTTAATCATTTTTTATAGGTCTTGTGTGGTTAAATCTGGCTTTAGTCATTAAATTTTATTTTTACAAAGCAGAAAAATAAATCGAATGTGGTGTTCCAAGGCTGTTTAAGACTGAAACAAGCAAATTTTTAACCAGATATTGCTAATCTATCCAAGCACCATCCAGTATATCATTCTCATTAATTTATGTAAAAATTTGATTTTATCTAAATAAAAAAAAACCTTTAAGAAACAGGTTTTTATTATCATTTTTATAGGTTGATACGAGAATAATAAATTTTTTGGGTTGATAATCAAAAAAGTTCAGTGGCCCTTGATATTGATGGCAAATTTATTTTATGATCCCACAAAAATTATATATGTATTTTTTTTTTAACTTTTAGTTATAATATTGTGTAATGTAACTATAAAATTTAGACATGACATTCTATAAATATTATTACTGAAATTTGCCTTGGGACTTTTTTAAATTTTGTATAATTTAGATTGTGTTTATGTATTTTTTTATTTTCTTGACCATTCTTTTATCTGTTGTTAAATCATGAAATAAATTTTAATATATTGGTATTTTTAATATTTATGACATATATTCAGTTGTTAATATCGCTTAAAAGCATTTTGGAAAACTGATTTTTCAACAACTCGGAAATATTTCATAAAACTGTGAATTTTTTTTGGAATTTTTTTTTCACAGTGGATAAAAAAATTTGCTATAAATATCAAAAATATTTAAGACATTGGAGAAAATGTTATTAAAAATCCTTGGATACATATGAACTAAACCATCTACTATGTTTTAAAAGTAATTTTAAACCTAAAACATAGTTCAATTTATTTTATATTGTTTAAATGTGCATTTCCCATGTGTTTAATTTATGTTAACTATTTTTTAATTGGGTCCCATTTATAGACAAATTTATTTTTATGTTTAAAATATTTTTATATTAATATTTTAAAAAATTTATTAATACTATTTTTATATTTATTTTTTTAAATAATGATTGAATTGTATTTGAAGAGTGTGCTAATTTAACCACTGATATTCTACCTATCAATTAAAAGAACTAGCAATTTTTGAAATGCTTCTTTATATGCATAAGTACATTTCTTTTCTAACAATGTATATAGTAAAATCATTGTTAGTTACTTTTGTAATTGATCATGTTAATTTGTGATTTATTTAAAAGAAATTATAAATTTCTTCTTTTTTCCTTTAGCTAATAACCACATGTTCAACTTATTTCTGGATTTTTTGGAAATTATCAAAATTGTTTCTTTTAAAATAGAAAATAGAGTAAGATCAGACAATAAAGAAATTTTTATGGTATGATATTACTTTTCCTAATTGATTATTATTATGAATTTTTTAAATAATGATTCTGTTATTGCCTAAAAAAATTAAACACTGTTTTTAATTACTGTGAAATGTAATTTATGTTTAGTAAGATGCAGTTTCCCTCTATTAAGTATTCATGTTCATATTGCAGTTTTAATTTTTTGATGAATTCTATATTTACTTTATCACAGGATGAAAATGTGTGCTAAACTCGAGTGATACTAAACTTTACCTCTACAAAGCATATTGCAAATAGCTGCCAATTATTGCAATCTAGATAGATTGAATGATAAATATATTAATATATTTTGCAGTATTCCAATTTTGTAAGAAGTACTTTTTTTTAAAAAGAAAAAACTGATTGATTTCATCTTTTAAAAGTATGTCTTTGTATATAAAGAGCAGTCATAAGTCAAATTACATATTATTTTAGAGTCATTCTGGAGTGTTCCTGAATTAGATATGGCACATTATTAAAGATTTGTGCATTTTTTTACACCGCACAAGCATATAACTTTTTTAAAAAAATTTTAAGTCATATTTTATTGTATACACATAATTTTAATATACATATTACATATCATGATTTCATCTACATAACAAAAATTATTTTGAAGACTTGTTGTTTATTCTGGAGTTCTTAAACATTTTCACAGATAAATTTAATTAACATGGTACAATAATATTTTTTTATCTGTAAAAATAATTGTTTTTGTCCTTTTTGTGCTGTCAGTTATTGAAATTTTTTTTGTGTGTGTGTCAAGTGTGGAATTTTAAAATCTATGTACTAACTAAGCTTTTTCAATAAATTTTAAAATATCTATATTTATTTTGCTGTGCAATCCATATTCTGTATCTCTTTAGCTACAGTAATCTAAAAAAATTAATTGATTTAATATTTTTTTAATAGTTAGACAAATTTTAAGACTTATTATATTTCTAATAATGTGAAATAACCCTCTATTCTCTTTATCTGTAGTATATGTTTATAAGCACTATATATATATACACCGAAGAGCCATTACATTATGACCACCCTCCATCTATAACAATGGGCTCGCCCAGGTTTTCATGGCTTCTCGCCCAGGAACAATGTTTTAATGGGGCACATTAAGATCCATAATCCTCATAGAACAATCCCTGGCATCTGTAAGCTACTTGAACATAGTTGCAGACCAGGTTCACCCATTCATGGCAACAGTTTTTCCTGTGGGGGATGGTGTTTACCAACAGGATAATGCACCATGTCATAAGGGTCGAATCATCCAGGAACATTCCAGTGACTTTCATGTCCCCCAACTTCACCTGACCTTAATCCAATAGAGCATTTGTGGTCCTGCTTTTAAAACCAAATTTGTGCTGCCATGCCACCCCCTCGCAATGTGAGGGAATTGCAGGACCAGTTGGTGAGCGCTTGGTACCAGATACCTCAGACTACCTATCAGTACCTTGTGGAATCAATGCCACGGTGGGTACTGGCAGTTTTGAGGGCTGAAGGTGGTCCTACAGGTTATTAGCAGGGTGGTCATAATGTAATGGCTCTTCGGTGTGTATGTATATATATTTAGACAAATGCAAATCCTGAAGTGGCGATGTTTTTTGAAGAAAAAACTAAAAAGCTTGCTGAGAGCTATGACAATTGATTGTATCGGTATAGCAATATGACAAATATTTGTATCAGCAAGGCAATTATTTTAAAAAGTAATTATAAGGCGTCCATATTTTAAGTAAAGTATTTTTTCAATAGTCTATTGTGAGCCGGGAGGTCATAGAGGTTTAAGCTTCACTATTCTGTGACTCAGTGCAATATTGTGGCAATGTGATTAGTACTGCACACCCTGTGACAGAATAGCAGCGACATTGTCGCAGAACGTTACAGGGTTCTGGCAGAAAGAATTTCCCTTTAGAAAGTATAAATTTTTTTGTTTTTCTTTTCTGCAAAAATTATCGAAATTTATAAGCACGAAATCATCGTAAAAATCGAGTTTATCAGCACCTTGTGGAATCAATGCCACGGCGGGTGCTGGCAGTTTTGAGGGCTAAAGGTGGTCCTACATGTTATTAGCAGAGTGGTCATAATGTAATGGCTTTTCGGTGTGTGTGTGTATATATATATATATATAACACTTCTTGGTTTCTTATTTATTCTACATTTTTACTCTTTTTTTTTGCAGTTACACTTGCCCGACATCATAAATAAAATATTTGAAATGATTCAAAAGGCTGAAAAACCTCATAACTACATTGTGCTGCTGCGTAGATTACTTTTAAAGAAATTCGATGAAACTGCTAAAGATCTATGTGCTGTTAAATGGTGTGAAATCTATATCATTAACGAAATATTTGAAAGTAAGCTTTTATTTATAATTTTATCAGTAAAATAGAATAAAATCCTTGCTAACTTTTGTCCTGATGATCCAATTATTACCTAATACAACTCAATCTTTGAAGGTTAATAGGGTACACCTTAGGCATATTGATTAATTATGCTTAAAATGTGTTAGTTAAGAAAATAAGACACACATACTTTCTCTGGAAAAGAGTATCTTTTCTTCAACAGATTCATATTTCGATATTATAAAAATAGTGAGGGTTGTGGCTATCTGGGAAATACCATTCCAGTTGTGTAGTTTGGAGAATGATAGGAAAGTTTGAAACCTGAAATGTTAATTTTATTTTTTGCATATTTTGCTTTATCTGCAGAACTTATAGCTTAAAAATATATATTTCCTAAAACATTTTTGTATCCGTAAATACATCCAAAAAATTAATTTTCCGTTATTTTTCAGGATTTAAATTAGTAATTGGGGAAAAAATTGAATCTTAAGATATAAAAGCTTTTGAATCAACCTACTCAAATAGTTTAAAAATAGTTCAAATTAGCTGTATGAAAAATTAATACAAATATTTATATTCAAATTAATACTGAATTAAAACAATAGAACCAAATCAAGAGTAAGTGTTGATCAAAGTCGAAAGAAACAATAAAGAGCATCCTGTCTTAGTGTAAAATCATCTAGGCATGATAGTTTTTGCTTTTGGAAGTAAATAGTAGCTCCTAAGTAATCAGACCTTAATTTAGTCATGTTTACCTTGTGTTAATAATTGAAAGTTCGAATGCTCTGAAAGCATAATTTATAGATAAAAGGCTTTGTCCCTTTAATATGCTGGTTATTAAAAAATGTGTCTTAGTGGGGCTGTTCAATAGCTAAAAGGTAAGGGGATTTGTGATTTACTTATTTTTTCTGAGGAGAAGGAACAATGCTTATATAATACATTTCAAGCCCTCTTTCTTTAAAAACTTCTTAGAAATGAAAAAAAAATTTGAAATAAAAACTAATTTTGGGGTTGTACCTTTAATGTGCTGGTTATTAAAAAATGTGCCTTTGTGGAGGCCATTCAATTGTTAAAGGTTAGGGGAATTTGTGATTTGCTTATTTATTCTGAGGAGAAAGAACAATGCTTATATGTATAATACATTTCAAGCCCTTTTTCTCTCAAAACTTCTTTTTAATGCAAAAATAATAAAAAATTGAAATGGAAACTTATTTTGGAAAAAGTTCACACGAGGAGTTGAGTAGTCAAAACTAAGAAGTCATGAGCTTTTACCACAAAAAAGAAAAAAACACAAATGTTTCCTGAAAAATAGTCAAAATTTTATAAAATGAAATAAAGTGTACATTTTATTTAAGCGAAGTTTCGTTTTTTATTTTAATTTAATCCTAAAGTTAGATTGCCACAATAAAAATTAAAGCAAAAGACAGGGGGGAGGTCTTGATTTTTCTTCAGTAGCAATGGGAGGCTTTTGTGATTTGCTTATTTTTTCTGAAAATAGTTAGTGCTTGTATGAAAACGTGCTTATTTGATTAGCCCCTATGTAACAGACATCTTTCTTTAATGTATTTCTATATCTCTTTATTGCATTTTTTTTAATGAAAACAAAAATGGTTATTGGCATAAAATTTGCTCAGTTAATTTATTGTTATTTTATCTAATTATTGTATACATTAATTAGATGTTGATAAAAATATAATACCATTTGGCATTTCTGATGATATTTTAAATTTTAATTGATGTTTCTACTGAATGCTGCATTATCTTCTGGAAATTACTGTACCTAGGTTTGTTGATGCTTATTTTGGTTACCATTGTCCTGTAACATAAATTCTGAAATTGTTTAAATTCTTATTCTAAATTTAAAATGTAATTGTCTTTCGTTTACTTATACCTAGGAATGAATCAGTACCTGAAATTCCCAATGAAATCCAAGTATAAGGATGAACTTCTTGATATATGTCTTGATGTCATATCTATCAGAAAACACTATTTTTTACATGATTTTAAATTAGAACCCTGTTTGTGTAAACTGTATCTTCGAATCATTAATTCATCTTTAAGTGCATCTGAATCAATAATTCTCAAAGTAAGTATATTCATTTTCATGTATTTCAAAGTTAGTTAATGCTAAAACAAGGTCTGCTTTTTTAAATTTGACGAGCTGTTAGTTGCTGCTATCTTAATGAATTTTTTTATTGAAGCTTTTTAATGATTCTCAATTTGGCAAAGATTCCTGTTATACCTCATTCTCAAATTGTTATTCATTCTGAAAAACTAATTTGTATTTTTATTTTAAGTGTTTTACTAAAATTATTGAGAGTAATCTTGAAATGTCTAATGTATATTTTATTGTATTGTTGTAATATTATTTCTATAATTAACAGTAGAACTTGTCTAGTTTTGTTATTAACAATTTAACTATATGTTGTTTTTCTAAAAGCACCTTTTAAGTTATTGTTAAGTTGTTATGTATCGTTAAGTAGCACTAACTTTTTAAAATATTTAAGAAACCTTTTATCAAACTTTTGTATTATAATCATTGTAACAGCTTTGATATGGAATAGTTTGAATAATAAAATACATGAAAATTTGTTACTATGTTTTAAATAAATTGTTTTATGTCTCATTACTTTACCATTCTAGGGATTGACTACCTTGAATGTCTTGTCAAAAAAAATTGGGATAAATTCAAGGGAAGTTGAAGAGATGAAGTTTGAGATAACTGAAACTTTACTTGAAATTTTAGATAATTCCTCGAATAATGATATAAGATTACAGACTTTCCAATTGCTTCTTAAGCTCAAAACTCAAAATTTAGGGGATATTTTTGCATTTCAACAGGTGATAAAATAATTTATTTAATCCTTTTTTTAATTGGTATTATTTATGTAACATGTTTTATTAAACTTTTTATCTACAGAAATCTTATTTATTCTCGAAATTTTACTCAGAAAATAACTATTTTCTGAGTAAAATTTCGAGAATAAATATTAAGAACTGTGTAAAAAATATTTATATCTTTAAAAAACAATGTATTTGATCCTGTTGTTCACTTTCCCATTGTACCTACATCTGAATGCTTTTAATTTTAGCAAACCTTCAACAAAAATAGACTTTGCTGGTTTAGTGCTTATTATATAACGTAATGCTGCTACATGAATTTTATTATTTTAACTTTTTATTAATAAAAAAGTTATTTATTATGTGAGAATGTAATTTAAAATGTATAATAAAATGTATTAATAAAAATGTAATTAATTACTATGTAATTAAACGTACTCATACTTGAATAATATTTGTGACTTAAAAGTCATACATTAGATATTTTAATTTTTACTCCAAATCAAATTCATTTAGTATCTTTGTTTGCAACAAATCCTCAATCAAAATAATTTTTACCTGCTTAACTGCTTTTTATTTAATATAATGCTACAAGAATTCTATAATGTTCACATCTTATTAACATCAGTGTTACTTGTTATCTTTAAATGTATGAAAATTATCCTAAGAAGACCTTATGATCTAAGATCTTATGAAGTAATGAATAAACGTATTATTCACTTATTATTATTAAAAGCAATCATATTAATAGCAATTTTATTTAGTATTGAAAAACTCATATTTGAAATTTTTTTTGTAAATATAATTTAGTGGATAATTGTTATCAAAATTAAGTTGGTACTGAAAATAGTGCTCTTTCCTAATTGATTGTTTTTGCGGATGGTTTTATTGGAAATTGCATTTTTATTTATTATTGATAGAAAATTACACTGCAAACACTGTTTTGCTTAATTAAGTTAATTTATGTTTTTATATTTTTTTTCTTCTCAATTTGCATAATTTAATTTTTCTTAGTTTTCTGTAACTCTCTAAAAAAAAGGCAAGTCTTGTGTCTCAGTATTAAGAAATTGTATTTCAACTCAGCAATGACTTTAATATTTTTGAATTGTTATTTTTCAGAAGCAGAATGTTACATCAGCTGATACTTTTGCAGATATGAAAAATTGTATGAAACTGTATGTTTTGCAAGATAAAGATAGTATGACGGAATTACCTATTTACATAGATAAGGTCTGTTTTGGTTGCAATATTTACACTTTTTTTGCAGAATTTTTTGTGTGTGTTAAATTGAATTTGTGTGTCTACAGTTTGTCATGGCAGCAGGAAAACATGAAGTTGAATTTTATTGGGGGGGGGAGAGGAAGAATGATGCATTGTTTTAAAAAAATGTAGAAAAACCGTGCAACAACCACGAACAATTTTAAAATTCAGAGTAACAATCTAGGATTCCTTCCTATGGAGGTCAAGTGCACCCACTGGATCCCCATAGGCAATTTTTCAAGTGACTGCATCTCCTGGAAATCCAATTAAGTAAAAATTATAATATGTTTTAGCAATTTAGTTTTTGTTTTATTTTAAGCAAAATCAGTTGAATAATTACTGAGAAATCTAATTTTTAAAAAAAAGTACTTTTTCCCAGATTGCAGATATTTTGGGGGACAAAAATTCAAATCCATGGAAAAAAAGGTTTGTTTATTAACAGAAGGTACGTTTTTGTGACTGAAAATTATAACAAAATTTTTTAAAAACACTAAAAAAAAAATTTTTTTTAAAAATTTTTTTTTTTGATTAAACTTTTGAAAAAATTTCTTTGTTCATTCTCCCTAACAATGTGTAGCTAATCAGGTTCAAATAAATAAGTCTAGTATCTATTACTAATCTAATATCCATCATTCTCTGTAAATTCATTTTCTTAGATTTATTAAAATTAAAAAACTAATTTGTACTAAATACTCTTAGCTTAACAATTGTTTTTAAATGTATCCATACTTGCAGTTCGATAATACTATTCTTAAAGCTGGTAATATAATTGCTTTTAAAAATTAAATATTCTGTTTAAATTAATTTTGGCTCTTAATCACAAGTCAGAGATATGATGGCTATGACTCAATTAGTAAACTACTTCCTGCATTTCTTTAAAAAAAAATTCTTTTACCTAACATTTATGTACTTTGCATTATAAAATCTGCATGTTTGCATTCAAAAATATTGCTTCCTACAAAATGTAATATTTTACATACTTTCTATCAAAAAGTAGGTTTCACCAGTACTGTTTTTGCACATGGTCACACCCGGGCAGTGCCCTCAGGGGTCCAAGTGAATCTTACTTTTTATATATTGTATTAAAAAAACTAAAAGGAAAAACATTGCGTTATATGTTTTTATTAAAATGAATAGTAATTGATTATCACGCAAACACCAATAATTTGAATAGTTTATCCCCAGGGAAACTTCAAAGTCAACCAAAATCTATTTCTCAACATTGAAATGAAGTTTTTAGGTACTCAACTGATTTCTCTAGAGATGCTTGACCACCACCAACACCGTTTTGTATTTACAATTAGTTGAATGAAATAATAATTGAAGGATTTAGAATTACGGAGCACTATGGGACAGCAACATTTAAAATGGTTATGTCTGATATGCATTGAAAAATGTTTTAATAACTAAACTTTAGTAACGTGACGAAATAATTCATAACTTTTTAATTTTTTTTATTTGTTAAAACTTTGTGTTTTATTTAATTTAATTATTTTAATTAGTTCTTGGTTTTAAAAATTATTTTATTATTTGAGGATTGCAATAGGTTAGCATCAATTTTTTTTTAAATTATGCTATGCATAGTTGAAAAATGTTTTATTTTATGTGCATTGAGTTTTTGGGGTGATAAAAATGTGTAAAAGTTTGTTAAAATTATTGCATATCTCAAAAATGTGTGTGCTTTATTTTATGTATGTGAAGTTTTTTAGTTCGATTTTAAACAGTATGACATTGTCATAGGGGCCTAAAACATTTCTATGCTTGCTATTAAGATAGCCCTGAGTTTCATTGCCTATTTCCAAAAAAAAATATAATTTTAAAGAAATATTGCTGTGCCTTACAAAAGCCTGTTTTGAAATTTGTTTAATATTTTCCTTGGAAAGTCAGGGCCATTTCTTATTTATATATTGAATAATAATATTATTGATATGATGTGAAAGCTTCCAAATTATATAAAAGGGAAAAGAATAATTAAAGAAATTGGTGTTTATTTTTTCCTTGCTGTAAAATATGAACTTTTCTTGAGTGAGAACATAGGTTTTCATTTTTTTTTTTTGTATTTTTGAAATAAAAAATGTTAAAAAGGGGCCACTAAACTTAATAAAAATGTCTTAATAAAATGCTCTTTAAAATCAAAGTTTTGACTTTTTCATAAATTTGGTATGAATAACAGTTTTGAGACTTTCTTATCAATCATATTTTTTAATAATTCTAACTTTTGTAGCTTTTTTTTTACCATCAAATTCTAATTAAAATTCTGTTATAAAATTCCAACTATTTTGGTAATTATCTGTTTTCAGGAAATTTTCATGACAGAAACTATTTTTGTAAAAATTACTATTTATAAAAGATATGGTAATTGTTCTTAATTTTTTTCTATTGCCAATAATATTAGAAGTGATATAGTTGTGCTCTCCCGTATTAAAAAGTACGTGGAAGCGATAGGTAAGTGTCTTGGCCATGATTGAGTGAACGGTTGCTATTTCATTACCTCATTTAACTATTATGTGAGTTTTTTTTTTAAATATAAATTGAAAACATATCTTTAATTTTATTGTTTTTAATTCTATTATTATTATGTTAATAATAGAATTACATTAATAGTCAAATACAATTAATTCATTGAATCTATTTTAATTATTTTTATGCTAACTGCTCTTTGTTTTGAATTTTCTTTTTTGAATTTGCAGTTAATTATCTCAGCATGCAAAGTCTTATGTGAGAGTAACCGTACAAGAGATCGAGAGTCCAGTTGGAATATCATCAAAATATTTTTAGCATCTACCATTATAAATAGCAACACACATGATGAAATAAGAAACTGCCTTCCATCCAATCGGTAGTGTATAATTTCTACTCCATAATTTCAGGATTGAAACAGCTGTGCAAATTGCTCTAAAATGAATTTTCTACTCCATAATTTCAGGGTTGAAACAGCTGTGCAAATTGCACCAAATTGCTGTAAAATTAATTTTCTACTCCATAATTTCAGGGTTGAAACAGCTGTGCAAACTGCACCAAATTGCTCTGAAATGAATTTTCTACTCCACACAGCTCCAAAATGCAGTTCTCCCCCCCCCCAAATTTGCGAAAATTCTAGGATTATTCATTGAGTAAAAAACACAACTTTAACTCTGTTAGGCACCAAGTTTTAGTGCCAAAATCAGTTTTATTGCTGATTGCAAAATTTTACCTTAATGTCCATTAACATGTTTATCTGTTAAGCAGATTTCCTCCTCCATTGAGTCAAACACGTTAAAAAGTTATTACTAAAGTATGAAATTCACTTTTCCTATTATAACGCGTTAAAAATATCAGAAGAAATGGAAAACCCATTTGAAAATGTCAAAAAAATGGTCAATGAACGATGTGGATTTACGATAGAATCGTTACAAATAAAGCATTTCTAAAAAAAAATGAAATGAAATTTGAACTGAGCATAACATGCATTAAAAATATCATGTGGCAACACATCATGTAGCAACACACATGATGTGTTCTCCTCTCCCAAAAGAATGATCGCAAAATAATGCAACATTATAATAGAGTAAACCACATCAAAAGTGCTTTCAAATAAATCGTTAAAAAGTTATTTCTCAAAGTCGAAATTCTTGTGTCATAATGCTATTAGAGTTTAAAACACCATGTGAAAATGTCCGCAAAAGCAAGCGGAAAACGATGTGGATTTAAAATTAAATCATTGCAAAACAAGTTTTTCGGAAAATTATTACCTTTATTAAATGCCGGCGATTTCCAGAAAATAATTATTGTGTTGATTTTTTTAAAAAATAATTATTTCTAGGTGATTTATTTTATAATTTCTAAATTTTAATTTATTAAGTATAGTGTATAAAATGTTATTAATACTAACTTTTAATTATGTTGTTTTTGTTTTCGATTATTACCTATGTCTTCGAATTTGAATTTTAAATCAGCTGTAACCATAGTTTTGAAAAATATTTGTAATTTAGCTCAAATGTAGGTTATGACGACATGATTCAAAGTTAACATTTTAAATTTTAGTCCTAAAATGAGCCCTGCTCTATCGAAAAAATATTCTTACTTTCTTCCTAATGCATGTTTTTAGTACTCTTCAAAGGAGCTTCTGTAAAATCTTCTTAATAGCTCATTGTCTGTATTAGTTTATAAATTAGTTTTAAATTGATTTGAAAACTAAGTTCAAACATTCTTCTTATTTTTGAAATTTTATTACATTTGCTGTCTGATACAGTATTGTCAAGAAATCAGCCACTAATAACTCTTTCCTTAATTTTAATTTTAAAAAAATTTATTGAAAATAAAGTAATCAATGTTGATAGGCTTCATTAGAAAGAAATAACTTTGTCTAAATAAAAAAAAAGCTTTATTTAGAATAGAATGACAATTTTCCTGATGAGATTTAATTCTGTGAAAATTTATTATTTTGAGCAGTTTCTTATACTTAGTTACTGTAATTTAATTTTAAAATATTTTTTTCAGTTATATCAATGGTGGTGCTGAACGCGAAGAATTTCATCTAAAAAATCATAGAAAACTTATTTACAAACAGAAAGTTACTGAATACTTTTTATTGTTACTGACTGAAGATTGCAAAAGAGATGAATCTGAAACGGTAATGATTGAAAGTTACAAAATAGCGTCTTTCAAAAAACATTGCAAAAAACTTGGAATCCGAAAAATCATCCAACCTGAAGAGGTTAGTCTCCAGTTTTAATTTGTTAATATTTCTTCCAATTTTAATCTTTTTTTCTCTCTTCTTTTTTGAAATTCTTTCTCTTCTTTTTTGAAATTCTTTCTCTTCTTTTTTGAAATTCTTTCTCTTTTTTGAAATTTTTTCTCCTTTATATTATTTTTGACGCATTTTTATAAAAACTGAAAACAGCAAAATGTATTAAAGATTGAAGAGTCTTTTCTCTTCTTTTTTGAAATTTTTGACGCATTTTTATAAAAACTGAAAACAGCAAAATGTATGAAAGATTAAAGAGTCTTTAGAAATAAAATTAGACAATGTTTTTCCAGTACAGCCACTAAATGCTTTTTACTTCACAATATTATTTTTACCAGTGGTCGGAAATAGTGAAACTACTACTTGTCGCTACTTTTTTCGTAGTTTGTAGCGTAGTGTGTTATTTCTAGAAAAATAGTAAGTAGTGTGATACGAAAAAACAGTAGTTTGTAGCAATTCCTGGCAGTTATTTTAGTATATGAATAGGGTTCTAAATCAGCTAATTTTTCGAATTTGTTGAGTACAAATCTTTATAGATCTGTCAATGGATGCAATTTAAAATGCCCCTGTGTCTGTGAGTTAACAAGAATTGTATATTTAGAATTACATATAACTAATATAAGCTAGCTATTATGAATACTTTATCACTTTGGTTAAACTTTCACCTATTTCGAAGGAACGAAACATATTTTCGATATACCGTAAAGTACCGATAAAACGCCCCAACTCAAAAAAGCGCCCCCTTGCATTTTCGCATGAATACAGATTGCCAGCTAGCACCAAAAAACCGCCCCCTTCTCTACAACACAATTTAAAAAAGCTCTTATTTTAAGAATAAATTCATAGAATGTATTTCTAAAAAATAGTTTTCCTGATGTTTAGGGTAGAAGATTAGTGTTAGACTGTAAGTGAACAATGAGTGGGGGGAGTAGATAATCAATCAGTCACTAAATTGAAGATTATTAACAAAAGGGCAGATGTTTGTTAAGTGTGGTGGGATAGGAGGAAAGTTGTGGTCAACATTTCCTCCCAGCTGCATGTAGGCCAAGGTCACCTTGAATGGTATGTACACTCACTGGTAAGAATGGGGAAAATTTTAAGGTGTAGTGGGAGAGTTGAATGTGACAGATTGAGTAAAAAAGAAAGGGTGTTACTCTCCTACACAGGAAGAAAAATGTAAATTGAAAGGGAGTTGAATTAAATGGAAGAGATAAGGAGTAAAAGGGAATTACCCTTTCCTAGAATTGTTCTACAGGGGCAAGAAAATCTGAATACTTTGGGGGTGGAAACTGAACATTCTTTGCTTGTTCACAGAGATTAAAATATCTTTCTTTTATGAAATATTTTGTCATATTTTTTTAAAATTTTTTCACCTATTTGCATGTGCAGCAATCACACTAAAATTTAAAAATAAAGGATTGCTGCAAAGGTATGTTTTTTAATGATTAAAGTTTAAATTTACTTTCTTTTGCAATGATTATTTTTACTGTATATTTTGTGATTCACACTAAATAATGCTCAACCAAATATAGTTGATTTTTTTTAAACGGCGCTTTGCATTTTCTTCAGTACCGATTATTCGCCCCCTCGATGTCACGACGATTTTCGTCAAAATTAAGGGGGCGCTTTATCGGTATTTTACGATGCTTAATTTCTTATCGGAATTAAAAGAGCGTTAAATACTTAACAAAATTGCAAGTATTTGATAATTTCCCAGCATTTCTTGAATTAAATATTCGCTGTCAAAAAGTGCATAAAAAGTTGAAGATTAAATTGACTAATTCGAAAAAAATGTCTCCGAATAATAAACTGGCTCATGTAAACATGCATAAATATTTCTTCATGTTTAATGTGAGTCAATATTTTATTCAAAGCCATTTAAACATAACGTATAAGTTAATTTCTCCAGCAAAATCTCAATTATTGATTCGTGTTAAGTGTTTTCTCAATTATTGATTCGGCTCTATCATCTAATTTTTTTAAAAAATAGATTTCAATTAACAATGCAATTTAAAATTTTAAATTGGGTATTAAAACATCTAGTAATCTACTTTTGTACAAAATTATAAGAAGAATGCATCACTGTGCTTTGGTTTCAAGATAATTTAAACCTTACTTTTAAATTATTTAATTAAGAAGAAAGCCTTGAACTTGGTTACAAATTTTAATTAAATATTAGTGGGAGAGAATATTAACTAACTAATGATTATTTTCTAACGGAACTGTACTATAAATATTATCTATATCTTGGTCTCAATCTGTTATGAGTTTCTTAGTACTTCCTTAATAAAATTAAACTGAAAACTGTTAAAACTTTTGTCCTAAAAATAATTCTGATATAAAAAATAGTATTGTTTTGCGATGAAATTTGATTTATTATATATTTTCTATTTTAGAGTCAAGAATAAATCTTTAAATGATCTTAAGAATTTATTGTGGTATTCGCAATCATAATATCGTTATAAAATTATGTGAAATTAATTGGGAGAAAAATTGACTGACTTAAGTGAAAAAAATTTCACACTAATGATTTTCTGTTCAGTGTTGTGTTACCATTTGTGTGTACCATAGCTCTAAAATCAAGTTTTAAAGTAAAATGTACTTATGTAAATGTATAAATCATATATAATATGATTTTTGAATTCACATACAGTTAGATACAGTTCTTTATCTTAAGGTATCTTTATATTCTTTTTGAGAAGTTAAACATTGCAAGTTATTTTTTTTTTGGTGCTTTTTTATGTTTGAAACAGTAACTTATTTTTGTACATAACTTTTTCTATGGTTACAAAGAATATTTATTTATTAATGATATTCTAATATTTGTATGCCTTTTTTTTATTTCATTTTTTATTTAGCTAATGAAAGCTGTTACAGAAAATTTCCATGCTGGAACTAAAAAAAGGTATTTCTTATAGCATATTTATTAATAAAAATACTTGTCTTTTTTTAAAAAAAAAAATTTCATTGAAATAGAGTGTAGTAAAAGGGATTCACTGCATGTTATGAATAAAACTTTAACATTAAATAAATAAATTTACTCCACTAAATTTCTTCATAAAATATTTAAATTTCTATCACCTTTAGATAAATTGGAATTTCTCATCTCCTAAAGGCATTCTAGCAATCTTTTTTATTTATTTATTTTTTTTTTATTTACCCTTTATTTTTGTGTAAGCACTTTTTCATTTTGTTACACTGAGTACATAACAATGTTTGTCTTTTGGGAAATATGGCCCTTTTTAGCTCTTGTCCCATCCTTGTTTGCACTGACTAGTGTTTAGGTGCAAGTGTAATAAAATTTCAAATTATTTCAAATGCACTGAAAAAAAATCATCTCTCTATCTACATTTTTAAAGAAGCTATGAATGATTTTAGATTGCCCTAAAACAGAAACTTGATCAGCAGACAGAATTTAAAGTGCCTTTTCTAATAGATGAGAATTTTGTGTTTTAATCGTAATTAAATTTTAATCTTAATAATCTTATTTAAGATAACGCTTTGAAGTAAACTTTTTTTTTTCTTCCTAAGTATAATACATTTATTTAAATTGTGCATGGAATAAGCATTTTATGATGTATTAAAATTTTTACAGCATGTTATATGTACCTAACAGGAGTTTTTAACCTTCTTTTCTACTTTTTTACAAAATAATCTATAAAAAATGTTCTAATTGATATATCAACAAATGAATGCACAAAATTGTTAAGGTGAATATTGTAAGCACTAAGAAAAGAATATTTTTTGAAAATCTGTTAAAATGAAAAAGACTTGGGGATTTAAACATTTTAAATTTTTTCAATTTTAATTTAAAATTCAAAAAAATTAATCAGTTTAACTATTTTTTTTAGGATAAATTATTGATTGTAAGTTAAATGAGCATGTTAAGCATCCAAAAAATGAATGATTATACCTTTATTTAAAAAAAAAAAAAAAATGTTGCAAGGTTGCTGTGACCCCTTAAATTCGTGATGATTCGTGAAAATAATTTCGTGATGAAAATAAGATATTTTAGTGTGACTTACATTAAATTTGCTGTTTAACGTAAAACAAATATTACCTGATGTTATGAAGCAGGGCTTATATAATTAAGGTGGAACAGCATTTTTATTTGTTTGATCTTGGTGTAATTGCATATATAATTATAATTCTGTCTATGCACATTATACAATAGAGAACCGATTATCCGGAACGATCAGGACCATCGCTATTCCGGATAACTGATTTTTCCGGTTTTCTGAATCGCTACAAAAAGCTGTTTTTTTTTTTTATTGTCAAACTCAGCTAAAAATATATATATATATATTTAGAATAATTTTAAAAGACTTTTACTTCTTTTGAAAGTGTAGGGAACTAATGATTATTTCTAAAATGATGGTAAACATATTTTAAAAAAGAAATAATTATTCTGAAATCTTTTAAGGAAGAAAGAAATTTTTTAAAAAAATTGTGAGAAAATGTATTGAGGCTCGTTCCATTTTTCCGGCATTCTGATTTCCGGATAAGAGGTTCTGTACTGTATTTGATTTCGTAAAATATCTTTATATTCTGATATTAATGCTTATTTGCTAGAGATTTTTAGTTAAGCATATGAAAAGAAAATTCTTCTATAAAATAATAAACCTTATTGTACCTCGCCTGTATTTTTTAGATCTTACTGGAGTACAGGTCATCCTATAACAAGACTTTTATACACTAAAATGACAAATTTAAAACATTAGTCATTTTTTTTTTTTTTTGGCTAAAAGGCTTTTAAAAACAAAACGCAGTTTTACTAACTAAAAAATGTGATAATATTTGTTAAAACTGATTGGGAAAAAACATTTTAATAATTTAATTTTAAAAAATGTCTGATTTCATAACATACTCCTAAATTAAGATATTTCTTATGTGCAATAGAATTCATTAAATCCTAAGAAAACAAGATAACTCCATTTTTTTTATTTTGAGTTATGTTTGCAATCTTCATGTTTAAATTATCTAGCTATCTTATAAAATGCTATTCCTAGGGTTATTCTAAAACTATGTTTATGAGAAAGCTAGTAGATGTTATAACTCAGAGGTCTGTCTAGGTTTTTGTGAAAGGTACCTATTTTGTGAAAATTTAGACATAATTTGTGAAAAATTAAAAATTATATTGAAAAATCAATGCAAAAACATGGTTAAAATATAGATTTACCGTTTCTTAAAGGATACAAAAATAAAATTTTAAGAAAAAGTATTTTGTGAAACTACCGTTTTTCCTAAAGTTGAATTTGTGAAGGTACCGCTAAACGGTAGTAAATTCAGCCTGGACAGACCCCTGTAACTAAACAGCTAAAACAAGACCAAACATTAACTTATTAAAGCAAGCATTTTAAAGTAATCTAATTTTGATTACCTACAAATTGATCTCCTTTCTTTACACTCTATCACAATTTAAATAAATTTCATCTGTGCATAAACTGCACGCTTTAAATGAGCTAGTAAATATTTAATTTTTAACTTGTTCATAAACTCTTGCTATAATAAATATTTTCTTTAATATAATCTTCAAATAAAAGCATAATTAATTTTCAATATAGATATTCTGACCCTGTATTAAGAAATGAACCTATCTACAAGTCTGCTTTTTGTGCAATGTTTGGTAAGTATATATATTTTTTTAACTATATTCTTTGTAACAATACTCATTATTCTTTATGCAGATGAGTTTAAAGTTCACAACTTAACAGAGCTTTTATTTAAAGTAACATTTATATCAAATTGCTTTTTAAAAAATGCATGGTTTGTAGAGGAGGCAGTAACAAAATAACAAATTAAATGTATAATCTGATTTACTTAGTTTATTTTTTCTTTTTTTGTTTCACCTTTGTATTTTATTTATTTTCTTATCTCTTTGATATTGTGTAACACTTTTGCAATAAGCTTTATTTTTAACTGCTTTAAAAGTTTGCTTGCTCCAACATTTTCATCTTTCACTTGAATTTAAAAGCAATAGACAAAATTTCAACCACTCAATATATTGATTCTTGAAATGATATTCTTGCAATAATTCTTTTACTAATATTTATTCCTTGTGTACAAAATTCAAGGGAATATCATTCACCTGAATTTAAAAGCAATAAACAAAATTTCAACCACTCAATATATTGATTCTTGAAATGATATTCTTGCAATAATTATTGTGCTAACATTTATTCCTTGTATGCAAAATTCAGGGGAACATCATTCACCTGAATTTAAAAGCAATAGACAAAATTGCAGCCACTCAATATATTGATTCTTGAAATGATATTCTTGCAATAATTCTTGTGCTAATATTTATTCCTTGTATGCAAAATTCAGGGGAACATCATTCACCTGAATTTAAAAGCAATAGACAGAATTGCAACCACTCAATATATTGATTCTTGATATGATATTCTTGCAATAATTCTTGTGCTAATATTTATTCCTTGTATGCAAAATTCAGATGAACATCATTCACCTGAATTTAAAAGCAATAGACAAAATTACAACACCTAAATATATTGATTCTTGAAATGATATTCTTACAATGATTCTTGTACTAACATTTATTCCTTGTATGCAAAATTTCATATTTCGAGTTATTTTCAACCATATTAGTTTTATTTTCGACTTATTAGTTTATTTTCACCTTTATCAGCACTGCTTAAACTGCAAGTGTAAATAGAAATTTACATTTTTAATCATTTTTATAAATAGTCATAAGAACAGCTAATAATTTTGACTTAAACATTTAAATGACATATTAAAAATGGATTATTCAAGTAACTTAAAATTCAATAAAAGCACTTTTAAAAAGTTTCTAAGGAAACTAAAAAATTTGAAGTATGTTTATGATGATCCATTTTTAAAACAGTAGCATTTAACTAAAGCTTTTTTTTTACTTAATTTTAAAGAAAAAGGGAAGTAATATGTGAATTAAGTAAATGATATCTACTGAACTGCAATTATTTTTCCTATCTAACATTATTGGAAGCCCTATTAACAATTTCTAGGGTTGCCACCGGCGACTATTTGCACCTATTTTTAGCCTGAGACTTTTCTGTACTCCCAGCTATGTTTTTCAGCATAAATTGGGTTGACAACCTGCAGCCCGCGGGAGCTTCTAAAAACAAGAAATTTTTTTTTTCAAAAAAAGAAGTAAAATATGTTAAAAATTTTGAATTGCAAAGAGTCGTCACTTTTTAATGCTCTCAATTTGCTTAGATTCCGTTGTAAGTCTATATTGTTTCTCAGTCGCCTTTTCAACGGTTATTGCTAGAAAGAAAAGAAAGTATGTGTTTTTTAATGTAAAGTATTTTTTTGAATGATTTCTAGAAATTGAAGTATTTAATTTTCTAAAAGTATACAATTTTTTTACATAAAAATTTATTGATAGAACACTAACGTTTATATAAAAATTATCATATTTGCCGCAAAACTTGATTAAATGGATCATTGTGTATGAACAATTAAGTCATTTAATAAAATTTTAGTAATATTATTGAAAAATTTTTGTTCTTATTTAGGCAACTGTTTTCATGCTCTAGGATACTAAAAGCAACTATTTTGTTCATTTTTTTCTGTGGCAACCCTTTATTTCTTTAAATTTAAAAATATCATTAATATTGATTAAAAAGATAACTTTGACTTGTTACTAACATGTATATCAACGACCTTGTTCTTTCCCTACTTGAATTTGGAAATGAGGCCATTTAAAAAATACATACATTTAAAAAAAATTATGAGGTAGCAGGGGAATATCTGAGAAATCACTAGAACCAAGAAAGAAAAATTATCAGTAGCAAGAATCGATTCAGAAGAATTACAAGGAACTTTTGAAAAACCATTTCAATGTTATTTTTTAACTCTATCATTATCAAAGAGGAAGGGACAAGAAAGAGTGTAACATAACCTGAAAGCAATCATCTTATCAGAAAAAAAGTCATCTTTGTTGCTTGATATTTCAGAAAAAAGTGTAAGATTGTCTATCCACCAAACTGTCTGGACCACCTTGACCGATAATCACCCCTTTTAACCACAAATTGAAGCAGAAGGAAAGCATACCTTTTGTCTGACCCTCGACATTTTAGGTAACATCTTTCTAAATGTGCTTGCTGCTTGAAGTAAGAAACTTAGAGAGAGAGGAGATGCCAGGAGGGTTTATATTTTTTAAATGATTATAAAAAATTTTAAAGATTAAGTAGAAAATTTTTTACCTGTATATAAGATTGATTTTTTTAAATCTTCTCCATAAAATGATGACAGTGTTATTAAGTTTATTTTCAAAGTTATTTTTGTTTAAAAGAAAAATTGCGGCAAATTCCGAGAAAAATCCCTGGATAGCCCATAATAGAAAAATGTTGATTTTGAAAGTAAGTGCTTATTGTACTGTGATTTGAAAATAAGTGTTTATTACAGGGCTCGAAAAATAGCCCGTCCGCCCATCCTCGGCGGTCAAAAATTCCCCGAGGACAATGAATTTCTCAAATGCGACGTCCGCGCCAACGGCCATTTTCCTGTTAATTGACATTCCAGATAACTTGCCTTTGTCATTTAAATTATTTCGTAAAAGAAATAAATTATTTCATAAACAAAATACTAAGTTACTATTAGTAACCTAATATTTCTTTTATTACTGTATAATGTAATTCTAGTATTTGTAATCCTAGTAACTACTAATTCATTGTGCAATTTATATAAATGTTTGTAATAAATAAGGGAAAATTATATTTTTATTTATTTAGAAGTGACTGGTTAGTTTAAAAGGAGGACGGGTACATTGTTGGACAAGCCGTCCTCGGGGACGGGTAAAATTTCTGAGTTTTTTCAAGCCCTGGTTTATTATATTGTGATTTTGAAAATAAGTGCTTTTTGTACTGTTTCTTTATATTCCCATTTTTTGTTCAGAGTAGTATTATAGCAAAACCATCTATAAGTTTTCTATTTACTAAGTGATTTAAAAACTATAAAAAAAAATAATAAATTTAGTTTAATAATGAATGTTACTTTTATTCTCTAAAGCTCAAGTTACAATGGAAACTACAAAGAACGGAGATCAAAGATGCCAAGAATTTTTTCGAAATGTAGTTCTACATTACACATTGCTTGCAATACTTCTAGAATTAAATCCTATGCTTTATTATGGAAGGGATGTTGTTAATCCAGCATTACTTATAGATGCTTTTATCGATTACATGTCCTGCTCACATCAGCATATTGAAGAAAAAAGCATGTTTGGACTTAAATTTCTTAAAACCATTATAATTTCCGTTGGATGGTTCTTTTCAGCTGAACAGGTAATCTTTAAATTTCATACAGTGCTATAAATATGTTTTGAAAAATTATTATTAATTTTATTTCTTAAAATTTCTTAGGAAAAAACTCTGTGGAGCTTTAATTATTTCAAGACATTGTTTGATAAACTTTGTGCCCTTTGTTATGCAGAGTCACCATGGGAAAAAAATTTTGGGTAATTTTATTTTTTTACATATATATTTTTTAATTAAAAAGCAAAGTGAACTTTAGGCGAAAAATTCTCAATAAGGTTCAATTTTAAACTTTATCTTAACCTTTCTAAGCTTTCTTTCTTTTTTTTTTCAATACAATGAGTAGAATCCTACAAATTGTACAAGGATGCAGAAGATGTAAAAAAAATTCCTTAATTTACAACTGCTTGCATGTTTGCCTCAATATCGATATAATTTCTATTTTTTTGTAAAATGTCTTATATTTTCAAAATGAACTTTTCTCTATAGCTTTTATTCAATTTATTATTATTTACCTTTAATATATTTCTTTAATATTTTATCTTATTAAGAAACAAGATTTCAATGCTGATTTCCTTGTTAATGGCATTAATTCCTCACCACCTCGCCATAATGTGTGGAAATGCATTTTACCCTGATTTGCCCCTCTCTGCCACAGTGGTTTTTCTTGTTCTGTTTTTTTTTTTTTTCCATATTTATTTTACTCTTGGCTAATGTGGTTTTTCTAGTTTTGTTTCTCCCTTTTATTTTCCATTATTCGATGGCAACTTTGTTTTATATTTCAAATTATTTTCTTCTTATTCATGTGTGGCAAGTCTTGAGAATGGGCACTTATTTTTGAGCACTTGAAACATGTCAACTTTTATTTCCATCTACATATTTTAAGCTAATAAAGTTTTTTAACCAAATAATATGTGTTCACTTGAGTTTTTTGGTATTATTTATTTAATTCTGATAATCTTTTTAGCGATTTGGTCATGCACATCATTCATTATTAATGGTAGGTAGGTACTTTATTTATGTCGCACTAGAGCTGCACAATGGGCTATTGGCGGCGGTCTGGAAAACATCCCTGAGGATGATCTTAAGACATGCCATCGCAATTTTGATCCTCTGCAGAGGGGATGGCTCCCCTTTGATAGCCCGATGACTTGCTCACAAAGTCAAGCACTTTACGGTAGAACAGTTTAACGACGACTGATACCGCACACCCTCGGTCCCTACGCAGGCTGATCAAAGTGGTCACCCACCCGCTTACTGACCGCAGTCAGTGATGATTGACTTCGGTGTTCTACTGGGAACCGTGTCTTCACGATCAGCCCACTGCGGGACTCATTGCGAATGGGTTTGGACAAAAGGTTCAACTTCTTGCTTTTTATTTTTGATTGTACTGGATATTACTTGTATACTGCATAAAAAGAATATGTTAAAGAATGTTCTAATCCGAAATTAATGAGCTCCTGAAAGTAAAAAGTAACCTCAAAGAGATTTCCATAAATTACAATAAAAGCAAGATAAATGCTCTATAATCAAGGCAAATGCTGTCTAATTCAAAAAATGGGAAAGAGCTATATTCTGTTATGACTAAAGTTTTATAAAACAATGACAAAGTTTGAAGGAATGTTCCAGAATAAGCTTCTAGATTTACTTACTTCTTTTGAATGTGCTTTAGTAAATACTTTGTTAGAATCTTTATTCTAATAAGTGAAAAATAATAATTAAAGCAATAAAGAAAATTAAAAGCGTATTTTTATTTTCAAATTATGTTTTTTTTAATTGTTTTCTACGTCATCTGCTACTTGTCCACATCCTTGTGGCAGAATTTTTTCGAGCTCTCTACTACAAAACTCTCTACCACTAATATCTTTCTGCAAGATACTTTTAATAATGACAAACATATATGTTACTCATTTAAAATAACAAAAGCACTGTGCTTATGAAAGAAAAAACGATATAATTTTTATTTTCTTTGAACGTGTAGTAATTTTTAATTCTAATATTATGGACGATATTCTCGCATTTTGTTGGGGGGGGGACGTTCAAATTATTTCCTTCTTCACCTTTTGTAAATAATCATCACAATTAAAAAAATAATTAAAAATCATGAAATCGGTATTAGTAATTGCCGATAAAAAGATCTACAGCTAAATCACGCGAATCATACGCCTCAAATGCGTGTTTCATTTTGAGATTAGGTTGTTGTAATAAATAATATCATATGAAAAAGATCAGATTTAAAAATTATTGAGAAATCAGTAGCAATAACTGCCAAAAATTCGATGGAATTATTGCATTAAAAAGTAAATACTCAAATGCACGATTTGAATTTTTCAGAATGTTTGAAATATATCGGGATATTAAAATCCATGTGAAAATAAATGTCGAAAATACATACGAAACATTACATTGACTTAGGATACTATCAGTGTAAAAAGTGATTATCGAAATGCATGATTCAAATATTATGCTTAAATATCTGTTGAAAAGAAAAGTAATTTTTTTTTTTTACTTTTCAAGAGAAAATTCTTTCTGCAAGAACTCTGTAATGTTCTGCAACAATGTTGTCGTGTCACTGTGATTCTGCCACAGGCGTCCACATTATATTGAATGATTTTGAACTTATAATTTTTTATTACTTTTTTCAGGTGTGAAGCATTGTTGTTTTTATTGGGTTCAGAGTGTAAGAAATTGTTCTTCCTTCGATTCAGTTCAGTTCAAGAATCTGCAATTATGAAAGCATTGCTCTATGTTATTGAAAGTTCTACAAAGTGTATATCAGAAGGTGTCACAATGCTTGCAGAGTAAGACCTTAAACATTATGTTTTTAAATGAAAATTTTATGCTTGTAAAGAAATCTTGAAATTTGTTATGCTTATTTACCTTATGAGATTTGCCGTGACAGAATTGCAGCAACACGGCGACATTGTCACAGAGCGTTATAGAAATTGTTGCATTTCCTTCCAATTTTTGAAAATTTGTGCAGGGTATCCCGCACACCTGGAAAGTGAGGAAAAATCATGAATTTCAGTATTGAACAAAATTTGTCATGAAATGTCATGATTTTAACCAATTTTAAAAAAAAAAATCGTGAAAAGTCATAGATTTAGGTCGACAAAAAATCTTATTTTTAAAATGGAATGTACCCTCTCCCCCCATTTTCATGGTGTTCCGAATATCTGAATTTGTTACAAAATCCCCACATACAGTCATAATTGATTAAAATATAAAATGTTTTTATCGTGCTCTTTAAAAATTATGCTGTTCTTTCAAGAAATGAAAGAAAAATATTTCTAGAGCGAATTATCTTTTAAACTTCTGTGATTTCAGAATTTTTATTTATTTTTATTTTATCAATTCAAAATTTTAGCTGAAGCAAGCTAGTCATTGGCGAATTTTTTTTATTCCGAAATGAGAACAGAAAAATCAGGAGTATTTCTCCCCTTTCCGATGAACAAGAAAAGTATCTTTAGAATGTAATTCTGCAGAAGAAAGGGGAAAAAAATTATTTGCTTTTGTATTTTTTTAAGCTATTTTATTGCTTCAACTCTTTCTTTACTCTGTTTTTTAAATTTAAAATGTTTAAGTAGGAAAATGTAGAGTAAAACAGTTTTTTTATTATACCTATTATTTCAATGAATTTAATTATAATGCCTTTTTAAATTTATTGTTGTGCTGTTGTAGGAGAGAATAGTAATTTCGTTAAGTCATGAAAAATTCTTGGAATTAATCATGGAAAGTCATGAATTTGAAAATCTAAAATGTAGCAGATGTTGTTGTCTAAATGTTTCTGGTTTTCCTTTCTGCATAATTTTTCGAAAAATTCTATTTTTTCTGCAGAATTATTTTTCAAAGATGTGTTTCTTGCCCATCAGAGAGGAAATAAATAATCATGATTTTTTCTCATTTGAGACTTTCAAAAAAATCAGTAATGACTGGCTTCAGTTAGAATTTAAAATTAATAATATAAAATAAAATAATTCAGAATTCATGAAAGTTTAAAAGATAGTTCGCTCTAGAAATGATGTTCGTTCTTTCATTTTTTTTTTCTTTAGCACTAGATCGCCCAAGGAAGTCATTTTGACTGCTTTTTAATTTCAATTAGAAAAACAATGATGTCTATAACGACACATTTTCTTAGAATTTTGTGACTTTTTGTACATAATAAAATTTTTTTATTGTTTATATTTACTAATAACTTGTTAAATAACTGTAAATAATATAAAAAAATTTAAAAATTAATTTTAAAAAACTTTTTTTAAGCATCATTTATTCTTTTTTAATCCAGTCACTACTACTTTAGGGGACTACTTTAGGGAAATATGGATATATACTAAGTTTCAGTCTTACTGGTGTTAAAGAACACCATATTTTACAAACACTTATGTTAGTATCTCTTTTTTAAGGAGTCTTACATAGCTGCCAACTTTACTGGATTATACAGTAGACTACTGTATTTTGCCAGTTTCTCCTGGTCTACTGGTTTAATAAAAATGCTCCTGGTTTTTGTATATTTAAAAGATTCTCTAAAATTCAGTAAGTTTCCTTAAAAAATCCCTATTGAAATAGAATTTTTGTGCAAATTATTGTTTGCTTGAATATTTAAATAAGTGCCATTAATACATAATAAAGCAAGCCTCATTTATAAAAATCAGTTAACTATCTTTGATGAATTAAATGCCTATTACTATTCAAAATTCTGAATGAACATAATGCATAACCTTTCAAGATCATGTAATGTGAAATCATAACTGGAAAATATAGCAGTTGATTATAAAAATCCCTAAAAAATTTCCTATATATAAAATATATAGTATATTTTGTGACAATTATCATAAAATTTGTATTATTTCGTTATATCTACTGGAATTTTTCCTGTCCATGTTGGCAGCTATGGTCTTATTCTCTTCGTGTTCTTTATTTTGCGAGTTATTTCACGCATTTTTCGAATTTTAATTTATTTTCGAATTTTAATTTGTGTATTGATTTACAAAATAGGAAAGAGAAAATAATTACTGCATTTGTTGGCCTACAAAATAAAGCTAATTAAATACAACTCTGTATTGCACATTGAAAATGTTGAAACCTAATTCTTTCTTAGATTTATTATATTTTTATGTATTTTATTGTAACACGTGATATATTTTATTTTGTTTACCTGACAACTTTGATGCATAATTAGTTTGTTTATCGATATAATCAAGTTAATCGATATAATCAAGAAGTGATAATTCTAATTCAAATTTGAAATATGAAATCTCAATAAAGTTATTACTACTGCAATCGACTTTAAGTAATCCACCAAGTTTCAAAAATCACTTTTTTTTTTAACANACAACTCTGTATTGCACATTGAAAATGTTGAAACCTAATTCTTTCTTAGATTTATTATATTTTTATGTATTTTATTGTAACACGTGATATATTTTATTTTGTTTACCTGACAACTTTGATGCATAATTAGTTTGTTTATCGATATAATCAAGTTAATCGATATAATCAAGAAGTGATAATTCTAATTTGCGTGTCATAGTAACATTGTATTAAAAATTATTGTAATTTGAAAAATAACTAAGACGAAAAAATCTGAAATCCAGACCATTAGACATTACTTCTAATTTTCTCTAACTAGCATTTGTTTGTTTTTTTTAACTAACAAATTGCTACTTGCTAGTCTGCAAATTTGCGCCCTTTAAATATCTGGACCTTTTTATTAATGTTAATGACAAATCAAATTTGAAATATGAAATCTCAATAAAGTTATTACTATTCCAATCGACTTTAAGTAATCCACCAAGTTTCAAAAATCACTTTTTTTTTAACAAAATTTTTCCAAACCTGATCAAATCCTACTTCAAATTATCCTTGCAGTTTCCAAAAGTAAAAAGTTTTTGAAAAATTTAAAAATATATATTTTGGTCTATTTAGTGTTTGGTGACGTATTGCAACCAATTTAAATTAGTATTTCTTTTAACATTTCTATTGCATAATATTTTTAAATTTTTTTATGTTTTATTGTCCTTGTTTAGGCCTATTCTTCAATTAAACTAAAAAATTTCAATTTTCAGGCGAGGTTTGGATCAAGCTGTTGACTACATTTCTGCAGCTAGTTCTCAAGATTTAGAAAGTGTTTTAAGGCTGTTTTTTGATGCTTTGATTAATCCGAGTGAAGCAGTTAGAAGTAAGGTACATAGTATTATCTTTTTTTGCTCAAATAATTTTTGATGAACTTGAAAGAAACTTATAGCAGGTGAAAAGAATTTTTGTTAAATATTTGAGTTAAATACAGATTATTAAATATTTGAGTTAAATATAAAAACTGAACCGAACATGAAGGGTTGAGAAATGAAAATTAAAAACAATCTTTATTCGAGATAAATCCTCCTAGTCAAGTGTTGGAAGTTTAACCATCCTACTGCAACATACATGCAGTTTTTTTAATTTTATAATTGAAGGAAGTAAAACTTTGGGAGGCCGTATCTTGACCAATGGGTTGCAGTTGTGGTAAATTTTTACCCCTTTCCATTCTTACGCAATTTTACGGATGTACACTGTTTGATTAGCTTTAATAATTTCTATGATGTCTATATATGGTTGGTTGGCTCTAATGCCACTTGCCACACGGACGAGCCTGCTTGGTGAAACCGAGGAGATTTAAGGCAGAGTGTGCGATTTTTGTTTTTCAGTGAACGCCATCTATGGCCAAGAATTCGACTTCTGCCACACCATGCAGCACACCTGTTTATAAGGCGGACCCATTCATTTATCCACAGATCGTAATTTTGACCTGAATCCAAGAACGATTGATCTCCAATCCAGTACCCCCAGAGGTATTGGTTTGTTATGGAAACATGGAGGACTTTTAACAGAACTTTCAACAGAATTTTAACGTGCATCAGTCACCAACTACACGGGTAGTCTTCTGCTGGTGGGATTCGAACCCATGAACTCTCGGGCATGGACCCAGCGCCCTACCGACCAGGCTATCCCTGCCCTTGTCTATATATAGTATTGTCAATTACAGTTTCAAATTAGTTTTAAAAACAGCTGCCTGTTGAAGATAATAAAAAAATAATGAATAAATATAAAACTATCTGGAACTGTCTATTTTTAAATGTTTGAAAATATATATACTAAAATTAGTGTAAACTTTAAACTAAGTGTGTGCAATAAAAGAAGTTTAGATCGTTTCTGATGTTAAGAGTTTTCCTTGTTACTGCTGCTAGTTTTTTTTTTAGTTTTTTTTTTCAGTCTTCCATTGCAGTGGTTCCCAAATAGTGTTGTAAACTCTATGGTACTCTCACAAGGGATCTAAGATTTTAATTTTTCAAGCCAGTAATGATTTTATTAAGTTCGTCATAATACTTGTATCAAAACAATAAACCATCGTCTATTTCACATTTTGATAATTTTTTTAAAATTCCTTACTTAAAATACCAGCAAAAAAAGAAATAGCAAAATTTTTACGAAATTATTTCTTCCAATAGCAATATACTGAGTATTGCATCACTCATTCTCTTCAAACTTTTCAATTCAGAATAAAATGATCAAATCCTATAAAAAGGAATTATATTTCTCTGAAAACAATTATCAATGTTTATAGCAGTTCTTTTTTGAAGAATAAAACTCAGCACACATACGTTTTAAGTTTATGTATAAGCCATTACTAGACAAAGACCCTTTGTTTACGGTGTTCTGTGTTGTACCATCACATGCAGTCCACATATTGTACCAGCCATAAGCAAAAGGTTAAACTAGACAAGTGCCATTCCAAGCTTGGGAATTCAACTGTTTGATATAAAATCTATAATTTTAAGACTTTTTACTAATAAAACCATGGCTAAAATAAATTTCATTCTTCTCATTAAATAGTTTCAAAATAATAATAATTATTGATCAATTCCTAACTACTTATTTTATTTATAAACTTGGAATTTTGCCAAAAGATGCTCGTTCAATTAGGATTCCACAGTCAAAAAAATATTAGAGTTGACTGTTCTTATTTATTTTTTTAGAGATTCTGAAAATTTGCATATTAAAATCAATTTCTTTTGCAGGCATACTCATGTTTGCAAAAAATTGTTAAGAAGAATACAGTTTCAAATTTGGACATATACATAAAGGGTATTTACGACCAATGCTTTGAAATGCTTAAGGAATATTCCATATGCCCTACTAAGGTTATAATTGGAATTCTAAAGGGTTTCTGTCTGTTACAATCATTTAAAAAGAACTCTCTTTCAGACTGTAAGTATTCATTATTTCATTAGTTTTTAGTACTCAAGTTTTATTTATTTTTTCACTATGGATTTCCCATTAACTGTCAGTTCAGCTGGTGAAACAATCCCAAATAAGTGAATTTCGTCGGTAATCTAAAAAATGGCCAACAAGTTTTGCATGCATTTGTCTTCTCATGCTAAAACACTTCTTAGTTTGTAACTGATAATCACTTTACAAAGATTATATATCTATACATACACAGGGACCAAGACATTCTCATGCACTTTGAAATTTTTATTACAGTAATATATAATAAATCATGCAAAAACATTTTGCATAAAATTAAGTATCTTCTCAATAACTGCTTTGAAATAATACTGCCTTTTACTTTCTTAACGAGCTTAAGTTTCTTCTTAAATCAATCGCATTTCCTGCCATACCTTTCGAAATACATTTTTGAATTAGCTCAGATTGGTGCTTTTATAATTATTAAATTGGGAGAGCATGTATAACCAAACAAAATGAGCGAGCGGATTCAGGTTGGGGGAGTACATTCATTCTTCATCAAAAAGTCAGCCAAATGTTCACTGTACCACTCCTAAACTGCATCTGTGGTATGAGAAAAAGCACCATCTTTTTGGAAGCAAAAATATTCCCATGCATTTTCTGGACACTTGGAAGTAAAAAATTTCTGAAACCTCAGCTCTAGAATATTAGGCATTGGTTTTTATTCCCTTTTCAATGAAAACTAATGAGAATTTACATCTTTTTGAAATAGCCCTCCAAATTAGAACAGGCAAAACATTTCGATAATGGATGTTATCAACAGAAATTGACCATATTCAATCATTTTGGGTATTAAAATTTTGCTGTAAAACAAGTTTCTCATCTGAAAAGGAAAATTCATCTTCAGCATACCTTACATGAATTTCTTCAACCTCTGCCTCCTTTTTATCTTGGCAGTGCGTGAATTTTGCTTTTTCTGTAAGCCGTGCACCCAAGGTCCTTTCACAAAAGATTTAACATTGATCTCTTCGATATTTTGAGCTCTTGGGCTAGCTTTCTAGCAGTTCTTCGTCTGTTTCATCGTATCCTTTCCCTGATATTTTTTATTGTCTCTTGTCTGAACACGCCACGGTTTGCCAGATCTGCTTCTGTCTTGTCTGAGGACATCTCATCATGCTTTCTGATAANTATACCACAATATCGAAATTCTGACATTGCCCAGCCCTAGTTGAGACTTCGCAGTAAAACAAATTGTTTCTCGTCTGAAAAGACCAGCACATCCCCAGAGTGAAAGAATTTCTCTCACCCGCTGCCTCCTTCTTATCTTAGCAGACACTGAAGAAATTATAAGTAGTACAACATATAAGCTTGAAATATGTTGTACTACTAGTGTAACGTCCCATATCCGGACGTCCCTTTTCTGGAAGGGTTGATTTCCCAGACACTTTTTAACAATCAAAGTAAACAAACATTTCTTCATCTTCCCCTCTCTCTCTTAAAAAAACGAAGAAGAAAAAGCTGTGAAGAAGGTTAAACATAGCAAACGTTAAAGTGGAGGAAGAATCACTTTCAGTCACACAAGAAAAAAATAAAGAGAACCCAATCAGTATGCCACGCCTTTATGCTTGATTGATGGCCAATGATGGGAGAGAAAATAAGAATTTGTCACTTCCCCGCCCTCAACTTGAATGACAAGTAAGGAGGAAATGAATTTTTCTTCTCCACTTACCCACCTTAATGAATGACTGGAATTTCCCTTTCTTGCTTGAATCATTCTAGTTCAAAATGGCGGAGAGATCAATTAATATTTTCGTAACTGTCAAATTTTTTTCGTTTTCTATATTTATTTTTATAATAGCAATAATTATTTTTTTTGTCTAATATTTTGTTTTTGATTGATTAGATATCATTCTAATACTGAAACATTATTGCCTGAAAAATATTGTTTATTTATTTTTTGCTTCTTAGATTCAGATCGTTTTAAGCCTTCTTTACCTTAGGGGCCTATTATGCGGAAAAATCTAATATCCGGACTTTCGAAAGTCCCACCGATTCCGGATACGCGACTTTCCACTGTATACCGTACACTAAATTTTCTGAATAGAATTAGGACGTCAGGAACACTTATTTAGTTTTTTAACATGCTTTGAAGGGTCTATGAGAACTTGTCATGGTGTATATATTAGCAAAACTGAAAACTTGAGAATGGAAGCAGCAATTTGGATCATATTTTTTCTATGCAAATTTTTCTGAGTTGGTTTGTAAACAATTACCTATTACTAACATCATTTAGTTTGGGCGCAATCAAATTCCATTGTTGAAATTCGGGAAAATAATAGCGACAGATTAAACTTTCACTTATCTTTCGAATTGCATTAGGATTTTTTGTAATCGATTGCTAATATTTTTTGGATAATTTTATGATATTTTTTGTCCCTCTGCATTAAGTTGTTCACACATAATATTAAAAAAATGTGTTTTTTGGTTGTTTCAACATTGCGCTGTCATAGAAGTTGAGTCGTTACAAAATATGTAAAAAATATCGAAACAGGCGAATCAAAATTAAAGCTTGCTAAGCTCATAGTTTAAATGAAGTGAAAATTCATGCTGGAAACAAATACACAGGCTGATATATTTATCAAAAATTAAGGAAATGCTATATTTAACCAGCACATGTAATTTTAAACATAAATTTGCTTATTATTTTTTGTCCAAACAGCATTTTAATTACAAGGCGTTTGAAATAAGTAAAATAAACTTTAATACTAAAACATTTTAATGCTGATTATTAATAGTAATTATTATTTTAATATTTTATACACATTTTTTTAATTCTCTAACCAGATATTCATAATATACACAAACGTGGAAACTTTGTCACCATTGCAGAAACTTCTTTGAAATAAGTATAAATAGACTTAAATACTAAAACATTTTAATGCCGATTATTAATAGTAATTATTATTTTAATATTTTTATACACATTTTTTTAATTCTCTAACCAGATATTCATAATATACAATACACAAACGTGGAAACTTTGTCACCATTGCAGAAACTTCTTTGAAATAAGTATAAATAGACTTGAATACTAGAACATTTTAATGCCGATTATTAATAGTAATTATTATTTTAATATTTTTATACACATTTTTTAAATTCTCGAACCAGATATTCATAATATACACAAACGTGCAAACTTTGTCACCATGGCAGAAACTTCTTTAATATTTTTATTTAAAATTAATTAAAATTGAAAAATATATTATTTAAAATTGAAAAGTGAAACACAATCAAATGTTTTTCTCAAACTTTATTTAACTCGCTAATTGTTTTGAGTATTTTTACTTATAGTTTTTTGATTATACACTCACAAAATTGATTTAAGAAGTTCCTCCGATTATCCAACTGTTTCAATTATCTGACATACTCTGGGTCTTATTGGTATTGAACAATAGGGTTTCTACTGCATTTAATTAATAAAAGGGAGAATTTTAAAATCTTATCATGTGGTTATAAAAGTAAAAATGTCTCTATAGTTATTGTATATTGTTTCCTTGTGTTCAAATTTTGTAGTTTTAAATTTTTTTATTACATTAAAAATTGCCTTTTTTATTCTAGATTTCAACACAAATCTTAATGCAGGATTTTTTCTAAAGGAATTTCTTCTTGAACAATGTGCGAAAGTTATTTCTAAGGATTTTAAGTCACTTCAAGAAGATGAGAAAGAATTATTTGAAAGCTCCTTGCAAATTTTGTGCATTATGAGTAAAAGTTTAGAAACAGAAAACGTATCATCTGTAATTGAATGTATTATTTATGCTTTAACGTCTGCCAATGAAAAAATGTATATATTTGCAACAAAATGCTTACGCATTCTTAAAAAATATGTTAGAGAAACTCCTAAAGCTGATTGGCTGGTATGTATTTTTATGAAATATTTTACAAAAACAACTTTATTTTTAAATGTTTTTTTCTGACTAAAGAAAATTTACGTTGTAATTCAGTGTTTTTAATTTTAAAAAATTATATTGAATAATTAAAAAAAATTTTATTTAGACCTGCCAACTCTCAGGCTTTTGGTCTACAACTCTGACTTCTGTGTTCTATCTCAGAACTTCAGGCACCACCATTGTTTTTCCTCTGTTTTTTTTCCTTAATAAATTTACAAATCATAATCTCACACTTTGCATACTCCTCATGTGTAAAAGTTTCTTCCTTCAGATCAGCGATTTTTTTTCTTTCAATTGCATTTGGCTTATTGTTAATTCTTTTGAATTAAAATTTTGATAAGCCAAAAAAATATATAACACTGCTTTCAATAAAGTTTATACAAAATATTTCTCTTTTAAGAATGATAAAAAGATCTTGATTCATGTAAAATAATCGTGTTTACGTTAGGTTTTTGGTGAGTTGATTTTCTATGCTTCTAAAAGTTTATAGAAAAGGATGACAAAGCTGATTTCTAGCGAAAAATATCAGAATTTTTTTCATGGGGTCTTAATAGGATCGATAAAAAATGGTGTAAAGTCACTGTCAGGAAAAGTAAGCAAGTTTTAGAAAATAAATTTACAGACCTGAAAGAGTTTCAGAAAAGTTTTTATATAAAGTTTACCAGGAAAAGTAATGCCAGTACTGTGTTGGCCAAGTGTACCAGTTTTAGAAAATAAATTTACAGACCTGAAAGAATTTCAGAAAAGTTTTTATATAAAGTTTACCAGGAAAAGTGATGCCAGTACTGTGTTGGCCAAGTGTACCAGTTTTAGAAAATAAATTTACAGACCTGAAAGAGTTTCAGAAAAGTTTTTATATAAAGTTTACCAGGAAAAGTAATGCCAGTACTGTGTTGGCCAAGTATACCAGTTTTAGAAAATAAATTTACAGACCTGAAAGAGTTTCAGAAAAGTTTTTATGTAAAGTTTACCAGGAAAAGTAATGCCAGTCCAGTACTGTGTTGGCCAAGTATGCCAGTTTTAGAAAATAAATTTACAGACCTGAAAGAGTTTCAGAAAAGTTTTTATATAAAGTTTACCAGGAAAAGTAATGGCAGTACTGTGTTGGCCAAGTGTACCAGTTTTAGAAAATAAATTTACAGACCTGAAAGAGTTTCAGAAAATTTTTTATATTAAGTTTACCAGGAAAAGTAATGCCAGTACTGTGTTGGCCAAGTGTACCAGTTTTAGAAAATTAATTTACAGACCTGAAAGAGTTTCAAAAAAGTTTTTATATAAAGTTTACCAGGAAAAGTGATGCCAGTACTGTGTTGGCCAAGTAAAAACTGGTGATATTAAACATTCCTCACAGCAATACGGGACATGTGAGATAATATTTTGTCACGCATCTAAAATTGACTTATTTCTGTTCTTCGTTGTCTAAACAAATTTTATAAAATAAATTTACAGACCTGAAAGAGTTTCAGAAAAGCTATTATGTAAAGTTTTTAAAAATCCATCACTCTGTCTGTTCTAAATAAATAGATTAATTTATTACCTTGTAATTTTTTAGAAAAAACTACTACTATACTGCTACTGACAAGAAACTACTTAATTTTACTTATAGAACGTGGGAATTTTTTTTTTTTTTACTCTTTTTTTTTCNTTTTTTTTTTTTTTTTTTTTTTTTTTTTTTATTAGCTTGTGTTTTATTGTTAGCTACACTATGCTATGGTCTTAAGAGTCTTAGGTATTTTGAATTTCTAATTGAGAACAGTTCGTAAGAAAGAAGGAAAGGGCTTGAAAATTTGGAATGGAGGGAGAGTCTTGGAAGAGATAATGAAACGAAAGAAAGATGGTAAGAAAAAGAGGGTGAGAATCTCACTTCTTACAAAATGTAGTAATTCAAATAAAAAATATTTCTAAAAAGTATGGAAGTAGTGTATCTACCACTACAAAAAAAAAACAATTCCAATTCACTAGTATATGCATGTTAACTCGATTTTATGTTGGGGTACCTTTTCATAGTTGAAGGTTGACATTGTTGATAACTACTATACCCACATTGGTGACCTTCAGAGATGATGTGAACTCCCTTGACAGAAACTCCCCCTTCTATTTGAACACGCCTACTTCCATGGATGGTTCCCATTAAACACGTTGACTTGCTATTTGTGACTGTTACAATATCCACCTCGTGCTGTTGCTACTCAGTCTCAATCAGAGCTAATGGCAACACAGGAACGACCACGACCGTGAACTTAATACAGCTATTCACGTTCAGAATTTAAAAGTACGGTGATCTTAATACAGCTCTCCCGGCTTCGCACAAAACAGCAATGAATCAACTAGTGGTATCCCATTCATCGAATTCTATCACAGGTAAAATTCTGGTCGGGGAGTACTGCAAAAATACAATTCCAATTCACTAGTCTATAATATATGTTAACTCAACTCTATGTTGGGGTACCTTTTCATTAGATGAAGGTTGACATTGTTGATAGCTACAATCCCCACAATGGGCTTCTAGAAAGGAAATGAACAAATTTATTGACATTTTAAAAATGTAAATAGTGTTTATTCTTCAAAGTTAAATTACTTCATTTTCTTTTAAATATTTTATTCTTTTTTTTAGAAAACCTCAATTACAAAACGTATTAAGTCTGTTTTGCAGTCTGAATCACTAAAAACTCATGATGTCCATGTTGTTAGTTGCTTTTTGTTTGTTTTCCAAGACTTGAGGGTTGAAGAAAAGGAACATAAAATGTTGATGTCTGGTTTTGAAAAATATTTGCGTGACTGGTTTACAAACAGTAAAACTGTTAAGTATACAGAATATGTGAGGACACTGTACAGTATAAAGAATTCTTGTTTTTGGGTAAGTATTTATTTTATAATAATATTGTTCTTTATTCAAATATCACCATTATGAAAAATTTCATGAAGTCTGCCGAAACAACGCCTAAATTATAGTGTAACACCTGCATTACGGAAAACAGATCTTTTTAACAGGGACAGAGAAGAAAAAATTTTACAAAATTAGAAAGGAATTTTCTAAAAATTTTTTAAAATAATAAAGAATAACCGGGGAACCAAACAATCCTGCACCTTAATACATTTGTACAGTTCGTCTCATTGAATCTCATTCATCTGCATTTGAATGCAGATTTCATTTTACTGGAAAAAAAATATTTTATATTTGATTATAAAAGTTTGAACTCAAAAAAAGAAAATCAATTTTTACTTAGAGGTTGCAAATCATATTTAATCATCTTTACCAAAAAAGAACAAATTTTAAGTTTTATAGAAATATTATTATTTAAAATTGTTTAAATGTTCTCAAACTTGGAAAAAAAAAAAAAAACTTCAGCCTTATATTATTTTAAAAAATTAGTTATTTCAATTAAAATACCTTTTTTTTTTCCTTCAAATTTCCGACCGCTAAAAAGCATTTTTTTATTGCTGAAAATGAGTATATGTTCTATCCTAAATTCGAAAATTCAAAATATTTTTGTCAGTAAGCAGTTTTTTGCTTGACCTATTGGTGGTGAAATATGTGAGTTTTCCCTGCAATGAAACGAATTTTATCTTGAAAAAATACACTGTGATAACATATTTATTAACTCTATTACTTCAAGGTGTTTAAGATAAATATCTGCATAAAATAATTATTAAAATTACATAAAAAATATTTTTTGAAAGTAAGTTTCCAACTTTACCATTAAAACAACTTAACAATTAATCTTTGTCATCAGAGTGTAAAAATCACATTTATCTCATACATCATAATTGTTTTGACATGCAAGGGTAACACTAATAAGAGCAAAATAACAAAGTACAAAATGATTTTGAATTCAAGGCAGGAAATCTCAACGCAAAAATTGGGAAGAAAGTGGGTCTAGTTGCGCCATGTCTTAATATTATTCAGAAATACAAAAATAATCAGGGAAGACGTGTATCTAGCAAGGAATTAAATTTCAATTAAGCAATTTTTTCCTTCGTCGCATGGCATGCGATGCCAACCATACTAGCATGCGGCCATTCTACAAAGTTGAACTAGTTACGCCATCTCGTAGTAATATTCAGAAATACAAAAATAATCCAAGAACTTAAGGAGGCGCATAAGTTGCGATGAACCTGCTCATCTACTACCTGATCATGATACTTTCCATCCTCTATCAACAGAACCTACACCTAAAAAAACATCTTAGCCACAAAAGCAAATTGTAAAAGAATCTCCTCTAGATCAGAACAACCCAATTTGAACTTGCTCTGGAAGACGAGTTCACTTCCCCACCAAATATGCACAGTTTTCTATATTAAATTTTGTTTAAAAAATTTTTTTCGGGAAGGGGGATGGTGTAGCGACTCTAACTTTGAACTTTCGTGATCTGGCAACTGAACAAAAGTTTCAGTTTAGTTTTCTGTAAAAAAGATTTAGTTTAGCTTTTGTGTTCTACTGGAGATAACGTCAGTGATCATTGTCTATAGTTGTGTTCTAATATTTCTACAAATGTTATTTTACTAGTTGAATGTTATATTAAAGTTGTTAAGTTTTTACTGTTCGTATTTCATTTACTTAACCCCTTACCTGCCGAGTAGAATTTACGTGATTCTCTCCCCAGTGCTACCGTTTTTCGCTCAAGTGCGCTTTGTTACGCGGTGTTTTGGTAGGGAAAAAAGATGCACGCTTTGCAATTTAAAAACAGTTTACTTTCACAAGAGAAGAAAAAGGGGGGAAAGAAAATACAAAACTGAAATTAAAGAATAAAAACACAATATAAAAGATGTTAAAACTTAGCTGTTGTATGATAAATCCTGAAACATGGTTGGACATATAAACCAGCATCACATTCATTGCACTGAAAGCGGTATTCTCGACGAATATACACAGGAAACGAAAGAAGAATAGACCCGACCTTACTAAATAGAAACACACAAGCAATAAATATTATGATATAACTTTTCCAACACAGCCCTTTCCCATTCCCTCATCCCCTTTCCCCCTCCTCCAAAATTGGTAATGCATTCATTGCAAACACTTACAAGGTCATTTTATTGCATTCAAGAGTCGGGGATGTAGTTCTATTTATAGCAGCGCAATGCAAAGCATCGTACTTCGGGAAAGCGTATATATATGCCTGCGGCAATTAATGCATCGTCTGGCCGAGACGTATATATACGCTCGCGGCAGTTAAGGGGTTAAAGTATTAGTTTCAATTACATAGACTTGTATATTTGCTAAAAATTCAATATCAATGAAGCAATTTTTATCTTCTTCACATGGCCTGTGACACCAACCACAAAAATGCCAAACAGGAGTTAACTTTATATAAGTGATCCTTTTCCTTACTATTTCAATGCCCTAAAGTATAAATATTAAATTTATTTGAAAATCATATTTCTTCATAAATTATGTACTACTTGAATCTAATTATTTACTTATTAAAAAAAATTTCATTTCATAATAAAATAATAATTATAAATTTAACATTTATACATTTATATTTAAACTTTTATTTAAAAAGAAAGAAGATAGAGAAGCCTTTATGTAAAGTTTCCAATTTTTCAAAGTGGTAATATTTAATTTTTAGTAGTCGGATACCAACTTTAAGTGTATCAGGTTTGCCTGCTATTGAGCATTATTGATTTATAGAATTGATTTATTTGGTTGTAAACTAATTTTATTTATTTGTTTATTTAAGTTTTGCAATATACATCCTGACCTGTTTTTGCCTTTGATATTGTTGATACAAGAATCTGACTTTTATATCCATCTGAAACATTTTGATGATAATCTCCTAAAGCATATGGCTTGTTATGAAAAACACACGATCAAAATTTTAGAAGATGTGAAAGAGTTTGAGAAACAAATTTATTCATTTTTTGAGGTATGAAATATTTTTAATTATATATATTTTCAGTTTAGATCTGGAAATAAAATCTAGTTAGTCTAGCATGCGAGTTCACTTAACATGAAAATATTTTAAATACATGTATTCTTGGTAATTGAAAATTAAAATAAATGAATATTAATTCTTAAAATAATTTTTTAATATATTTTTTTCTTTTTTTTTTCATTTCTAAAAAATTAACAAATTTTTTAATATAATGATATAAAATTATTTTTATTAATTTTGAGGAGTGGGAAAAATTTCTAAATTATGAATTATTTAATAATTTTATCTGCTTTAAAATGCAACTTTTTTTAAAACGCTCTGCAACTTCTTTTTCTGAAAATTAAATTTGAAACTTAAGCAGTTGTGAAAAGTATCCTGGTCAAAGCATTGAAGTCATTATTTATTGCTGTAATAGTTGTATTGAAGGTACCTATACGAGTTTTTTTTATTTCTATACAGCCTTATGCATTCTTTGACATACTTTAAAAATTGTTTTTTAAAAAAAATTATATTATCAAACTAACGCTACATTTTTACGCTAAAAAATCGAAAGTTAAGGAAATGAATCTTATTATGAAAATGTAAAGAAGATATTCTGTTCCTTGAGTACAAATTATTTTAAAAAATGCTTTCATTTTCATGTTATAATTTCTTTAAATATTTTATACGAGACATTCCATAAAGTTGTTTATCTTAAATTTTCACTATAGGGCAGAATAGCTTTTAAAAAGAAACTCAATGTGAGGATATATTTACTTTTTTTTTCCTTTCAAAAAGTGAAATTACTTTACTGCTACACTGCCCTTTCAAAATTTATAGTACATTTTGTTTTATGCGTTTAATTTTAAATCAAATGAAATTTGAAGGTAATGTGCACTAAACTGTACTTTTGGGATAGCCATGTGGAAGTTCATGTAATTTCTAACTCAAACAATATTTACAACAAAAAGAAAAAGTAAACTTTGCAGGATAATCCAATTTTATAAGCAAATTGTTTTTCAAAAATATAAACAAAATGGGTTCCACCTAGGAATGTGTCCACCACTAATTAGTAGCATCAAATTTCCATGCTTTCGATGAAGTTGTCAGAGCAAAATTGGATGAAGACCACTCATGGAATAATCTTTGCTTCCGCTTGTATAAAGACAATAGAGAAAGACCGAGAAACGCAACTTGTGTTTTGTGGTTGTTCCAACCATTTTCTATCAGTTTCAGATCTGGTGATCTAGCTGGCAAATATCTTCACATTCTAGAAAATCCTTAGCTATGTGGTCAATTGTTTATAACGATTAAAATTAAATAAGATTCAGTTGATTCACTAAAAAAAGAACAAGCACAGATTCTAAGAATATATCTTTACTCTATACTCAAACCAGAAGCAGTGCCATCAACTACACAAGGAATATCAGGGGCATGGAAGGAAAATCGTGAATACATCCTACATGTTTTCCCACCAACTTGATTTTTTTCAGGGTTCACAAACTCTTTAATTTAAGCTAGTTGACGCTAAATCACAAAAGACTGGCAACAACAGTATCGGAGTCATGGTTGATACTTTTATGTAAAGAAGCCCAGGAATTCGAAACTTTATCTCCACTTTATAGAGAAATGAACCATTATGGAGAGAAAAATTTGATCCGGAAAGGAATCTTGTTGGATGGCTGCCAACCCCTCAATATTTTGGAAAGAGAAACTCTTGTGGGTTTAAGCATTGAGATGTGTCCTGTGTTTTCCCTTTTAGGGATTCAATTGATTGTGATTTCATTTCAATCGATAACAATGAGCAGCCATATCAAGGTTGACAAGTTTCTGCCGAGGTGGTTAAAACCACTGGTAGAAGCCGGTTAAAACCGGCATGGTAGAAACCCTTTTCTGCCGCATTTGTGGCAGAAATTCAGAAAATGACATAAAAGTAAGTACTGAGATTGACATACAATGGATAATTCATAGAAAAAAACAATTAAATGTTAAGCAAAGTACAATTTATTTACAAAATTATCACCATTCAAAATCAAATATTACATTGTTTGCACTCTGCAGTAATCTATAACAAAAGACAAGTTTTGATGCAGTTTCTAAACCTAAACAATTTCTCAATTTGCTATGCACGAACGAGAAATTTGAGAAGATTCTTTCAAGTCCAGCAGAACTAGCAGGCATTGCCATCAAGGAACAAGCGAGATTTGTGAAACTTTCATCTATTGCATAATTTTTTAAAACTGAATCACCATGTAGCAGCTGGGGTAGTTGTCAAAACTTGACTGGAAAAATAAGTTTCAGGAAATGGGGCCGATTTGTTTTATATAAATATTTGATATACTACACTCTATGTATTCAATATAAGCAAAATAATATATATTTACAAGCAATGAATTGAAAAGTTTGTTACAGTCACATGGAGTTACATTTTTCAGTTTACTTAAACAAAATGTCATTAAGCAATTAGTAGAACTGATATAAACGTCTTTTTAGTTTCTGCCTGTTTTTACCGGTTATAACCAGTTTCTGCTGGCAAAAAACCAACCCTGAGCCATATGGACCAAGATTGGCTATCCAGGTTTCCAAACTTGTATCTGATCGAGAACGTAAGAACTGCAGTCAATTAGCTGCTTTTAGTCATCCTCCACAGTTGTTACATGGTCTAGAACTGATCTTGACGATGCCTGATCTTTGCTTTCCCCCACCAACAACTAAATTGACTACTTAGAGAATTGGTATTACCAACGCTTAAGTTGGATGTATTCCTTACTAGAACCCATTTTCATAATGTTTTAAAAACAACCTAATAAAACTGTGATATAGTAAGAGAAAGAACTTTCCTACCAAGTTAGCTTCTTTTGTTGTAAATCATGGTTATCTTGGAAATTTTTATATTTAAAATAAAAAAAATATGTTTAGTGCAAATGTATTTGCAAATTCGATGCAATGGGAAAAAAATCTGCATCATATCTTTTCTTATATGAGTATTTTTTTATATTTGTTTTTAATTTCTTATTGTATATATATATATTTTTAATGTAAAAGTTGAGAAAAAGCTGTTCAGTGCAAATTTCTTGTCTCTTTGTTTGAAAATTCAATAAAAAAATTTAGAAAAAAAAGCTGCATATTATCTTTTCTTATATGAATATATATTTTTGTATAGTTTTGTAAATTTTTTTTCTTCGATTTGTTATTGAATATTTTTTTGAATTTTCGGTGTAAAAATTAAGAAAAAACTGTTTAGTGCAACTTCGAAACAAGAAAAAAAGCTGCATCTATTTTTTCTTCTACGAGTATATTTTTTTTTAATTCACCAATAATTTCTTTTGTTTTCTTTTCTCTTTTACAGTTTGTATTAAAGAGCTGCCATGAAAAGGATATCCGCCTGTGTTTAGAAAAAAATACTGTCATTTTAAAGAAAATGCTTAACCGATCTTCAAAAACCTTACATCTGAGTGAACATCAGTGTTGGGCTTTGAGGATTATCAGTATTTTATGTAAATACAACAAACATTTCATAATTCAACAGACAGATTTATTGCCAGAATTATTAACTATTTGGAGAGATGCTGATTTCAAATCCCTAAACTCAAAAGCAGATTTCATTAATTTGGAAGAATATATGATTATAGCAAAGTGTTTCTTAAGCTTTTTTTCTCATGACTTATCAAAACCTGAATTACTGAACTTAATACCACAAGCAGGATTATTTAACCTAATATCAGAACCAAATTTTTTAAATTTAATATCAGAATTAGAATTATTTGATCATAAATCAAAAACCGAATTATTGAATTTGTTATCATTGAATTTAGAAGGCTTAAAACCTGAATTATTGAGTTTAGTATCAAAAGCTAAATTATTACATTTAGTTTCAAATCCTAGATTATTGAGTTCAATATCAAAATCTAAATTATTGAACTACGTAGAACCTGAATTATTGAGCTTAGTATCGAAAACTGAATTACTATTTATGATTTTTAGAGTAGCAACTGGATGTTTTCTACCGCAACTTTCATTTTTTAAAGACCTTCCTCATTTATTTATTTCAAAGATGTCTACTTTGGAACAAGAAGAACTGCTACTAAGAATTTTTGACAGGGAAAACCTAGATAATGATGTGAAGATAAATATTTTAAGGCACTTAATAATACCATCATTTTCTCATATTACCGAACTGACTGATGAAAGGGAAAAAACTGAAACTATATCATTTGAAACATCAAAATTATGGGATTATATGAAATCAGAAAATACTACACCAGATTTGGACTTGATACTGTTGCAGCTTTCAAGTTGCATTATGAAGAATAATACTAAAGCCTCTTTAAAAAATTGTATAAGGTAAAGCTGAAACTTTTATTCCTGTAAAATGTACTTCTCATATTTGTCTATTATTAATTAATTCTCATATTAACCTATCATTAATTAATACCAATCTATTATTGATTAATAATAAGTTGGGTAAAAAAAATGTTCCAGTTCCTTTTTTTTAGCTTGCTATTGAGTTTTTGGAGAACATTTTAGACTTTATTGATTCTGGATCTTGAACTACAGCCTTAAATGAGATAAAAGCATATTTGGATACGCAAAAAAAAAAAAACTGGAACATAAAAATGCTCCAGTATCCTTTTTAAATCGCTATTGAGCTGGAAGAGAAAATTTCATACTTTATAGACTTTGTGCTACTGTCTGAGCTTATTTGATCAAGACTGCCAGATTTCAGCCAACCAAAAAAAGCCAATCTATTTTTTTTTCTTTTTTTAAATCATCCAAAAAGAGACCATCTGAATTAAAACGCTGACTTTTATTGCAACTAATATTTTTCAAAAACTGTACTAATATAATTGAGATATACAATTGTTAATTAATTACTACATAAATATGATTGTATGTTAGGAACAGTTTGAAGCAGCAACTTCGCACTTTCAAAACAGTTTATAGCTACAACTTTTACCTTGGAAGCGTTAGGAACAATAAATTTAATTAACATAATACTATCATTAGAAACCAACTTATTTAATGCAGCTTCAGTATATGAATAATACAAAATTAACTAAAATTCTTAATTGTCCAACTTTTTAAACAAAATATATAATAATTATTTCATTTATTTTACAGAAGATATAATACAGTCTTAAAAAATAATTATTATGCATCAATTAGGAGGAATTTGAATAAGATTGAAATAGATTTTATACAATTTCAGAAAAAAAATTTCTGGTTTTGAAGCAAGCATGGTTTTTCTGAAAAAATTTCATCTCCTTGTTAAGTCAGTTTTGGGCTTTCTGTAACAAAAATCTCTAGCACTAATATCTTTCTGCAAGATATTTTTAATAATAATTAATATACATGTTAAATAATAATTTTAACATTGTTAGTTATTTAGGTTGGCAATATATAGCTATGCAGCTGATGGAACAACATTTGTATTCCAGTATTAAGTGCACATTAAGAAATTATTTGTGCACCCAGTATTAAAATTTAAATGCTTGTCAGTCTTATTGCATTCATGTAATTTATGCCAATTTAATCAAGACATTGATATTTATATAAAGTTTCTTCATAGTAAATGTAATTTATATTTCCTTCATTTTATTCATTTCATGAGTTTGTTCCATTTCAGACCGCAGAACGTTTTGGAGCCTTTACAAGATTTTTCAAACCACCATCAACTAAATGTATTTAATGTTGTTAGAAGTTATGGCTATTTACTGCTTAGTTTAATACTTCATTCACAAACTTCAGATCAAAAGGACAATACTATGGATACTTTGGATCAAAAAACAATTGATAGGGTAAGAATCATGATTTACTGATTAATGTAACTTGTTAGAAATCTCCTTGAGACAGAAAATTGTATTGAGACAGACCTACAAAAAATTGTATCCAGAATTTCCTTATTTATTCAATAACTTGGTAATATTTTTAAATGATTTTTGTTACCTTTTATTAATTTAAATATGTACTGGTGTACCGATTTTTTATTTTAGATTTTAAGTATTTTTTTAAGCAGGCTTCACAAACACAACAAAAATGTCGCCATGCAATGGATACCAGCGCACTGTGAACTTCAAGGAAACGAAACTGCAGACTTCTTGGCCAAAAAAGCCGCCAAGCTTCTACAAATATCTCTTAAGCCAGATCCTTTCTACACCGCAAAAAGGCTAATGAAAATCTCTCTTCGAACAACATTTGAGGCAAAACTCCAAGAAGCAAATAAGGATAAGGACTGGCTGGAAGGAATTAAAGATATTCCGTCATGGCCAAGAGAAAAATCTGTGGCCCTCTTTCGCCTTGCCACTGGCCATGACTGCTTATCAAAACACCTGTACAGAATCAAAATTTTTTCAAGCCCCTTTTGTCCATTATGTAACCTGCAAGAAAAAATGGACGCTAACGTTACAATGAGTTACAAATCCAATGTCGCGATTTGTATTTTCACATTTTTAGAATCTAATATTACAATTTGTATTCACGCAGTTGTAATATCAAACATCTATTTTCATATTCACGTGACCTAAAAATTATGCATCGTTATTCATATTTACGCGATTTAAAAATCCAACATTGCGATTCATATGCACTCAATTTTAAAATTTAATATTGCGATTCATATTTACGCGATTTTCAAATCCAATATTGCGATTCTTGTAAAAAGTAAGTTTTTCCTTGAATTAATTACTTTAAGGTGTGATATTCTTCATTAGTAAGTAATTTAATTAAAACTGTTAGTTCAAAAAATCATATTAAATTTGAAACGTATATGGTTTAAAGATTGATATTTCGATATCGACATTTTCATTTCTGAAACTATGTTTTCCACTTTGTGTCATAATTACTCCTGTTTCATTCATTCTTTACCCCTGATTCATTCATTAATTACCCCTGATTTATTCATTGTGATATCATTCTTTGTGTTCCTATTTTTGTTTTTAACAAGTTGGCAGCTGTGATTTGATTTATTATTAATTACTTTAATGAACAAAAATTCTAGTCTCGTTTTTGACTAAATTATAACATTTTTTACCCTCTGAAGGGTCATTTTTCAGTTATTTTATAGTATTGAAATATCTTTGAAATTGATATTGATTTATAAAAAAAAATTCATGAAGGCAAAATACTAAAATTAATTTGCTTTTTAAGGCCATTTATTTATTTGTTTTGGTTGGAAGGTGGATTCGATTTTCAAAATTTTAACAACTGTAAGAATTGGCCTTAAACTTGCACTTCTGTGATTATAAATAACTAAATTTATAATTTCTGTTTTATTGAATAGAAGTGAAGTTATTGTGATTTTTTTTTTTTAATCAGAAGATGGTTGGGTAAGTCATAGATGGGGAAATGGCTACCCATTGAGATTTAAATATTGAGTACTTGGAAGTACCAAGATATTTTTAAGGTAATTGTAGATAGTTAATTTATTTTAAACTAGATGTCAGCACTAATCGAATATGTGTATTTGGCAAAATAAACACTTTTATGACCGTTTTCTTGAAAATTGCCGATCGTTAAGGGGTTAATGAAATTAGTGGGAAGTATTATTCCCATATTCTTATGAAAAAAAAAACTAATATTTAGTTTTTGTTTGTCTTTAATTTGTTATGAATAGATATCATAAAAATTTATAAAAGCATAATACTAAAATTAATTTGTTTTTTAAAACTATTAAAAGAGGGTTGCATAAGTCATGGATGGGAAAATAGCTTCATATCAACATTTAAGTACTCATGAAATTAATGGGAAGTATTATTTCCATATACTTATTAAAAAAACTGATGTTTACTTTTTGCTTTGTCTTTCATCTGTAGTGAGTGAAAAAAATATAAATTTTAATTATTTTTTAAATTTTTTTTCAGGTGTTTCACAATTTGTTTGATATTTACCAGTCTCAGTGGCGCTCAATTACTAAAGATGCATTAAAGAATTCTATTCAAATCTGTATGAGTTCCAAAGAGGGTTTCAAAATATTAAAAGTCACGATTTTAAAAGCACTTGAATGTAAAGTCTTGGTTAAAAAAGCTTTTATTTTGAGAACAGTTACCCAACATTATGAGGTAAGGGAATTTCCCTATTTTATCTGTTTTTTCCTTTAGTTGACTTTCTTTTAACATTTTTCTATTTAATGTCACATTTTTCTGTTTAATGTAATGTTTTTCTATTTAATAGCAATACACAGAGTCACATAATTCCATTGTGAGTAAATTTGTAAGAAAAACTATTTTCTAACTGATTTTTTTTTGTGAAAAATACTATTAAAATTTTTTTTAAAAAACAAAGCACTTTGAAGAACTTTTGATCAAATTTTTATGTAGTATGATTCAACCTTAATGGCTTGATGGGGTGACCTTAAATATACTTATTAGTCAATGCAGACAATGTTTTAATCTACAAAATCACACCCAAAAGCGTACTTTCTCTGAATAAGTATACTTTTTTTTTTTAAGTATGACTGCCAAAATATAGAGGGTGTCCGCAATCTGGGAATTGTTAGTCCCAATTGTTTGTTCAGGAGTGCAGTCAAAAGTTCGAGCCCTTAATATTAATTTCATTTTTTGTGTACTTACACAAAAAATGAATTACACAGCTTGCTCAAATATTCTTATTAGTTAATGCAGACAATGTTTTAATCTACAAAATCACACCCAAAAACGTACTTTCTCTGAATAAGTATACTTTTTTTTGACGTATGACTGCCAAAATATAGAGGGTGTCCGCAATCTGGGAATTGTTAGTCCCAATTGTTTGTTCAGGAGTGCAGTCAAAAGTTCGAGCCCTTAATATTAATTTCATTTTTTGTGTACTTACACAAAAAATGAATTACACAGCTTGCTCAAATATACTTATTAGTTAATGCAGACAATGTTTTAATCTACAAAATCACACCCAAAAACGTACTTTCTCTGAATAAGTATACTTTTTTTTTGACGTATGACTGCCAAAATATAGAGGGTGTCCGCAATCTGGGAATTGTTAGTCCCAATTGTTTGTTCAGGAGTGCAGTCAAAAGCTCGAGCCCTTAATATTAATTTCATTTTTTGTGTACTTACACAAAAAATGAATTACACAGTTTTATACCTGCCAACTTTCACTCTTTCCGAGAATGAATTTTCAGAGTGGTTGTAAAACAATAAAAGAAAAACAATCTGACTCAAAAGTATATTTATATTTTGATCCCGTCGAAAATTGCTTGCGAAAGGATTATTATGCTTTCATATATTTATTTATATGTAGTGGTGGTCAAACTCATTTGTAATTATCATTATAATTCAAAAAGTTAATTGGAATAACCTGAGTATTGCTACCACTTTAAATATGAAAATAAAATCTTCCGGAAAATTCGGAAGAGTTGGCAGGTATGCAGTTTGCTCAAATATACTTATTAGTTAATGCAGACAATGTTTTAATCTACAAAATCACACCCAAAAACGTACTTTCTCTGAATAAGTATACTTTTTTTTTGNAAATTCATGTTTATTAATTACTTTCTACAGCTATGCAAGTCTATATTAAGACAGCATTAAATGTTTACTTTAATCTGTACTTTCAATCTCAAGAATCAAAAGATTTTTAAAAATGTAATTTCAAATGTGTTGGAATTTAACACACACCAAGAAAGTAATTTCGTTAACTAAAATTAATTAATGCAGCAATTTATTTAAATTAAATTTTAATACTAAGAAAAGAAAACAATAAAAGTATCAAAAATTTAAAACACTGTTTTTTAACTTTAAAAATCAATATATATAAATAAAAAAATTAGTTGATTTAAATCAATGATTTTTTTTAAAAAAATCATTTGATTTAAATCGTGATTTAAATCAAGCTGATTTAAATCAACGAACCCTGCCTTAAATATACTTATTAGTTAATGCAGACAATGTTTTAATCTACAAAATCACACCCAAAAACGTACTTTCTCTGAATAAGTATACTTTTTTTAAGTATGACTGCCAAAATATAGGGGGTGTCCGCAATCTGGGAATTGCTAGTCCCAATTGTTTGTTCAGGAGTGCAGTCAAAAGCTGGAGCCCTTAATATTAATTTCATTTTTTGTGTACTTACACAAAAAATGAATTACACAGTTTGCTCAAATATACTTATTAGTTAATGCAGACAATGTTTTAATCTACAAAATCACACCCAAAAACGTACTTTCTCTGAATAAGTATACTTTTTTTTTGACGTATGACTGCCAAAATATAGAGGGTGTCCGCAATCTGGGAATTGTTAGTCCCAATTGTTTGTTTAGGAGTGCAGTCAAAAGTTCGAGCCCTTAATATTAATTTCATTTTATGTGTACTTCGCCATACCTTGAGAACTTCTTAAACAAATAGAAACATTTTTGTGCACAATTATAAATTTTGTTTATCCAAAGATAATTTCATGCAAAAATAATTTGTAGTACACATGTACTGTTTTATTGTTATAACTATAAAGATTGTGAAATGTGAGGTATACAAATCATTTAAAAGAATTTTATTCCATATGGCAAAAAATTTGAAAGAAATCGTAAGAATAGCTCCTAAGAAATCAGATTTTGAATATCTGAGTTCTTCAGTCAACAATTCAAGCAATTTCATTCAAATTTCTCCACTTTCAAAAATAAAAATTCACAGCCCCCCTGTCTATATAGTGCAGCTTTCAAGAGAATTCCTCCAGACATTAGTCTTGCATCGTGGTTGTAACCACAGTTACGAAGAAAAGTCACTTCAGTTAGGGGTGTGGGGTGAATAGATTTGTCTTGATCATGGCATAGGTCAGGGTAAGTTAACCTATCAACGGCTTCATACCTCCATTGCATCCCCATTGGAAATGTACTCTCGCTTGTTACCATAGCAGACAGACTCTTAGTCTGGAGGAACTCTCCTCAAAGCCACACTGTAGATAACAATTTTCTTTAAACTTTTGTAGGCATTTTATGATTTCAAGTCAGACATCATTGAAGAAATGGTTAACTTTGTTGATTTGTTATCTATTGGCAATAGTAAGAAATCTGTGCTTGTAGTGGATATTATTGATGTTATATTGGCTTGGCATAAACGCAATGTGAAGGATAAAGAAGGCAATGTAAGTTTATTTCTTCATCTCTTTTCTACCGTTCTGTAAATAGTTTTCAATAGTGGTGTTTAGTTTAAAAACATCTTAAGTTTGCAAAGAAACTTATTTCTAGTCCTAATGGATTCATCGTGTAGTTATTTGTGAGCAATTTTTTATGAAAAATATTAGTTGTCATTTCACTGGAGCTAACTTGTTATTAGGTAGTTAAATTAAAGCAAAACTTAACCAAAAAGAATTTTTAGACAAAAAAATATTGTCTTTGATCTGTTATTATTTTGTTATATGCATAATTTATTAGTTTCCCAAATTGTAGCAATTTGTTTTCATTAAAACATGAATTTTAACAATTTATTCATTATGCATAAACTATTTTTTATAAAAAAAAAATTTGTGTCATTTTACTGTAATTAATTAAATCTGTTATTAGGTACAAAATGAAATCTTAGAAAAAAAAAAATTTTTTTTAATTTTTTTTTTTTAAATGTTGTGTTTTATGTGTGTAATTATTTTTTCATGTGCATCATCTATTAGTTTAACTGTAGTAGATTGATTTTTTTAAATTTTTTGAATATTGACAAGTTATTTATCATGTAGATTGATGTGTTTATAAATATATTTATGAAAAAAATTCTTTGTTATTTCTCTGAAATTAACTTCATCTATTATTATGTAGTTTAAAATAATGAACTTGAGGACAAAACTTATTCAAAAGATTTTTTTTTAGGAAAAAATTGGTCTTAGCACCAATTTATATTATTATTATTTTGTATCTTTTCTCTTTAGGTTGATTTATTCCTTTTTTTTTTCCTTTAGAAAAAGCCACTACTAGACAAACCGTCAAGCAGAGTGCTGATTAAACGCCTTTTAAATGTATATTGTTTGGTGAGTGAAGTTTGCATAATTTTACAGTTCCTATAATGCAATGTTAGAATGTTGTTATGACTGTTATGTTGTTATGTTAACTTCAATACAATAAAGATAAAAATTATCATCAAAAATTGAATGAAACTCTTTGTTTATATGCCTTTTGGAAAGTATATAATAAAAAAATAATAAACTGATAAAAATCAAAACTAATATTTGTATGTGCCTTCTTTAGTTTGTATAATCGCTAGTTACAATTTCAGCAATAGGATGAAGAAATACACATTATTAAAGAAAGTGCTGAAAAGGTTTTCTAAAACAAGGTGATTTTAGCATTGAGGGAATAAAAAATATGAAGAAAAAAATCCTTTTTTGAATTATCAAAAAATATTGTAAAACTTCAGTTCAAATTATTAAGGTCTGACTGAATTTGTATTTATAAGATGATGCTTTTTTATTGATTTTGTTAATGAAGTACTATTAAAATTTTCTGTGTGATGAGACAATTTTATGTAATGTTTTTTAGTAAACAACTACCTCGATGATAAGTTGAAAATTTGCATCCTGACTGTATTGGAATTTGATCAGCCCAACTTACTTCTAAGCTTAGCAAAAAATTAACTTGATGGATAATTTTAGATATTGCAGTCATCGATGAATTTGCATATGCATGGCATGAAAAATATTTACCTCTCTGTCTTTATGATTGATTTATGAAAAAAAATAGTTATGCTAGCATTAATAACACAGTGAAACCTGTTGAGTTAATCACCTAACAAATTTTATCTTAAAGATCTAGTACCAAACTGGCAAAAATATTTAAATTCCTCTTCTACAAGTTCACCACTTCTCTAAATGGGCCATCACATTGTTTTCCAACAGTGGCCAACTTACACCAAATTTATTGGTTCCAGTTGAAAAATTCTCTACGAAGAATTTTTTATTGCAGAGAAGTTTGAGAAGTCAACTTGCACAGCTTTCTTAATAACTTGCCACTACAGGGTACATACCCTTCTATTATCAAATTGATTGGTTCTAGTCGAAAAGTTCTTTTCAGAGAATTTTTTATTGTATTAAAATTAAAGAATTTTTTCAGCTTTTAAAGTAAATGTTACAAAGTTCGAAGTTTCAACAGTGTGATAATAAATTCAAAAGTATATAGTTATGAGTTTTTAATCATAACTAACGTTTAAGCATGCATATTTATTAAAATTATTAATTTTCATTATTTTAAAAAATTCTCAGGATTGAAGAATTTAATGTAAGTAATAACTTGTACTATTTTGTACTTGTTTGCTTTACTTAAAAATTTCTTTTAAAATTACTTTGCATTTTGTGATGTTTAAACTTTCATAAAAGTCGAAGAAACTTTTTTCAATGGGTGATAAAAGAAAAATAGAAACCGGCACATTTTCTTCAATTTGGTAACCTCTTAATGATTTTGAATGATCATATCATTCAATTGTTGTTTTTGTTGAATCACTTAATTTTCAAAAACACTTATTTGTATGACATATTTTACTGCTTATTATATAGTTCTAAATGTCTTCATTTGTTGGATATAAAGCAATTAATCCATTTTTTTAGTAATCTTTTATCCTCTGCCACAGGTAAAAATTAAAAAATTTTAATGATTCCAAGATTCCACTGATTTGAAGGACCAGCAACTAAAAGATATTATTAGACTCCATTCCTTTCTATTCTTCTTACTTATTTCAACTTTCAATTTAAATTTCTCCAAAAATGGGGAAAATTGAAAAGGTAAATATCTAAAATTTCTGGAAATGACAAAATGGAAAATATAAACATCTAAAAAGTTTATAGTTTCAATGTCGCCATTGCATGCAACAACTTTTAGTTCACAGTCAAGGTGATCGTGAACTAAATGACCCATCGATCTGAAGCTGAGTGGGATTCAAGGAATCTAATCCTAATCCTTCACAACAACTGCTCAGTAGAATTCTTCTGTTAACCGAAGTCAGTTTCAAAGAAATTTGTAAATTTCTTTTCAAAGGTTGTCAATGTTGATACCTATCAATCTGAAGCTGAGTGAGATTCAAGCCACCGCCAGGAATCTAATCCCAATCCTTCACAACAACTGCTCAGTAGAATTCTTCTGTTAACCGAAGTCAGTTTCAAAGAAATTTGTAAATTTCTACCTTTGTTTTTTTTTTCTTCTTTTTTTTATCACCTGTGTAGATAGCTCTTGTAGATTTTTAGATGTGATAACTCAAACCCTGTTTAAAAGGTCACTTTTGTTAGCATACAACAAAAAGAACAATATTAAAGATCAGCATGCAGACCCTGGCACCTGATAAGTTCCTTTGAAGGAAGCTTACTGAGATGTTCTTGGCCCAAGTTGTGGTGCATTTGAAGAAAATCATCTCATGTTTTATTTGAGCATTGTGGCTTCTACTTTGAATAAGTTGAAGCATGTTATTTTACTGTTGCAAGAAAAATATGATACCATAGTGCAAATTGAATTAAGAGAAAATTTTACTAAGTTTCCAAGCTCATATAAATCATTTCTTTTAAAATCAATTAAATCTGTTAATAATTAAGAATTAGGTGTTTCGTACAAATGGTTAATTAAAAAGATTGTGAAAAAATTTTACTGTCTTCAGGAATAGTTTAAGTAAAATTTTAGCCTATTTACAAAAAGGCATTTCTTAAATAACCGTGTTAAAAGTAAAGATAAATAAATTAAAACTCTATAATGCAATTCTGTAAGTAGCATTTACTTTGCTATCTGAAAGCTTACCAAAATGGATAAATTTGTTTGATTTCTTTTCTTATGTTCTGGATAATTTCATTTTTTTTAATAACCAATACATAATTGCAAATTTTTGTGTTTTAAAATATTAATATTTAAAAGATTTTTAAAGCATTAATATTGGTTTGTTGCATATGTATATTTCTATGTTAATAGCATGTGAAATGTTCTATAAAATGCAAGGCTTCGTGTTTTAAGGTTTGCTTAACAAAGATCTACTATTGTACATTGAGAAAAAAGTATGGTCAAAACTACCAGATTATGATTACATTTACTGTGTTCCTTGTTCTATAGGAAAACCAAAAAGCTCTGAAATTTTTACCGCAACCCTTTGGTAATGATTTTGATAAAATTAATCATAAAATATAGCATTATAATAAGTGATAAAATTTGGTAATTGTGGTAAAATTAATCATGATTCCTTAGAGCATGGCATAAAAATAATTTATTCGGTTAAATTCAGTTTTCAGTTTAGCATATTTTACTAAATGGTTGTTAATAAGAACTGTAAGTCACCATAAATATTGGTAAACTGTAACCATATATCGATTTATAAATACCTTATATTTTTATTTTATCATCCAAATCATATTTTTATTTTACCAGAAATGTCCTTTTCATACAGTACGGTAATTATACCAGAATATTTTTCTCCATGTACTATATAGCTCTACTACTTATTTTTTTTTTAAAAAATCACTAATTAATTGCAGAAAATAGATTAAGAGCAATTTTTCCTCAGTAATATGAGCAAATAAAATATAATATCTAGTAAAATATAAATCTTTATATAATATAAAACTATATTATATTATTATTACTTAGGATAATCAAAGTGTTTCTGCATATCTTTGTCACTGTTGACTTCTTTCCTTAGGATCCTGAAGAAGTTAGCCATGGATTGATGCTGATTACTGGAAAAGATTTGATCGAAAAAAGTTCCACACTTTTAAAAGAGGGATTTACTTGTAATATGTGGAGTATTGACTGTTTAGAGACCTATGCTATTTTTAAAGAATCTCTAGAATCTCTGGTAATTTTGCTTGAAATTTTTTTTTTTACTAAATCAATCTAGCTTATCTTTGAAAGATAAATATGTGTTGTCCAATCTTTTATTAGCATAATTTTATTCTTCTGCTCACTATACTCCATATTAAGGTAGACTCATAAGTTGAAGTATCTTAAATCTTTGTGGCAACAAAATAAAGTTGTCAACTAATTCTTTAGTCTCTAGATTAATCTTTTGCCTCCTTTCTGGGCTAAAAATTGTAAAAATTAGACTAAAAATGCTTACAATTTTAAAAAAATGCTATTTTTTGCAGTAAGAAATTTATTTATCTTTATTTCTGTTAAGTAATTCAGTATTTCATTGTTTTCGCTAATTTTGAAAACTCCATTATAGAAATAAATTAAGTTTTGGAGAAAAATGAATTGCTTATAAATACAAGGGTTATTTCAAATTTTTTGTGAAAGTTTTTGTTTTTGTTAAGATTTCTTAAGAACAGTATGTATGCAAAATTTTAGTATTTTGAGTTAGTGTACAGTCCTTTCAACTACTTTTAAAGAGTGCTCTAAGTAATATAAATGTTTAGCTATCTTAAAGGCAGAAGGGGGGAATAAAAGTAAATTATGTGTACCTGAGATTTTATTTTTAAAAAAAAGGAAATAAATCAAAAAAATTTGGGGAAAGAAATTTTAAAATTTGAAAAGTGACTGGAAATGTGTTTTTTTTACAAATGATTCTCTGAATATGGGATTTAGTATTTTTAAAATGTAGTTATTAAACTTATGTATAATTGTAAAAAGAAAAATATTATGTGTGTTCTAATCTTTAAAAATATTATTAGAAAAAACTCCTAAAAAAACTTGCAATTTATCTAAAACTTTAAAATAGGATAAATAAGAATACATACATTTTTAATAGAATTGGTACATTAACAAAATTGATATTTTTTTAATACATCAAAACTTTTAAAATATGTTTATTTGCAATTTTCAAAGTTTTCTCTATTTATTTAAATCATGTATTCCAATTATATTTAATATGAAACCATGACATTCGTGTTATTTAGAATATTTTATTTGTATTGTACGTATTATGCATATAATTGTAATAAATAAATTATTTAAAGTATTAATAAGAAAAAAGACAAACATTTTAAATTTCATTCATTTTGTATGTTTTTTTTTTTCCAAGGGAATAGTTGAAACAGAAGAACTTCAGCTAAATCTAAAAGCCCAAGAAGGAAGAATTCAGATACTTCTTTGTTCCTGTCTTGGAATGAACAATCCTAATATTCTGGATTTCATGAGCAGAACACCGTCCACAATTAATGGGAAAAGTATCATAGAGGTGTTCATTTCTGACTGCTTCCAATCTAACTCCATAAAGGTATATTAAATATTTAAATTAGTAATAACTCTGAGTTGTTAATTATTATCAATCTAAGTATTGATTTTAATTATTTTATGCAGAATTTTTAGATTAAGCAGATTTAGGCAGACTTTTTAAATTAAGTGGTTGCCAATAACTGTCTAATCTCAACTTATAATTTTTTTTTATTCTTAATGTTACTTATTATTACTTATACGCTGGTTAACAAAATGTTAGAAATGAAGGAAATTTCGGTCTAGAAGAAATCCTACAAAAAATTTTATTGTGAGAAAATGTGTCTTTTTGCTCATTTTTCCTTGTTAAATAAGCATTAAATGTCAATTTGTGTATTTCTTAGTTTGAATTCCTTAAGTTTATGAGTTATATGTGGAACCTTCATTTTAATAAATTATTACTATTTCAATATATTTTGATTTCTAATAATATTTAGCATGTGCTTGTTTAATCAAGAATTATATTAAATCAAACAAATTTCTTTTCTTATATAAACTTTACTCTCCTAAATTATTTTGAAAAAGTTATTGTGCTAAAAGAAAGAGAAGGAAAAATTTAAAAAATTATGGGAAATTTCTATTTAAAAAAAATAATAAAGAATAAAAAAAAAACTTTGTTCTGAGAAAATATTAGAGACTGAGAATTTTCTGCATTTCCAATAAATCAGGAATGATTCCCTGATAAATAAACTGAGGAATATTCGGGAGTATAATAACTGAGGAATATTTCCTGATAAATAAACTAATTATAATTTGCAAAAAATGTAAATGTTTGCTTAAGTAAATTAATAATTTTTTAGATCCGCCCATTCAGTTAATATCAATATTTAGCACAGTTATTAGAATAAATTTACTAATTACATTTTTTTTGTTATGTTTTAAAAGTTTAGTAGGTCAACATTCTAGTCTGCAACTGAGCATCAATCGAAAGAACTGTTTCCAATTTCAGTCTTATTCATACGAAACTGAAAAATGAATTTAAAATACAGAGGGCTTCAAAACTAATTTTTTTTAATCGCTCGCTTTGTAGAAAAAAAAGGAGTAAAATCGGAAGTAAATGAAAACGTAAATGAAATTTTACGTGTCAAAAATAAGATGATTGTTAAGTGATTTTTAATAAGATAATTGTTTTTGAGTTTTTATTTTCAATAAGGAAGCAAATTAAGGGATTTGATAAATTGCAATTTGACTCATTTTTATTTATAATTATTTAATATTTCATGCACCAATATTTGGGTTTTTGACAGTAATTTTCAAAATGAAAAGAGTTTTATGTTAAAATATTTCAAGTACATAATTGATGGAACACTTGTAATTTTACATGTATGTTAATTTAAAAATATTTCGTTTATAAAATAGCCAATAATTATCCTTGCTTCAAAATTTTGGGTTTTGGACAATTGTCAAAAACTATGTCAAAAGGTTTTTTGACATAAGTTATTGTCAAAAACTCAATTGACAAATTATTGTCAAAAACTTGCCAACCCTGCCTAAAAGTGCTTAATAATATTTTTTGAGTGCTTTAAAGGTGCTTATTTTGTGTTGAAAAATTTGGCTACTCACCCTGAAGGAGCTGCATAGCCTTCTTATGCAGATGCACCTTCTGCTGCTGCTCTTTGGAAAAATAAAATCCGTGGCAGGAAGTAAATACTGGAGACTAGGGCATCAACCACGATTTTCAGAGACTCCTGCACTAATTCCAAAAGATAGCTTCAGAAGGTATTTAAGATGCACTAGACAAGAACAAAGATAAATTAATTTATTTAACAAATATAAACATGCTAAACTAAACATTACAAAATATATTCCTCAATTCCATGAGACAGTGGTATGCACCTGATCGACAAACAGGCAAATAGCAAATTATACAGATCATGACATATCTGTCAAAATATCCCCTAAGCATTTATACTTCCTCTGGAATTTCCGATACAAACTAACTGCCAGCCAAAGGAAATTAACAATTCAATGGTTTAGTCTCCCTTTTGAACGGAAGCAATGTTACTCCTCTCTATCAACACTCTGGGTGAGTTCCGCAGTTGGAGTCGTTACAAAATCCTTGAAAATGTTTGAGAAACTGCACCAAAAAAATTTTTTGTAATTTAAACTGTATTGTATTTTATCTTGAGTAGCAATTCTTCCTCTATAAAAGAGTTTATGCATTCCTTTTTTACATTAACCTTAATTATTAATTATATTAACCTTAATATCACTTAATTTTATTTCCCTGGCTCCATAGATCTGACATGTTTGAATTGTATTTACTTCATTTTTATTTTTGATACTTATTTTTCTTTTAATTTATTTACATTGTAGGTAGTTGATTGTATAATTAATAGTATACTGGCAATAAGAGTTCCCAACCAGTTCAGCAAAAATTTTGATAAATCATCAAATTTTTTGTTGTATTGTTTAAGACCTGCAGTACTTAAAATGTCTTCTTGGAAACTGTGCCTGCATCTGTTCTTGGAATCATTGCTAAGACCAGAATCCTCCTCTGACAAGTAAGATAGTAATGTACATTATAGTAATTATATGCTTAGTACAGAACTAAAAAAAATCTCAAAATAGTTAAATATGCCTATACATCTTTTTTATTGCTTATAAAGGGAAACATTGACAGAAAAAAGTTAAAAAACCTCAGCAATTTTTAAAAGAAGCATTTTAGAAGTATTTTTGGATAAATAGAATTTGAAGAAGAACAAATATAAAGTTATATAGATTTTTTACAACTTAGTTCATTTTATTAACATCCAAATGTTAAGATGTTCTGAACATCTAATTAGAGCTAGAAATTCTAAAACCACTTATATAGCTCTTTCTACCTATAATACTATAATTGGTTCCTACTGAAACCGCCAAAAGTGCCTATTACCAAAATTAATTAATCAACAGTAATATAAAAAATGTTTGTTTCTCTTTTACGAATTAGTACCATTTCTACATTAATTTTGTTTTTTAGTACTCAGCTTTTTTTTTCAATCAATGCCTATTACCTAAAAGAATTAAGCATCATTGGCATCAATAATAAATTGGCAATTTTTATGTTCTCTTAATTGAATTGGTACAATTTTTTATTAATTTTGCCTTTCAGCACATAACATGTTTTTTATTTCAATTAGTGACACAAAACTTATTATACTTTATGCATATACCTACGTATATGTGTATTTGGTAAATATCCATTTTTACATTTTTAATGACTCTACATTTAACAAAAAAATTTAAAAGTTAATGGAAAAAAAATTGGGTCTTTTAATTTAAAAAATGTAATGAGGTGTAAAATTTTAGCAAGCCAAAAAAATGTTAAAGGAAAAAAGTGTGAAATATATTGTGGTATTATATATCTTAAATAAAGTATTCCCACGGCAGCCCATTGTGAGCCAGTAAGGTCTTGTAGGTAAATTTTTCACAGTTTCGTCACCAACAGTATGAGCGGCTTTTGATTCCCAAACAAGCTGGTACCCATTAATCTAAAGCTGGGTGCACTTCATGCCAGATTGAGTATTGAACCCCAGTTTTTTATAAAGACAGCTCAGTGCCTTTGACCATTGAGTCATGAGTGACTGTTCAGAATAATATCTCTCCCATTAAATTTTCATCTATATTTATTTTCATAAATAGTAACTTCCAAAATACAGAAAACATGGTTTTAAATAATGCTACCTTCATTCTTATTGCAATCAAAAGTTTACTGCATGGTGCTTAGCATTTTTAAAAAGTGCTTAAAGGTTCTTATTTTCAATTTTCGTTATTTAAAGGCCCTTAAAGCTGCTTTTTTTCATTGGGTGTTTTTGAAAAGTGCTCAATTTTTCCTTTTTAGCGACTTATTTTCTTTAGCATGTCTATTTTCGCCACATATTATGCAAAAGTGTGTTTTTCGCATTGTTCTATTCAACGTTTTCACAATTCTTTCAACCACAATCCATTCCGCTGTATCGTTGGTTCATAGCGTATGAAAGTGCCAATCATTTTACATGTTTGATGAAATACTTGCAAGTCCGTGTGTGTGTCTACGGAGCTGGGTTCAGTGAGATTATTGCACTATCATGTGCAACTCTACTGCATTTTGTAACATATTCTCAATTTCAGACTTTATTTTCCACCCTCTGGTATCAAACAAAAAATCTATTTATAATTTGATTGTGGCTAATATAACCAAAAAGGAGTTCTTTGTCAGAAACTAGTTATTTTATCAAGATCATGTAAAGTCTTTGAAAATTATTTTGCATTTTGTTAATGTATATAGTGTTAAAAAATAGTTTTTTGAGTGCTTAAAAGATGCTTATTTTTTGTTGAAAGATTTGGCTACTCACCCTGTACTATTTTAGAAATAATAATTTTTTAAAAAGAATCATTCTGTTTAAACAATACATTTGTGTCTTACAGGGATTCAGAAAGTTCTCCTGTGTTGTTCTTTGCCAAAATGGGCCTATTACGTTGTTTGATGCATCTAAATTTATCCGAGACAAAAATTTCCTCAAAGACTAAGATTTTGTCAATGGTTTTATCTATGATGCCTAAAGTGACACCAGGTAAAGAATTTATTGGTCATTATATTCTATTTTAATGTGTATTACTTATTATTTTGCAATGATGATTATATATTATTATCATACTTGTAATGTTCTCTACAACTGAGGGTTCTCTAGTTCACTATGTACCCCAGATTCATTAAAGCAGGGTTCGACTCTATAATATAATTAATTTTGTAACCTTTTGTTTAAACTGTAAAAGAATTACAGAAAGATTTTATAATTTAGAGTGATTTAATTATTTAGATGTGATAGTTTAGGATGATTTTTCATTGTCTAAAAATAGTGATGAAATTCTTGAATTAATAATTAAATAATGATTTGTTTGATTTTTGAATATGTTCGTTTGAGTTTGTTTTGAGTATATAATATACTATATTATATATTATTATTCTATATACTATATTATATATTATTATTCTATATACTATATTATATATTATTATTCTATATACTATATTATATATTATTATTATATTATTTATATTATATATTACTGTATATTTGTTTGAGTTTTGAATATGTTACAGTATATACCCCAGATTCATTAAAGCAGGGTTCGACTCTATAATATAATTAATTTCGTAACCTTTTGTTTAAACTGTAAAAGAATTACAGAAAGATTTTATAATTTAGAGTGATTTAATTATTTTGATGTGATAGTTTAGGATGATTTTTCATTGTCAAAAAATAGTGATGAAATTCTTTAATTAATAATTAAATAATGATTTGTTTGATTTTTGAATATGTTCGTTTGAGTATGTTTGTTTGAGTTTTGAATATGTTACAGTATATACCCCAGATTCATTAAAGCAGGGTTCGACTCTATAATATAATTAATTTTGTAACCTTTTGTTTAAACTGTAAAAGAATTACAGAAAGATTTTATAATTTAGAGTGATTTAATTATTTTGATGTGATAGTTTAGGATGATTTTTCATTGTCTAAAAATAGTGATGAAATTCTTTAATTAATAATTAAATAATGATTTGTTTGATTTTTGAATATGTTCGTGCATTGTGTACATCTTGACATTTCGTTCATGGGCTGCAATAGTGGCGCAACTCAAAAAACACGCATTTTGAACTAAGAACAGGTGTAAATATGAAAATATACATTCTTTTCAGCAGCAGTACTAGCACAACTCATAATTCACCTTAAAGGTAATCTTCGTTTTTAGCAAACTAAAGCATTTCTCTTGCATTTTCCTTAGCAATGAAAACTTTAAACCCACTTATCTCAAAACATGATTTTTTGAGTTGTGTCGCTATTGCAGCCCATGAGCGATTTGTTAGATTAGATTTATCTTAAAACTTTTTTAAACATCGTTGCATTTAGCTTAGCACATTATATCTCAATTGTTTATCATATCAAATTAAGACAAACATTACAGAAAAATTTTTCTTTTTTTTTTTAATTGTGGTAATTTATGTATAAATTAATTTATTTTAGAAACCGAAAGTTTAGTTCTATATGGGCTCAATGTTCTGAAAGAATGGCATATTGATTTTATGAAGCCAGAAGATAGAGATAAATTTTTCCTGGAAAAACTACCCACATTCATTGGAAAAATTACCCGGAGTGAAAGCTTCATGACTATAATTGGGCTTTCTCGATTTTGGTTAACGAAATTGGAGACATTTAAATACCTCGAACATGTAACCAGAGAACTTATGTTGGTTTTGGACAGTAAATTTTCTGATAACTCACTGCTTATAGCACACTTTAATGATTTGTTGATAAAACACCAGTAAGTATATTATTAAATTTCTAGTTTCCTATGCAAGTCTCACCGGCGTTCAAAAGTTAGTTTAGTTATTCTGTTAAATATAGATTTCCTCTAACTAAAATGACCTAAACTGTAATTTTTGTTGCAGCTAATTTTAGTTTTATAACATGAAGCTTTTTACAATACATTTAATGTAGCTTTAATTTTTCAATTCTCTATTTTAATTAGAGAAAAACTTTTTACTTTTAGTTTTTTTCCCTATATATACCTTTGTTATTGTTTCTGAAGCAGTATATTTTTAATTTTTCAACTCTATTAACTTCTTGGGAGCCTTATGTTTCATGGTGCATAATGTTTTTAAAAAATGCTTAAAGGTTCTTATTTTCAATTTTCATTTTTTAAAAGCTCTTGGAGGGGCTTTTTTCATGGGGTTAAAAAGTGCTTAATTTACCCTTTTCAAAAATGAGATTTTTTTCTTTACCATGTCGATTTTCACTGCGTATTATGCAAAAGCGTTGTTTTATTGTTCTATTCAATGTTTCCACAATTCATTCGGTGGGATTGTTGCTCTCTCTCATGTGCAACTTTGCTGCATTTTGCAAGATATTCTCAATTTCAGACTTCCTTTTCCACCCTCTGAAATCGAACTGGAAAATCTCTCGTTCTTTTTAGGGTGGCTAATATAATCAAGAAAAGAGTTATTTGACAGAAACTAGTTATTTTATCATGATCATGTAAGGTGTTTGAAAATTATTTTGCATTTTGTTAATGTATATAGTGTGTAAAAATATCTTTTTTTTTGTTGCTTAAAAAATACTTCAAAGGTGCTTATTTTTTGTTGAGAGATTTGGCGTTTATTCTAATTTTACTATTTCTTGGTTATTTTCAGAGAAAAATATAAAATCGAAACGAATTTTGTTTGGACAGTTATGTGTGAATCTGTTTCTGAAGAATGGTATAAGCATCAACTAATCCGAAAAACATCGTACAGCCCTCTGAAAAAACTACTTCAAGCTCTTTATGACAATAAAAATTTGTTCCAGAAATTCTCATTTGTAAAATGCATTGAACTGATAATACTATCCTTGCAAGACTCATTTTTATTTAGAAACATCGATAGAGAAAATCAGGAGAATTCTTATAAAACAAAGGTATAGATTTATTAAGCAGCTAATCAAAAGATTTCTAATTTAATAAATGGTTTTGTTAAGTTTTTTATGTGATTCAATTTGAAAATGTGATCCATTCGAAAAAGTTACGTGAAAACATTTGTAGTAACAATTTTTTCATCAATGTTCAAATAATTCTCAATACAGTATTTTTGTTTGACGGATAATTTTTCTTCATCTGTATTGATTTTTTGAAAATTTAACACAACAGAACAGAAATTTTTTTTATCATGTATAGGTGTCTGAGGTAGCCACTTAAATTTCACCCATTTTTAGTGCTCTTGTGCAAAAAAATAAAAAGAAAATTTTGGTTTATAAAACAATAGGAATGATGAGTTTAAGTATGAATTTTGACATTAAATTAAAAAATTAAACAAATTTAGTCCCTGGTCTGCAGGACATGTAACTAAAACATTTTATTAGTCCAATCACATTTTTACTGTTCCGCTAACATGCCTCACTGATATTTTATTTTTGAAAAGTTAATTTAAATGAAAAATTGCATTACAGATAATGTGTAATATTTAAAATTATGATAAAATATGTTATTTTTAAGCATCTTACCATCTATTTGCATTTATTGCTGGTCAGTAGGCCCACTGATAATTTATTTTATAGAGGTTCCGATCAAATTTCAGTGCCCCAGACTAATGGACCACTGTTGATTTTGAGCCTTGTCTTATATCTAACCATTCAGTGAAACACTCTTGATAAAAAAAAATTTTATGTGTAAGTAAAATTTACATTGATTAAATAATTACCTTATAATCATACAAAAAAAACTAACATTTGCGTTTAAAAATTATTTTTAAGAGCTACAGCAGGATTTGAAGTGTAATTTGTAATATTTATTATAAGTATATATTATAATGGCTTTGCTGATTATAAAATTAGCATCACTTAATCTTGAAGCATCACTTTAATTGTTAATAAAAATTAGCATCACTTTATCTGTACTTTTTTTTTATTAAATATTCTAAAATAATATTCAAGATTTCAGTACATTCATCTATGTGATGTGCGATGGTTGTTATTTGTTCAAGTTGAGTGTGATTGTGTTAAGTTTTTTTTTTATTTGTATTATATCTCAGTTAATGTAATCGTATATATATATATGTAACATAAAAAGCTTCAATTAATCTTTTTATGTTAGTTTCTTTGATATAAAACAACTCCTACTTTATTACTAATTAATTATTCAAATCGAAATACTTTCTCACACTTTTAAAAGCTACATCTTGTTTCTAAATTTATTTTTGGCCCAACTATGCATAAATTTAAATAAAGATCTTTTTTCCCTTTTAAGCCGTGGGAATCACTCGAGCAAGTTCATTAACCAATAGTAATTTCTGAGATTTCCCTCTTTTCCCTAAATAGAGACATTTTAGGATTTTTTGCAAGATTTTCCCTACCAGAAAGACTGTTTGCTGATGGAGTAAACATCACTTCTTCGCTCCCACTCAACTAAGAATGATCAAATAAAAGTTACTCTGATTTAATTAAAATCCTGTGTCTGTTTTCCTGCTCGGTCCGACTGCATTATTTTACATATATATATAGATATATCTATAGATATACATATATATATATATATACATATATATAGATATTATTTTCACCAAATATATTATTAAACTTTTATTTTTCAAATTTTTTAAAATTTTTGTCCTTTTTTTTCGGATTGTTTTTTTCTCTTTCCAGTTTCTTGTTATTTTTATTATTGTTTTTTCCCCTTCTTTCATTGTTCAGTAGTTTCTCCCTTGTTTTCTCTGCATTACATATATATAAAATATGTTTGGTTGTATCAAATTAGCGGATTATTATAGAATAGAAATTTATAATCTACTACTGAGAAATATCCAAATATCCTGTTGCTTTAAAATGTATATCTGTGCACATTACATTTTTTTAAACTGTTTTTCAATCTATTCAGTCTGTGTTGAAAAAGGTTTTATTATAAGAACAACAAAATATTAGGCTTAACAAATATTTAATTATTATTTCTAGGACTACACTAGCAAAGATGAGCAACAAGTGGGGATTTTTATTTTTGCTTATTGTTATGTTACTTTTATAAAAAAAATTTATTTTATATGTTCTTTTTGTATTGAATTGATTTAATGCAATAATCAGGTTCATTTAATAATCGATTTAGCTTCATTCCAAATGCTCATGTGTGTTGTTTAATTATTTCTCTTTCTTTAATGTGTTATTATATTGGTGATTACATTCTTGTAGGATATGCTGGCACACTACAATTCATTTCTTGTGAATCTAATGAAAATACGGGTATCTGATTTCGTTCCTAGCCTTCTACATCTATGCTACATTGATCCTTCTGTTGCTGAATATGTGTGGAAACAAATCTTTAAAACATTATGGCAAACTACGTTAATCGAGGATAAAACGGTGAGATGTCAGATCGTTATATACTGTCTGAAAGTTTTCTTGAACTAAGCAAATGTTTTTGAACTTTGTTATTTAACTGACTAAAATATTAATCTGCTTTAACTGTGTCACTTGTAAAAAAATTACTAGGAGTGAAATATACTCCTTGTGAATTTTTTTAGCTGAAATTATTTATTTCATGTTTTTCATACTACAGTAGGGAACCGATTATCCGGAACGATCGGGACCATCGCTATTCCGGATAACGGATTTTTCCGGTTTTCTGAATCGCTGCAAAAACCCGTTTTTTTTATTGTTAAACCCAACTAAAAAAAAATTTTTTGAACAATCTTAAAAAGAAGAAAAAACGATGAAGTAATACACTAATAATTATTTCCAAAATGATGGTAAGGTATCTTTCAAAAAGGAAAGAAAAATCCTAAAATCTCACGAGGAAAAAAATATTCCTTTAAAAAATGGCGGGAAAATTTATCGAATTTCATTCCGGTTTTCTGATTTCCGGGTTCTGTACTGTATTTTTTTCTCTTGTGTAAGAAAGAGATTGAAATGAGATAACTAGCTGTAAATATATCCATGAGTATAGAGAGGGTGACAATGACACTTTTTTCACGAATCTATGTTATTTAACTGATTAAAATGTTTATTAGCTTTAATTATATGCCTTTAATTCATACTTAAGTAATAGCAAATTAATTTATAGTTAATGGGTCAGCAGTATTCATCATTCAGATTTATATGCACACATAAATCTGTATTGTATGAGTCTGAAATTTTTATTTTTCAAAACTTTTACCGGCAATTGGAAAAAAATAACAAGGAGTGAAATATGCTCCTTGTGATTTTTTTGACTGAAATTATTTGTTTTGTGTTTTTCATGCTGGTTTTTTTTTTCTGTGTGTACATCGTTCGTAAATATATCCCTGAATATGGAGAGGGTAATAATGACACCTTTTTATGTATCCTGAACGAATATGGAATGACGTTACTTTTAAAAAGTAACGAGTAAAAGTACAAGTATTTTTAAAAAAAGTAACGAATAAAAAGTTCTTATTTTAAAAAGTAACGAGTAAAAAGTACAAGTACTAAACAAAGCAAAAAGTAACGATATAAAAGTACATTTCTAGGAAATCGAAAATTCAAAGTAATTCATTCTCGAAAATTCAAAGTAGTAACCTTATGTTCTTTAATGTTTTTGCAAAATTGTTGTTATTTATTTAATTATTTTTAATTTTGAAAGTTATGGACATTAATTTATTTTTAAATTCGGAAGAATATTATAATATAATTTTAAAATCAAATATAATTCAATTACCTTGTTCGACAAATTTGATAAACATTATAACTTACGTTTGAAAATAAATTTTAAAAAAATTCATTCATATACAGGAAACCCCTATAAATCCAATAAACTACAAATTATATTTTGTTTTTAAATATAATTTTTTTTTATTTTAAAATATTTCATAATGGCAATTTTTTTGATTTGTAATAACGATGTGCAATACTATATCCACTCATAATCAAAAATTATGAACAAAAGTTTTATTTTAAAATGTATGATATGAATAGCTAATACATTTACGTAATAGTATATTTGTTACGTTTAATATAATTCAGAAAAAAAAAATTTTTTTGTTGCAAAATAAAAAAAATTATAATATTTTAGATTTTTTTTTAATGCATACTACATTTCCATTAAATAAAGCATTGTTTTTATAATTTAATACTTTAACGTTAAAAAATGTAAAACTTGTGCCAAAATTTTTTGTAATAGTAATATGGAATTAGTTATCTAAATTATTTAAAAAAGCATTCAATGCGCACACATTGTTAACAAAATTTTTAATTAAATCAATGAGAAATGTTTTAAATAACTATAAAATGTTATTTTATAAATAGAAAATAATTAGATATTAAAATATTACTTACTTTTTTCAAAAAAGGTGAATTCTTCTTAAAGCAAAGTTTCATAAATAAGGAATCTCAATCTATGAACATTAGTACAGGTCTCTGTAAATAAAAAGAGAAACAACATTTTTTTCTTTTCTTCTTTATGGTTACTTTTTGGAGGAGTAGCAAGAACCAAAATAAATCAAAGTATCTTGGTGTCAATAAGACATCAAAGATACAGTTCATTTTTTATTTAAACAAAACTATTTTCTAAGACAAAAAAAAGCATGTCCCCTTCAAAAAAAAAAAAAAAAATTCCATCCAATGCGGTGATAACAGTATTCTAATGGGCATTTGTTCATTCCAACCCCCCAAAACTTAACAGTACTATTGAACATTATTTCTTAGAATTTCATCAAACATTTTGGCTTGAAACTTCAAAATTTAACAAAGAAGGACGTTTTAGTGTTTGTAGAAGCATGCCGTCGTAACTATCATTCACATTCAGATTGTCACAAAGAAAAGGATTCAGGTGTCAAGATAAGATTCTGGTGTTAAAATAGCCTGTTCACGGATGTCAGAATAATTAAAGCCTTCACACATTTGAAGGTTGGATGAATTATTTTTCTTAAAAGCGTAAGCGTATGCATTCATTATACTTGGTTTACAGAATTTCAAAGTGCACTTTTTACCATTCTGGAACTTTTTCTTGAGATGAAAACCACTGGTATTCAAAACCTTTGCTATTCATGTCATCCTTTATCACAGACAATTTTCGGAAGATGAATAATGACTGTTCTGGACACACAATTCTTTCTGGAGAACACTCCACGCACAATGATAGTTGCAATGAATGACAATTTTAAAATGTCAAGGTATTTAAGCACGAAGTTAGCTGTGAATGCATATATATTGCACATTAATTTTATAAATTAAAAAAATTAAGTTGGAAGTAGTTGTAAGGAGGCGTGGCTATCATGTATCTGGCCCGTGATTGGCAAGTCTCTGGGAGCAGGGATCGAAGAAACTTTACAAGTTCTTCGTCTTTCAAGATTTCTTTCATTTCAGTGAAAAGTCGTAAAAAACGACTGGCAGAATCAGTAACTTTCTTGGGTCTTTTTCTCTTTTGGCGCTTTCCTGGGTCTTGCACCGCAGCCCGAAAAACAGGCTGGGTGCTCACTGTTGCAATTGACGCAAGTCGCCGGTTCAGAGGTTGGTTTCGTAGATTTGTATGAGAAATGAGCTTGGGCACATTTCATGCAGGCTGGTGCTGCTGAACAGTTTCGCTGGGAGTGTCCATGTTTTTGTCATCTGAAACACTGAATTTGGAAGCGTTCCCCACGGAAACGCTCGTACTGAACTTTTCTACCAAGCAAAGTGCTGATGTTGTAGATGTTCCTGTTGGCACTGGAATCTGATTGGATGACGAGGAAAACTGAGAGGGGCCTAAGGCCCTGTCTACTTCTTCTCTTGAATTGCACGATTTTCTCTGGAAAAAGTTCAAATTCTATTAAATATTTCTCCAATTCAAGAATGTTGGTGTCCGCATTTAATCCTCTGATGAGGGTTTTCAATTTTCCTTTCGGCGGAGAGTCCTCTGCTGAAGTGGTTGCGGGAGGCACCGCCGTTGCCGAGGCCTCGGGTTCTTCCTCACGCTCTATCGGTTCTGGTACAATTGGAGTTGTAGGCACTGGATCAGGAGGGGAATGAGGAGGAGAAGTCTTTTTCTTCTTCTTTTTCTTACTCTTCTTTTCAGGTCTTTCGGAGTCTGAATCAAGCTTGGTAACAATTTCCGAGGCATCCACATCTTCCATCATTTCAGGCTCAGATGGAGTAGAAGTTTCGGGGGCTTTCACCTCCTCAGTCAGTTCAGTATCCATAGTATTTTCGGTGGCTTGGGCAGTCCTTTTGTCTTTAATAGCTTGGAGTGCCTCAAGGCAGTGGTGCTGATACCAGTAATTCGTGTCCTGATAATAGGTACAGCGTCCAATAATTCGAGACTGGATGGCAATATAATGATCGAAATCGTAGTCAGTCGATGAGTCAGCGTCTTCTTGAATATCACTCCAGGCTTTATCATTGAGAGCTGGGGAGTCGTGGACTGGGGTTGACTTGCGGCAGGGTTGGAAAACCTTCCCTCCACGGCAAATTCTCTGCATACAAATCAATAAAATGACCAGTTTTGAAATGCAACTTAATTGCTACTCATTCACATAACAGTACCCAGGGGAAAAAGGAATAAACTTAATAGCTAGGGAAAACAAGAAGAAACACTCAAAAGCTTAGGAACGAGAAAACGAAGGAACAATGATGGTGATTAATTGAATTCAATTTTAAACTTTTCTGGTGCACGCAATTTAAAAATCATAATCAATACGAAAAAGAGTTCCACTTGAAATATATCATTTAAAAGAAATTTTGCTACTGTTCTAAAAGTGTCGGTGTGATATTAAAAGATTCGAATAAAAATTCTTATTATTTGTTCGCTTGTATAAGATGTAAGATTTATTCTGATTAGTTTGACTGTCTCCAGATAACTAGGAAAATCTTTTATAGCTCTCACACCGCCCATATTTTGAAACAACCCATATTTTTACTGATTTTGTTCTGAAGGTTGCTTCACTCAATTAATATTTCTTCACTCAATTAATACTTCTTTATGGCATGGTTTGCCAATGGATATTTTTTTTCATCATTTGTACGGAAATGGTGCAAATAAATAAATTGTAATGTGGAATAAAAAAGTCTCTATCCAATTCTTCACTTGCATCAAGAGCAATATTGTATGACTTTGAAAATAATATGGGAATCGTTTATATGTATCAAGATATTGATGTGTCTGTCAGAGCGTAAATAAAGTAAAATATCAAAATTGTTACCAATTAATTCTATTGACCAAAATAAATAATCAAAAATGAAAACTATTTGATTTCTTAAGAATATAACGTTGGTATTAAAAAACTATCTGTTACATTAGTGCACTTTCCCGGTTAATTTAACAAGAAAATATTGAATATTTAATTAATGGTTCAGAAATTTAGCGTCTTTTATTCCGTCTAAGCTGTTATAAAACCATGGAATCTATTTCTCTCGGTTGGAACTTGTGGTTTGAGATCTTCTAAACACATCTAAATGAATTTAATTTTCAACTGTGTAATTATTACAATCAATACTTGAATCAAAAATTTGAAACCAGCTGTATGTAAGAAATAGTATCTAAGAAATTATATCTAATAATTTGAATCCTAATAAAACGTGTTAAGGTGATGGACGAGATGCAAAGATACTCGGGTATTCATGAAAACTTGCTTATCCATTTGGAATTTGAAATCACCAGTTGTATGTAAGAAAATGNAAAAGTAACGAGTAAAAGTACAAGTATTTTTAAAAAAAGTAACGAGTAAAAAGTAAAAAGTTCTTATTTTAAAAAGTAACGAGTAAAAAGTACAAGTAAAAGTACAAGTACTAAACAAAAAAAGTAACGATTTAAAAGTACATTTCTAGGAAATCGAAAATTCAAAGTAACCTAAAATTTTATTGAATAATATTCTTATGTTCTTTAATGTTTTTGCAAAATTGTTGTTATTTATTTAATTATTTTTAATTTTGAAAGTTATGGACATTAATTTATTTTTAAGTTCGGAAGAATATTATAATATAATTTTAAAATCAAATATAATTCAATTACCTAGTTCGACAAATTTGATAAACATTATAACTTACGTTTGAAAGTAAATTTTGAAAAAATTCATTCATATACAGGAAACCCCTATAAATCCAATAAACTACAATTTATATTTTGTTTTTAAATATAATATATTTTATTTTAAAATATTTCATAATGGCAATTTTTGGATTTGTAATAACGATGTGCAATACTATATCCACTCATAATCAAAAATTATGAACAAAGGTTTTATTTTAAAATGTATGATATGAATAACTAATACATTTACGTAATAGTATATATGTTACGTTTAATATAATTTTGAAAAAATATATATTTGTTGCAAAATAAAAAAAATTATACTATTTTAGATTTTTTTTAATGCATACTACATTTCCATTAAATAAAGCATTGTTTTTATAATTTAATACTTTAACGTTAAAAAATGTAAAACTTGTGCCAAAATTTTTTGTAATAGTAATATGGAATTAGTTATTTAAATTATTTAAAAAAGCATCCAATGCGCACACATTGTTAACAAAAGTTTTAACTAACATATTTAAATGAATGAAAAATGTTTTAAATAAATATAAAATGTTATTTTATAAATGGAAAATAATTAGATATTAAAATATTACTTACTTTTTTCAAAAAAGATGAAGTCTTCTTAAAGCAAAGTTTCATAAATAAGGAATCTCAATCTATGAACATTAGTCCAGGTCTCCGCGAATTAAAAGAGAAACAACATTTTTTTCTTTTCTTCTTTATGGTTACTTTTTGGAGGAGTAGCAAGAACCAAAATAAATCAAAGTATCTTGGTGTCAATAAGACATCAAAGATACAGTTCATTTGTTATTTAAACAAAACTATTTTCTAAGAGGATGTCCCCTTCAAAAAAAAAAAAAATTTTCCATCCCATGTGGTGATAACAGTATTCATATGGGAATTTGATCATTCCAACCTCCCAAAACTTAACAGTACTATTGAAGATTATTTCTTAGAATTCCATCAAACATTTTGACTTGAAACTTCAAAATTTAACAAAGAAGGACGTTTTAGTGTTTGTAGAAGCATGCCGCCGTAACTATCATTCACATTCAGATTGTCACAAAGAAAAGGATTCAGGTGTTAAAATAGCCTGTTCACGGATGTCAGAATAATTAAAGCCTTCACATTGCCAAATGCATAATATGATTCTTAACTTTTTTTTCAAATTTTGTACCAGGAACTTATCAAAGAACTTTCTGGTTTCATTGGAGAGAAAATGAAAAATCAAACGACCATTGCACAGGAAAAACTTTCAATTTCATCATTTCTTCGGTCTACAGTTACTTGTATGGCACCATTACCTTTTGATGATTTTCTTCATCAGGTAAAAAATATTTATTGAATATTGATTCTTATAATGATACTAAAATATATTTAAGTTTACACTTAAAATCTGCTTGATAAAATTTATGCCTATTGTTTTTTTCCCCTTTTAAAACAAATTGTATTTTAGAATTTCATTCTTTTTTCTATAGTATTTTTTATGTTAATGCTAAATGCTGTAAAATGAACAGGAAAAATTACCCAAAATATTAAGCCTAAAACTTTGTTTGATTCGAAAAAGTTAAAATGACCCTAAAATTTAGAAAAAATATATGATAAAAATTGTATAAAATTATGGCGAATTTCTAAAGTACATTTTTTTTATTATTGTATTGAAATACTTGTAAAATTATTTTATAGCACTTTCTAAAATAATTCTTTCTGAATGAGCTAGTAAACCGATCAAAGGCCGGGATAGTCTGGTTGGTAGGGCACTGGGCTCATATCCAAGAGTTCGTGGGTTCAATCCCATGAAGCCGAACATTCCCTGTGTAGTTAATGGTGACTGATAAACGTTAAATCTGCCGAGTCACTAAGTCCTTCATGCTCCCATAGCAAATCATACCTCTGGGGGGTACTGATCCAGAAATTTCCTTGTCTTCTGGATTGGTTCAAAATTACAAGGCTGCAGAGTTGAACATTAGTAGTCTTAAACCCGATATGGAGTCGGCTGTTCAATGACAGTTATAAAACAAACTAATTCATTAATAAATTAACTTATAAGTAATTTTTTTTCTAAAAATTAAAAAAAAAGACTTATTTTGAGCCTGACTTTGCCTTTGAATAAAAAAGGCTATTCTGTTAATCGAACATTTTATATTTGCCATTATCAATAAAATTAGAAATGTTTTATGTTAAAAAATATTTCCTCCATATTTATTATGCATTATTAGAGCCTCCCCTAAAACGAAACTCAAACTTTAGTGAGATAAGAAATAGTTTTATCGAAAAATAGTATAATGTTCTTAGAGAATTCAATTAAGATTTTTTTCCTGTGTGAGTGATACTTTTATAACTTGTGAAGAAGGAAAACATTGTTATGATAAATATTTTGTGATTTTTCTAGCATGTTTCAGAGAATGTACAGTTTTGGTGTGATGTGCTGAACTGTCTTGAAAATTACTTCAAAGAGACATTGCCAGGCGATCTAAAAACCTCTTGGAAAAAATGCTTCAAAGAGTTTATGTCACTTGTCCTTAAATATTCTCCTCCTGAAGATTTCAAGTACGCATACTTTCCTATTAAACTAGCAATTAAAAGCAGAAATATTTTTTTATTTTGCCATGCACTTTTTATCCATATGATTATTAGTTCTAAACATTTTTTTTTCTTCCAAAAGAGTGCCTTTGCTCAAGTTTTATGGCTAAAAAGAATATCCGGTTGTAGCACCTTTATTATGTATGCTTAATTTATTTATATGTAGTGGTGATCTGGATCATTGTAAATAATATTTAACCCTTTGTAACTGAACAACTCTGATTTAAGAAATATTTACGCAGATGTTAGAATACATCATATTAGCATGTAAAAAATAATGAAAAAATTAAGACCTTAAAATTAAAAAATTTTTGATAAAAAGCATTTGTTGAACATCTCCAATATCGTGAAAAATAGCACAAAAATTCCAATATATTTAAAACTTCATGTGAAAAATTTTGAAATTGTTGTTTTTATGGTAACAAGGTCTCACACCACATTTTTCAATCCCTCCTTAGCCAAATATACAATCAAGGGGATTGTTGTAAAAAAATTGTATATCCTGCAATTATGTCGTGGAACAATTCTTGCTAAACGCATTATAATATTGGCANAACTTTCCAACCCTGCCTAATTATGATATTTTTTTAGTGCATAACAACCGTAAATTGTTAAAACAAGATAAAACCATAAATTGTCAAAAACTTTCCAACCCTGCCTAATTATGATATTTTTTTAGTGCATAACAACCGTAAATTGTTAAAACAAGATAAAACCATAAATTGTCAAAAACTTTCCAACCCTGCCTAATTATGATATTTTTTTAGTGCATAACAACCGTAAATTGTTAAAACAAGATAAAACCATAAATTGTCAAAAACTTTCCAACCCTGCCTAATTATGATATTTTTTTAGTGCATAACAACCGTAAATTGTTAAAACAAGATAAAACCATAAATTGTCAAAAACTTTCCAACCCTGCCTAATTATGATATTTTTTTAGTGCATAACAACCGTAAATTGTTAAAACAAGATAAAACCATAAATTGTCAAAAACTTTCCAACCCTGCCTAATTATGATATTTTTTTAGTGCATAACAACCGTAAATTGTTAAAACAAGATAAAACCATAAATTGTCAAAAACTTTCCAACCCTGCCTAATTATGATATTTTTTTAGTGCATAACAACCGTAAATTGTTAAAACAAGATAAAACCATAAATTGTCAAAAACTTTCCAACCCTGCCTAATTATGATATTTTTTTAGTGCATAACAACCGTAAATTGTTAAAACAAGATAAAACCATAAATTGTCAAAAACTTTCCAACCCTGCCTAATTATGATATTTTTTTAGTGCATAACAACCGTAAATTGTTAAAACAAGATAAAACCATAAATTGTCAAAAACTTTCCAACCCTGCCTAATTATGATATTTTTTTAGTGCATAACAACCGTAAATTGTTAAAACAAGATAAAACCATAAATTGTCAAAAACTTTCCAACCCTGCCTAATTATGATATTTTTTTAGTGCATAACAACCGTAAATTGTTAAAACAAGATAAAACCATAAATTGTCAAAAACTTTCCAACCCTGCCTAATTATGATATTTTTTTAGTGCATAACAACCGTAAATTGTTAAAACAAGATAAAACCATAAATTGTCAAAAACTTTCCAACCCTGCCTAATTATGATATTTTTTTAGTGCATAACAACCGTAAATTGTTAAAACAAGATAAAACCATAAATTGTCAAAAACTTTCCAACCCTGCCTAATTATGATATTTTTTTAGTGCATAACAACCGTAAATTGTTAAAACAAGATAAAACCATAAATTGTCAAAAACTTTCCAACCCTGCCTAATTATGATATTTTTTTAGTGCATAACAACCGTAAATTGTTAAAACAAGATAAAACCATAAATTGTCAAAAACTTTCCAACCCTGCCTAATTATGATATTTTTTTAGTGCATAACAACCGTAAATTGTTAAAACAAGATAAAACCATAAATTGTCAAAAACTTTCCAACCCTGCCTAATTATGATATTTTTTTAGTGCATAAAAATATTTTTTGAGTGCTTATTTGTTGTTGAATAATTTGGCTACGCACCCTGATATACCAGTTACATGTACAGGGCTGATTGTGCTCCGGAAAAAATCTGGATTTCCGGAATTTTTGCTAACAGTGATCCGGAAGTTTCCGGAGATCGCAGATGTTTCAAAGAATCACTGATCACAGAAGTTTCCGGAAATCAAATTTTCAAAGATGGAACTTAAAAACACAGTTTATTTTATTTTTTTGTAAGGGAGAGCCAGAGAGATTCTTTATAAGCTTATATTCATGATTAATATTCATTTTTTAATCAGTAAATAGTTGTTATAATCATAAACTCAAGAAAGAAACACATATTTGTAAATTTTAATTACTTCTCCAGGTCATCATAGGTATGTGTAAATGGTATAGGTATGTGTAAAATTTTAAATATATTTTTACTAAACTAAGAAATATTGAGAAAAAGTAAAAAAAACTTGTTTAAATTTTTTACAATTTAAACTGTCTTCTTTTTTTTTCCCTTTAAATTAAGAAATTTTCCGGAATTTTGACTTGGGCTCACAATCACCCCTGCATATATACCCGTTACCATGTAGGCCAGTTACCATATAGGCCAGTTATATTAATACGCCTAATTCTGTGCAGGATTGAATGTAGTAAACCCTGGCATTCTTCTTGCATTTCTTTTAGATGCTCCTGTTTGTTATGATCTTACCTGCCACATTTGTTGTTGCAGTTAGGATGTTTTTGATTGTTTATAAAGTTTAATTTTAACTATTTGTAATGAGACATCCTGTTAAAATGAATAAATTGTATTTATAATTATCATTTGAAACTGCCTTAAGAAGATTGTCCAGCCAGATCTCCTAGCTTGAATCTAATAGATTGTCTTTGAAATTATCTTGTCAGACAAATTGCCTTTTAGAGTTTGTGTTAGCATAAGCTGGAACAAGGGTTACTCTGTACCTGTGGTCTTTGCTGCTCATTTTGAAGTCCAGCGATTTGGAAAGTTATTGCCACAATTGCATTGCAGTTAAGGCTGGACACATTGCCCCATTATATTTTTACGATGTTTTCTCTTAGTTAGGAATTTTATCCTGAGTGTTTTTTTATTGTAAATTATTAATTTTCTAATTCAACATAAATGACTAGTTTTATCTTAGCTTTTGAAAGCCAATGTTATTAATTGCTATTAATGTTATGGAAACAAATAGATCTTATACATTTCTTTTGTTACTTATATTTGGATCACATTAAATTATAAAGTGTAACAAAAATTTATCATGAAACTTTTCAGATCTCTGAATAAAAGGATATTTTTAGAAGCCCTTTCCAAATGGCCTGAAAAACCCATATCATTAAGAAAAATATCAAGTGGACCCAGAAGAAAACATGTTAATTACACTGCTCTTTGCAAAGTAATTTTATGCATTTATTATTTTTCAAGTATCAATTTTGATAATTGCATTTATAAATTTTATTTTTTTTAGTGGCATATTTTTGGTTTTTATTATTTTAAATTAAATATGAGTTAGTTAAGTTAGAGAACTATGATTTTTACATTTAACACGTTGACTACCACTCCTGTTTACAGTGAAATCTCCTTCAACTGTATGAAGCGTATTCTGCTAAGTACTCCCACTTATATTTTAATAATGCGAGTCTCTGGTGGTTACAAGAATAATATCTCTCTCTGTTTGTTTCCATGGTATCATGTCTGTTTATTTTGTTCATTGCTGTTTCTCATCTCACCACTTTACTTAAATATTTTTTGCTGAGTTCAGCCTAACTTAAAATCTTCACCCTAATTCGTTGAAATTTCAAAAAGAAAAATGGGAAAACTTATTTCTTAGTGAGTCAAATAACAGTGAACAAGAAAGCTCTTACAATGCTTTCAATAGTTTTTTCACTTCCTGTGAAATATCTTTTCAAATGCATACGAATTATTCATTAAAAAATTTGCTATCAAAAACAAAATTTTACACTTAAATCTATAATTCTGATGTAATTTTAATTAAAATAAAAAACTGAATTATCTTAAACAAGTCCAAAGTAATTTAAAAAACTTTTTATTAAGATTTTTTTTAAATAATGAGATTAAAAATTAGATGTTAAATTAAGACTCTTAATGCAGATTATTTTTATTGATATAGATAATTTTTATGAAACACATTTTTTATACTTTTTTCATTATTCTGAATTAATTTAGGTAAAAATAGACGGAAAATATTGTATTTAGCATTTTAATAATTTATGGTTATGGCATACAGCATAAAACACTGATGTATTTTGTGGATTAAAAGTAAAATCTTCCTAACATGGCTTCCAAACAATAAGTTTTCAAATTTGCATTTATTGAAATGTAAGAGAAACAATTCGTGAAATTTTTTTAATTTACGAAATCAATTATTGATTAATTTTTTTATTTGAATGAACAAGTATTTTTCAAACTACGTTTTTTTTTTTTTTTTTTGTATTTTTTATATTTTAGTATAAATATAATGATAATAATCCAACAGGTTTTCTTTAGTAACTATCAAACTGTTTTTTATAATTAAAAAATACCAGTATATATTTTTTGGTTTGTAATTAGAGCATAATATATTAGGGACGCCTGCATCCTAACCCCAAAAAGTTATTCCTGCAATAGCTATGCATGTTCAAAATATCCTCCCAATGTAAATAATGTTTAAGGTTGTTTTTCAAATCTCTCTTTCATCAAGGAACGTAAAAGAGCCGCAATAAAAGTCCTTTAAACTTGAGGCAAAGCTATAATTATTAATTATATATATATACCACCTTGTCGTAAAGAATTTTCTGGGTAACTAGAAAGAACAGATCTCTTAACTATTTTAAAAGTTATTAGTAGCATTTTTAAAATCTCCAATTTAGCAAACATTTTCCACCAAAAGGGAAAGCATTAAAACCAATAAATAATTCTTAATGTTTCCAAATTTTTTATGATACCAGATAATGCCATATCAATTATTAAACTATGTCACTAAGGTTTTTTATTTTCTCAAAACTGTGGCTTTGTTAGCATTTTGCGCTATTTTTGGAATTATCATAGAGCAGAGGGCACTGTCTAAAAATAAGATAGGAAAAACTTAATCTAACATAACTGTTTTTAAAATATTTGCTTAAAAGCCTCAATTCATGTAATGGCAACTTTAAGAATAACAATTTAAATAGAGTTTTGTGTATTGCTTAATAGAAATTTTTACACTAATAATGTTTGCATTACTAAATGTTGCACACTTACAGTAGTGAATACTACAATTCTGTTTTTCTTTTTAATTATTATTTATACTTCTTAAGATTCGTGCCAATGATGAAGATTTTTACCAAAGTTCCTTAAAGTGTGTTGAAAAACTGCCAATGCAATTATTTCCTGACGAAGTTTGCAAATCTCTACAGGTATTTCAAATATTTTTACTTTCATTACAGTAGTGATAATGGAATAATAATATTTTTCTACTATTTTTATTTAGTTTCTGAAAAACAGATATTATAGTAGTTAGATAAAAAAAAAAAACTATTTAATTTTTAGAAGTTTTTTTATCTTTTATTTTGGAAACTGTCATTTTGTTTCTTATTTGTGCAATCATTATTGTATCAGATTCTTGGAGTTGAGTAATAAGTAAATGCTGTGTAAACTGTGAATTGAAAAATAGATTTTCGAACTAGAACAACTTAATTTTTATTATAATTAAAATTAATGATAAATGAATTTAAAATATTTGCCCCTACTGTTTCAAACAAAATTAATTTTAAGAAATTTCCTTTACCTTTAAAATTGATTTGTTGTAACAATTCCAAACGGGGATGTATAATTACTGTTTGTGATTCTTGGTTTAGAATACTGAAAATTAAATTTTTGAATTTGATGTATGATGAATATTCGTTAGAATTAATCTGTTTTAGGAGTTAAAAATATGCATGTAGCAGAAAGTAGTTGAGGTTTATTTAAATGAAATGTATAGGTTTTTTATTGTTAGATTAAAAGTAGAATATAAATGGAAATAATTGATATATATCTCAAACTATGGAATTTGGCATTGTTTTGTTTTGTTTTGTAAAAAAAGTGTAATAAAATTAAAGAAAGATGATTCTTGCTCGAAAGTATGGGATTTAAAAAACAATTGAAAAATTTTATATCAAAGATTTCTTATTGCTTTAATGTTAACAATGAAATGAAAAAATTATTGCTATTGATAATACTCTGGGATCATTTTCTTTAACTTAAAAGTAAAATAATGGTCACATTTTTTTAAATTGAAGAACTTTGTACAACGTAATGATATTCATATTTTTCAAAAGAGTGGTTTTTGTCAAAACAACAATAAGGTTCCCGCATAAGCAAAAGAAAATGTTTCCGCTTATTCTACTGTCATACAGTAAGTTCCAGCAATTTGTAAATTACCCCACTAGAAACAATACTAAACATTTGTAAAAATATCCATTTAGGAAAGAGTTTGGCTTAGCTTTATATTTCCCAGGACTTTAAACATTTGATAATTATGTGTTTGAGGAAATACACAGAAGTATATTTCTTTTATATACTCAATTTACGTCATATATTGCGTCATACTTAGGGTTTGTTTTGTTAAGTTGATAAACAACTGTTTGCATTGTGGGTGCACAACCCGTGGCTAAGGGGTCATATAATACATTTGAATGGTTTATATGCGCCACCTTGCTTTATAACAGGGTGCGTAACTTTTTTAAAAGTCCTTAAAGGTGCTTATTTTCGTTTTTAAAAGTCCTTAAAGGTGCTTTTTTCATTGAGTTTTTTTAAAAAGTGCTTAATTTTCCTTTTTCCAAATTCAGATTTTTCCTTTACCATGTTGATTTTCGCTACAAATTATGCAGAAAGAGACTGTTCACATTGTTCTATTCAACGTTTTCACTATTAGTTCAACCCCAATTTATTTCAGCACATCGTCAGACCGTAGCTTATGAAAACAACATTCAATTTACATGATTCAAAAATCTTGACAATTGTCAAAAACAATGCCAAAAGAATTATTTTTTTTTGACATGAGTATTAAAACCAGATGAAATCGTCAATTGTCAAAAACTTTCCAACCCTACCTAATTATGATATTCTTATAAAGTGCTTAAAATGTTATTAGAGTGCTTGAAAAGTGTTTAAAAGGTGCTTATTTTTTGTTGAAATAAATTACAAAAAATAATAGAGCTACCTTACACTGTTTTTTATGTAGTTACACTTTTGTTACTTAAAACATTCAGAAATAATTTTAATATTATTGATTTTTTAATTTTTTTTATTTCTTATTAAAGTATAGTTATTAATTAGTTTTAATTAAATATGTTTGAAAAGTTAGGAATCAGTTTGTTTTATTGAAGATTTCAAATGGTGTACAGTTTTGTCCGTATTTGTTCTCATCCCTTTTTATTTTATCTAGAAAGAAAAATATTTTCTCTATTAAAATGTGTCTTTTTTTTAGGCCATCAACATCTTAACTCAAATTCACTTAGCAAATGACGTTAATAAAATTATACGGAGGATTAAACAGATAAAGAGCACTACTCTAACTAAAACAGACTATTCAGATTTGAATAGAGAATTGGTCACCTTAAGGTCGTCAACTCTATCCAAAATAGATGAATTTATTAAAAACTCTGTTGCAATTCACAATTCATCACTGACGATTGATTTATGTTCTTCGTTTTGTCTTGGTTTGTATCAGCAGCAACAGATTCAAACCTGGGGAAATATTTTAAGGAAGACAGTTTATAAAAAGAAACTTGCTATCCATTATGTGAATTCCTATATGGTGCAGTTTGCTGAAATGTCTAAGAGGGTTGGTTGTGAACAAATAGCATGGAACCGTATTCACAGGTATCATTATTTTTGTTTTTCCTTTTTTTACCAATTTAATTGACATTATTTTTATCGTTGTCAATAATTATTCTTTTTACTCAGTGTGCTCATAGGCTGGCCCATATATTACAGGCAAACACCGTTCGTGTAAAATTGGTCACCATCACGGAAAATTTTTTACTATTCATAAAAAGAAGAAAAAAAACTGTCTCTTCTCTGCAAGTTTATCTTTTTGAAGATACATTTTTATGCTTTTTCCTGCCAATGCAAACATGATTTAAAATAACATTCACATGATTTAACAATCTCACATCTCAATTCCTATTTACTCTATTTAAGAACGCACATTGTGTTTCATATTTTCACGATTTTATATCAAATATTGTGTTTCGTATTCAAGTGATTTAAAAGCCATTGTTATGATTCGTGTTCAAGTGACTAAAAATTATACTTCAGAATTCATATTCCAGCAATTTTAAAATCAATTATCAAGATTTATATTAAACCAATTTTAAAATAAAACATCGATATTCATAATCACGCAATTTTAAAATTAATTGTCGAGATTGAATTTCGCCTGATTTAAAAATCACGCATAAAGATTCATACTCACACAAGTTAAATAAATAAATAACATTTCTCATCAATATTTTTATTAAACGTAGATAACATTCTGTGGATGAATGTTTTCAGTATACTTTTTCTTGCTCAAATTTCAGGTATTTTTTCAAGTATTTAAAAATTTTTTTTCCACATAACATTTTTGGATTTCTATTTTCAGCTTGTTTGGTTTTTTGCCAAATTCATAATTGTGGTATGAATCAATATAGAGGTCTGTAAAATATTCATCTCTGTGTTATCATTTGAAATATTATTTAATCGTTTTATGATTTCGTTACATTTGACTGCGTTATTTTCATAAATAATTTTTTTTAATTAAGCTGAATAACTAGTTTACTTTAGAATAATTATTTTAAATTCAGCATTTCTATTTCAGATTCAACAGGAATGACAGAGATTAAGAAAAAAAGCTTTCTTATTGAAAGTTTGAATCCTAACTATTTAAATTATTTAGAAATTTTTTTTTGAAGAAGAGTTGTGAATGACTAAACTTTTAGAACCATTTTCTACATATTTACAGTGTATATATGTTAGTGTCAATTACATTGGTATCAAATATCAATTGCATTGGTATCAAATACATTTTTAGTTTTTCTATTTGTCTAAATTACATTAAATTCTATTATTAAATGAAATTGATGGTTGGTATTCATTTAGAATGAAATTAACAAAGATGAATTTAATTTTTTAGCACCTCATCTATTCATGGGTTGATGAAGTTATCTGCATCAATTGATTACTATTTACATAAAGCTTCTATGTCTGAAGAAAATCTGGTAAGTTTTTTCTAACAGAAACTTTTTCAGATAATAAATAATATGCAAGTCTAAATTTGTAAACGCTGTAGCCGTCTTAATTGGGTAATATCCAAATATGATATAAATTAAGTACTTTCATACTTTAGTAACCTAAAATAAAGTTATAAGTATGTGGGGGGATTTTCATTGAAGTTATTAAGGTAAGAGGCAATCAAAAAACTGTACATTCCAGATTTCTTATGCCAGTCTTGCAAAATTGCTTAGAACATTTAGGCAGTCATACCACTAATTAACCTTCTTGAACATAAAACACTTTTAATGTTGCTTGAAGAAGTAAAAGGAACTATTTGACCATTCAAGATTAACTTCAAAAGGAGCGTCAGAGTTTTACAGAATCATCCCATTTTCAGATCAAAAGGAAAACTCCAATTTTGTTTATTTCATGATGAATGTCTATCAGTATAGATCTAGATTCATCTTGTGACAAGAACTCTATAGTTGATTTTTTTTAGCATTTTCCACATTCATTTTAGAAATCAAGGAATGCCACACTACACGCCTGACTACATGTCAGTGCTTACATATGCATATATCTTGCTGTGATGTCCTCAAAAGAAGACTTCACACATTTGCATGTATCCTGCCTGCAATCTAAGGCATTTTATTCGCGCATTTGTATGTATCCTACTTTGATGCCTACAAAAGAAACTTTTTTCTCACATTTGCATTTATCTTGCCTTGATGGCCCTCAAAAAAAACGAATTTTATCACACGTCTGCCTATATCCTGCTGTTATACCCTCAAAAAGAAAATTATCCCCCATTTGGATGTATCCTACTGTGATGCTCTCAAAAGGTACTTTTTTTGCACATTTGCATATATCTTGTCCTGATGCCCTTAAAAGAAATTTTCTTTCATGGCTTATAGTTAAATATTTTGTAATTCCTATTTTAAAAACTTTGACTTCAGTTCTATAATTATGACTGTTAATAAGTTGAATTTTTCTCACTTTATTTGTTAAATGTATGAACTTTAAAAAAAAATTATAATTTTGAATAATCTTTATTTATTATCACTTTTTAAAAAGCTCGTAGCTAATATAATAAATATAAATATAAAGCTAACAACAAAAGTGACTGTTTCCTTTAGGTCTATGTCACAGTTCTAAAAATAATATTTGTTTTTTCATTCTCTAGTTATCGGTTTGAGTTCTATCTTGTTTCTTATATTGTATCTATTTGAATTTTTCTAAAAGGGAACAACAAAAAAAAAAGATTTTTTTATAGCATTATCTGCATGTTTTAAAAATGATTGTTGATCTGAAAAATAAATTAGTTAAAAGCGGGGGAATAATATAAGTGAATGGTTTGATCAGCTCAGAAAATTACATAATTTAATCTCACCAGATTGCACTGCTAACTGAAAAACAATTGTGAAACAATGTTTTCCGAGAGCATGTCCAGTTGAATTATTTGCCCAAGTATCTGTTAATTTTCTCTTCAGACTGCATAGCATTTCTACTGCAAGTTTCGGCTATTTTGAAAAAGATCACTCTCGTGTTTTCTAAAAACACAAATACGTGCAATTCAAAGCATGGCTTCCTAAGCAAAACACAGAAAACCATTATTTTCAGGACAATCCTTAGAAGCAAATGTGACTTGGGTGTCCTTTTTATATATTTTTTCTGACCCCCTTATTACTGGCAAAAACTATTTTTGCATTTTTAATTCTAAAAAAAGACCAATAAAAAAATATGTTAGATTATCCGAATTATATTTGTACTGAAATATGAAATCCAAACAAGGTAGTTTCAGTCTTCTTTTTTTTTCATTCATTTTCAAAAATGTATCAATAATTGGTATTTTAAATTAAAGAAATTTCATTGGTGAATAACAGTTTCTCTTAGATATTAATAACTGCAAATTTGAAAAACTATTTGGAAGATTTTACTTTTAACGCAGAAAAAGACATCGGTTTTTCATGCTGTATTCCATGACCATAAATTAGTAAAATGGTACATATACTATTTTCTTGCTTATTTTGTACTAAATAATGAAAAATACGATCAACAAAAATTCTGCATCTAAGGGTTAATTGATTTTCACATTGGCAGTCATTTTTAAAACATCTGGGAGTTTCTTTTACAATTGTTCTATACTTAATTGAAATTATTTACTTTCAGCGGGATTACTATCTGAATTTAGTATGTTTCTTGACTAAAGCGAAAAAAGGTAAAAGTAATATTTTGCATCAAAAGCTGTCTACTATCTGCTACAGTATCTTAGCAAAGCATGATCCAGTTGGAAATACTTTTGCAAGCTTCAATTTTTCTTTACCCCGACCAAGCTTCAATTTTTCTTCACACCAACAGTATGAACTACATAAGTTGATTGGATGTTATTTTCTTAAACGTATTGACGACTATGAACACAGGTGCAAATTTTACTTTTATGTCTTCAATAATCTTATGTATCTTCTTTTAGGATACCTAATCTTGCTAGGGTTTTATCCTCTTTAGAGTAAAGTGCATAAAAATAAACTGAACATATTAATAACTTTTGACCTAATGATCAAATTTCCACTTACCATAAAAGCAATCTTAATGGTTCGAGGGTTTAAACTTAAATGTGCTACTGACCATATCTATTTTTTTTACCCACGGATTCAAATTCTTGACCCTTTCCCTCAAAATATGGAGCATAGTTTAAATTTTGTGTAAAAGTTGATCAACATTTTGTATACTTGTGTATCTATTTTATGTAAATAGAATGTAATTTTATAAATATTATAATAGTGTCAAATTATTTTTAAAAAAGCATTTTTGTAAATTTGTTTAATAATTAAAATTTTCCATGCACAAAATAATAAGTGAATCACTTTAATAATTTTTGATCTGATTTCCACGCACTAAGATGCAATTCTAATGATTTGATAGTCTAAACTTCAATATGCTAAATAATTAGTGCAAACAATATTTTAAGTTTAAAAAATATATGCTTTCTCTGTACAAAAATGCCTCCTTGTTTTGAAAATTTCAGTTTTTGACCCTCAAAATTTAAGGAGTTAAAATCTGTAAGATATGATCCCTGTATTTCAGGCAGGAGATCAGTTGGAACTTTATGTACCTTAATGTTAATTTCACTTGTACAGTGCCCCCCCCCCCCCAAAAAAAGGACCAGCGTGAATAACTTGTAATCTAATGATCGGATCTTCAGTTCCTATAATTCAATCTAAAATGTTTAAAGGGGTGGCCTTAAATATGCCAATTAATTAGTGCAGACGATATTTTAAGTTTTAAAAAATCGGGCACAGAAACGTATTTTCTCTGAATAAAAATAAAAATTGGTAATTTTTTTTTAAGGTTTTGGATTTCTGACCTCCCAAATATAGGGGGCAGCCGTAATCTGGGAAATATGGTTCTCATAGATTGGTCAGGAGAGCAGTCCAAAGTTTTAACCCCTTCATGCTAATTTTACTTTGTGGCATATTTCACTATATCTCGAGAATTATTTTAAGCGAATCGAAAACTTTTGTTCATAAATTTATAAAATTCGTTTATCCAAAGATAAGTCAATGAATAATATAACTTCAAATATTTATTATTTTATCTAATAATAGACAAAAAAAACTTGTGAATTATATGGTATTCAATTATTTTCATCATTTTAAAGAATGTAATTTTAAATCGCAAAATCAGTTAAATGGTTCCTGAGAAATCTAATTTTAAAAATACTACTTTTAGTCCCGTATATCTATACACATTATGGGGGTTATTTTGGTGTTTTCATTGCATATCTGGGGTTGTAGGTAAAGAATATTCAGGTAAAAAAGTAGATAAAAATTGCTATATCTGCAAATTTTTCTAAATGTTTTTATTACATTTCAGACAGGAGATCACAGAGAAAGTTGTACACAACTTATTGAAAGCCTGTACTTATGTTGATGGCAAGAAATCTTTGCATCTTATTTCAATGGTAATAGTTTATTTGTTTTTATAAACCTTTAATAAGAGATAATTACTCTAAAACTCTATTTATTTGTGAGATAAATGGAAAATTAAGACCCTTTCTTCAATAGGTTGGGAGAAATAATAGGACATATTAATTTAAAATTTAGGGGGGTTTCTGCCTGATAGTAGATTTTTTTTAACCCCTTAACGATCGGTTAATTTTCAAAAAATGATCATAAAAGTGCCTATTTTTTTATACACGTATTTGCTTAGTGCTGACATCTAGTTTGAAATAAACTAACTTTCTACAATTACCTTAAAAATATCCTGGTACTGCTATCTGGGGTGTAAAATGAGAAATAAATGTTTTCCGGCCAAAAGAAATTAATTAGTTTTATACTTATTGGCGCGTTACTACTAAACACTTCAGCCGGGAATATCACGGGAACGAGAAGTAGATGGCAAAACCTCACCCCATCATTTTCACGGGAGCGAGAAGGAAGGGGTTAATATTTTAACTAAACTGGCAATCACAAATAATGTGTTTGACTTTATAATTTATGGGGAAAATTCCATAGAAATTTTGAAATACAGTGCATTATACTCTACTGGTTTGGAAGCAGCCTTTTTCTGCATGACTATAGTTCCCTCTCTCACATTTCAGACGAATGAGTAACTTGTATAAAAAGAATCTACCCATGCTGCACAAGTGACTGTTAATTTAAACTCACATTTTGCATACTGATTTTCCGAGCTCTTGCAGAAGTTTTAAGTACATTTAATATTAATTTGATGACCTTTTCTAAGGATACTAAAGCAAATTAGTTCTTTTATTAAAATATTCCTTTAAATAGGGGTGCACAACCTGTGGCCCGCGGGCCAACTGCGGCCCTTCGACTACTGAAGTGCGGCCCACAAGAGCTTCTAAACACAGTAAAAAAAATTTAAAAAATGGCAATTTTTAATCGCACTTTTAAGTCATCACGCTTTGACACAATCAATTTTAACAGATTCTTTATTAAATGTACGTTTAGCGCGCTTTCTTTAAGCCGATTTTATCGTAAATATAAATGATTTTTTTAAAACAGTTATTTTCGCTTTTCTGCGTGATTTGGAAAATCCCGAATTTTTATTACGACGCGAGTTTCAGATCGTCCATTTAAATAATCATTTTTTGGTGCACTTTATTTGTGATGATTTCATCTTAAATCTAAGTGATTTTTTATCTTTTTTTTTTTGTTGTTCATTTGACACGCTTTATTCTGCTGAGTTCAACATAAATAGAAGTAATTTTTTCCCCAATTATTTCTATACTTTTCCACGTGATTTTGACGATCCCGTTATTTAACTATGATGTTATTACGACACGTGATTGTTAAACGCGCAATGAAATAATCACTTTTTGATACGGTATTTCGATGCAGTTTTATTGTAAATCCTAGTTATTTTTCCTTCGTTTTTTTTCGCAATGAACATGATTTGGTCGAATGTGGTACAGAATTGTAATTTGGTCAAAAACCAAATATTCGGCAAAAAAAAAAGAAAAATTGACTGAACGCAGTACACTTGGGGCCAAATAGCAAAATCTTTTAGCAGCATAGCAACACTGAAATTAAAATTTCAATGCTCAGAATAATATATTCTGGAAAAACGCATTCATAAATTTACTCTAAAAAATAAGGCCAATCAAGAACGTTTTTGAAAATGTCGAAAAGCGAAACAGAGGGCATAAAAATCAATCTTAATTTTTGAAAGAAAATTTTAAAGCTGAACATCTCAGTTTTCCAGTTACCAGAGAAAGCCAAAAAAAAAGAATTAAGTCAACAGAAATGCTATTAAAAATTATTGCGTTATAATAAAAACGTCTAAAAAAAGTTTTTCTTATTAAAAGAAAATAAAAAATTGGAAAAAACGTTCTTAATTTTTTAAATGAAACTCTTATGCTGAAAATCGCAATTTAAATTTTTCTCATTGCCATAATTTTAGAATAAAAAAAATTGCTATAAAATAAATTTTATTAGTAACTTTATTTTTAAAAAAAATGCTGAGTCATAATAAAAATACCTAAGAAAGAAAAACAGAAAAGACAAATTTTTCTCAGTTCCAGAAACAAAACTCTAATACTGAAAATCACACTTTTCTATGTTACTGCTTATTTATTTTACAGTACAGGGAAAGAGTGATAATAAATTAATAGTATGGGACGTTCTGTTAAAATGCTGGGTTACAATAAAAGCAGCAAAAAATGGAGAAGAAAATCCTTCTCAATTCTCAAAGTATCGAAAAAATGACAAAAATGACTTGTCTGATTATAATTTTTAAAAAAAAGTAATATCTATAAAAATTCAAAAATAAAAAAACTTTGAAAAATACATTTCTAAGAAATATTCTGCCGAATATTTGACTGATCATTCAACCAACTGAATTTTTCACAGAAGGGCCAAATACTCGTTACATCCCAAATTTAAATGCAATGTTATTGCAACTTGAGAAATTCATAAAATGGCGGAAAACGTGAATTTTTAAACAGCTCACTGTTTGTAGTTTAGATTTCAATTTTTTGTTGTTTAAGTGATCTTTTAGGATAAAAAAAAGGAAAATTTTTACGATGTAAAAAAATCTACTAACTAATAAAATGAAATAATAAAGTACATTACAAAATAAGCATTGAATTTTATTTTCCTATACTATCACAGTTTTGTTTTTATTTTAGGCTTTTGTTAAAAACCTATAAATTTTATTCAATTAAAATATTTAATTTAAATTTATATTACTTAATTATGACTAAATTTTTTCCTACTTTCATTCTGTGGGCATTACAGTTTTTTTATTTATTAGAATTTACGAGGCGTATCCAGAAAGTAAGTTTCCCTATTTTTTTAAAAAAAAGAACTCATACTTTCAGGAACATATTTTTTGGCAACAAGTACAGCAATGTTTCAGCTATTTTTCAACATAGCAACATAGAATTGAGACACTTGTATTCAATCTTTTTCTATCAATCTTTTTCTCAATCTATCAACTTTTGTATCCCTCTGTCGTAGAACTCTGCCGCCTGTGAATGGAACCACGTTGTTAAACAGAAAGCGCTGACCGTTACTGTGAAACACTGCAGAAATTGCGACGTGCGATTCAAAACAAGAGGCGTGGAATGCTTACTGCAGGAGTTGTGCTCCTCCATGACAATGTTCTTTCACATACATCTCGACACACAGCAGCTGTTGACAAAATTTGGCTCGGAGTTGTTTGATCATCCACCCTACAGCCCTGATCTTGCTCCCAGCGATTTTCATGTTTTCTTGCACCTCAAGAAATTTCTGTCCTCCGGTGAGCGCTTTGGCAACGACGAAGAGCTGAAGACGTCTGTCACACGCTGGTTCCATTTACAGGCGGCAGAGTTATACGACAGAGGGATACAAAAGTTGATCCCACGAGACGACAAGTGTCTCAATTCTGGTGGTGGCTATGTTGAAAAATAGCTGAAACATTGCTGTACTTGTTGCCAAAAAATATGTTCCAGAAAGTATGAGTTCTTTTTTTAAAAAAAAAAATAGGGAAACTCACTTTCTGGATGCGCCTCGTAATTCTAAAATGAATTTTCGTATTGCATGATATGATAAAAAAAAATAAAAACATTTCTTTTCTTCATTGTTAATTTATTTCGATAAATCTATTGTTCATATGATAAAAATAGAAATTTTTTTTTGTAAAAAAAATGTTTTTTTTATTTTTGAATGAATTCTAAAAATGGAACTCCTTTAATTTCTACAAATATATTACTAAGTTTATTGATAAAAAAATAGAACGCTAATGTTTAAATAAACATTACTACATTTGTCATTANAAAGTTGTCCATAACTTATTGAAAGCCTGTACTTATGTTGATGGCAAGAAATCTTTGCATCTTATTTCAATGGTAATAGTTTATTTGTTTTTATAAACCTTTAATAAGAGATAATTATTTTAAAACTCTATTTATTTGTGAGATAAATGGAAAATTAAGTCCCTTTCTTCATTAGGTTGGGAAAAATAATCGAACATATTAACCCCTTCCTTCTCGTTCCCGTGAAAATGACGGGGTGAGGTTTCTCCCTCTATTTTAGGCTCCCATGAAATTTACGGGCTGGGGTGTTCAGTAGTAACGCGCCAATAAGGATAAAACTAATTCATTTCTTTTGCCTAGAATATCTCATTTTGCACACCTGGTGGCAGTACCAGGATATTTTTAAGGTAATTGTAGATAGCTAGTTTATTTTAAACTAGATGTCAGCACTAATCAATTACTTTATGACTAATAATACAGGCACTTTTATGACTGTTTTCTTTAAAATTAACCGATCGTTAAGGGGTTAATTTAAAAACTTTGGGGGTTCTGCCTGTTAGTAGATTTTCTTTTATATTTTTTTAACTGAACTGACAATCACAAAAAATGTGTTTGACTTTATAATTTATGGAGGAAAAATCCATAGAAATTCTGAAATACAGTACATTCTATTATGTTGGTTTGGCAATAGTGCAGCCTTTTCCTTCATGACTATAGTTCCCTCTCTCACGTTTCAGACAAGTGAATAACTTGAATAAAAGGAATCTACTCTTGCTGCACACGTGACTGTTAATTTAATGGCCTTTTCTAAGGACACTAAAACAAATTAGTTTTTTTATTAAAATATTCCTCTAAGGAAGTATTTTTTCATCTGACCAAAATACTATTTAAGGAGTAAACGCAGTAACGCAACTAGCATGGCAGAGGGCCACATGTTTATTTAGGCCTTGCAGTTGACATAAACAACTTTAAAGGGCAAAAAATTGCAGACAAAGTTAAATTTAAAAAAAAACAATCTCTTCCGCGTTTTCTTGCTTTTTATTCTTGTAAGTTTCAGTTTAATGCACTGTTGTGGGCATTTTTTGAGATTTTATAAGATAATGATGCAGCAGTACATTGGCGAAATTTCCAAATGCTGGATCACAATTTTTTAGACTTTCCTTACTTTCTACTTCAGCTTTTAGAACAACATTTGATTTACTAAATTATTTTGTTTCAGGTAGAGTTTCTAATTTAAGTTTTAGAAACTTTATTTAAACTGGTATTAAGTTCCTTTTTAAAAATAAAATAAAAAATGAAAAAAAAATTCTAAATATTAATTTATTTAAGTAAGCTAAAAATTATTAAAATCAAGAATATTTTTCATTTGAATGTTACTTTTACAAAAATTTTCTCAAATTTTAAGTTGTCACTTGTAGTAATTCAGTTGTTGTAGGAGTATACATTCTTACCTTATAAGAAATTTCGACCTACAACGTGCAGCACATGAATTAAAGTATTTTAACACACATAAACACACTCGGCAGATTGCCCGTGAAGTTCTTTGCTTCTGGGAGAGTAAATAAACACTATTGTGATTGTTCCTACTTCATAGGAATTCCTTACAGAACTTAGTGTTTACAATTTATTTCTGTTATAGGTGATTTCTGTTTTCTCCTTCTACAATTTCAAATGCATGGAATCTTTTTTTGAAGTTGTGCCCTGCTCTTATTGGTTGCCATGGATACCTCAATTAATTGCATCTCTCAATCAGCATGAAACAAATAATGCAGAAAATGTACTAAAAATTGTTGCTAAAACCTATCCTGAAGTTGTATACATGCCATTATATGTATTGAAGGAAAGTAGGACATGTAATAAAACGGTCATTGGTAAGGAGAAAATTTAAAGGATTTATTATAGTTTATTAAACCTATTAAATGAGAATTCTATTACAATACGGATTTATTAAACTTTATATAAGGGACATTCAAATTAAACCCGGTCACTAGTTAAGTAACTGTAGTGTAAAGTAACGGTAACGATTTTGATAACTCACAAATATAGCTATACGGAGTACGCATACTCAAAAATAGTCGCCAAAACTGTTGGCACATTTATCCCATTGCGACACTAACCGGTCTATTCCATCTTTGAAGAAGCTGGTAGGCTGCTGTCGGATCCAGGCCTGGACCCAATCGCACACGTCATCGTCCGCCCTTTTTAAAGGTATAAAAACTTGAAAGTCACTCGGTGAAAGGTCTTGACTGTATGGTGGATGTTCCAGCTTTTCCCACCAAAACTCGTTGTTCCTGCTTACTTGTCTGCATGTTCCGTAGTGAACGATAACTTGTGTGACCACCTTCTCTTTGACGTGCAACCACACTGTCTCTATGCAACATCAAACATTGTGCATGTTACGGTCTCTCTACCAATAGATGGTGTCGCCATCAACGTAGTTATGTGGTGCCCCATTATGTCTAATGAAAAGTTGGACACACTGACCAGGTTTCATTTGAATGACCCTCATATATTTAAATATGTGTAGTGCTTTATTATTTTTTATTGTAATTGTAATAGTTTTTTGAATTATTCAAGTCTCTTTTAGGATCAATAGACTATTTTATTTCCTTGCTTGTTACTTCATTTTTTTTAACTAGAAAGACAAAGCAAAAGTATCAATGCCTACTTGTTTGATAAATTCTTTATGAATTCTTAGTTGATCAAGTAAAATTCTGGTAATTTATATTTTATCATTTCTTTAGTATCACTTCTCTTAGCTATTTGAAGGTAAGATTTTTTTTATGTATTGTTAGTTATGCAGATCTATGATTTCCAGCAAAGGTAAGAAGTGATAATTTTTGTAATTCAACACTGTATTACCTAATTTTTTCTTTATTAATTGTTTATATGATTGCTGTCCCTAGAAACTATCAGTATTCTTACGCTTAGTAGGCCATTCTAGTGTATTTAGCAACAGAAGTATTGTATATCAAATGATTGCAAAAAAAAGCCCTTAGTCAAATCGTAAACAAACCTGCATTTTTCCCGATTTATGTAAATAAAAACAAAAATAATATAGCTTTTTTATTTAATATTTTGGGTGGCTGTGGTATAAAATTCTCTTTGTCGGGGATGTCATCTAGAGGAAGAGACATCACGACACATACTCTGTGATTGTGAGGTCTATTCTGCTCAAAGATTTGAGCATTTAGGACAGCATGTTGTCAATGCCTGGGAACTGCAAGATGTTCCTGTAAGGTGCTTGCTGAATTTTATTTCAGCCATANTAATAATCACTGTCTTCATCATCTTCGCTAGATTCATTATCATTATTGACGATATTAACGATAATTTCATCAGACCAAGTTGTTGGATTTAGTTTTTCTGAGTGTTTGTAAGATGAAATTCAGATTTATTTTTCAGCTGTTTTTTTAAAAATAAACTAGAACAAAGAAAATCCTTGAAATATTTGATAGCTCGGTTAAAGCGGAAACTCGGATAATCGGGACTCTACTGTAGTTATAAACATTTTTATAAATAAACATTATTTTTTTTAGATAATTTTAAATTAAGACTCATAATTCACAAACAAACTGCAAACTTTCTTGGTTCATTTCTACAACCAAAGGAGATTTTTTTTTTAAATTTTTACTAATATATATTTTTTTTAATTATAGAACTATGAATTTCCACCTGCATTTAAGATACAAGAGCACTGATAATCAATTATGGCTTTCTATATACAACGATGTATCTAAATATTAGTTATCCAATCTTATTCTTTTCTCCCTATCTTTTACTTAAATGAATGTATTAGTTGTTCTTGCTATAGAAAATAGACAATACGAGAGAGTGCTGATTTTTCCGGCCAGTCGAATTCGGATGATTGGACGACTTTAAAAAAAATCTATTGCAATACTTTTTTTAAAAAATTTCACACTTTTTTACTGATTTTTTTTAAGTTATACAGTTTATGGGCCTTAACCATATGCAAGGGCAATGTTTTTTTTCAAGTGTTTTAACTCTTAATTTTTTGATGTAAGGATGGTGGGTACTAAATAATTAATACTGACGACCCAAAACAATTACGAACAACATATTTTAATGGTGAACACAAAATACTAACACAACAAACACACTACTTTTTTGTACTACATTTTAAAGCGAACTAAACTACAAAAAATATAAAATAAACATTTACTAATCATGTTACTTTTTAAAATGAAATATAGATGGCAGCACAAACTACTTTAAACAGAAACATCCTCCCCCACCATGATCCCTTAGGGGGTTCATAAAATCTTATTACAGATAGCATATACAGATATCATATTTTAATGACGAACACAAAATACTAACACGACAAACACGCTACCTTTTTGTACTACATTTTAAAGCGAACTAAACTACATAAAGCATAAAATAAACATTTACTAATCATGTGACTTTTTAAAATGAAATATAGATGGCAGCACAAACTACTTTAAACAGAAACATCCTCCCCCACCATGAACCCTTTGGGGGTTCATAAAATGTTATTACAGATAGCATTACTCTTTTGTGCTATCAAATGTCCAATGTTGCTCTACTTGTGAACCCCTTTCCATGGTGATAAAGAAGATGGACTGAAAAGATAAATAGCACACACTGACTGCATGAAGACTGCAAAGATTCCTTAATTGAAAAAAAGGCAGTTTACATTATCTGGACATTCAACTTCACTGAAAATTCACATCCGCTTATGATTTCAGGAGCAATGTAAAAATTTATGTAAAAACACATAAAAATTAACATGATTAATGATATCAGGTAAAAACGTTCACAAACATGTGAAGTACAGTAGGGAACCGATTATCCGGAACGATCGGGACCATCGCTATTCCGGATAACTGATTTTTCCGGTTTTCTGAATCGATACAAAAAGCCTTTTTTTTTATTGTTAAACCCAACTAAAAAAAAACAAAAATAGTTGGAAATAATCTTAAAAAGAAGAAAAAACGATGAAGTAATACACTAATGATTATTTCCAAAATGATGGCAAGGTAAACATCTTTCAAAAAAGAAAGAAAAATCCTAAAATCTTATGAGGAAAAAAACATTTTTTTACAAAAAATGGCATGGAAAATTTATTGAATTTCGTTCCGGTTTTTTGGTTTTCTGATTTCTGGATAACACGTTCTGTACTGTAATCGCAACAAAAGATAGAAAATACTATAGCAATCAAAATATGAATCACATACATCTTTCCATTTGATGATGCCAATACAGTCTAAACAAAAGTCAACTTTTGTGATTAACTCTGAACTTAAGAAATTCTAAATTATGGCATAAGGAATGATGATGTGATGCATTTGATAGCCCTGCTCACTGTTGACAACTAACACATTCCCCCAAACAATTGTAAATAAAGGAAACACCAAATTTACATGTGAACACATGTGTTCACAACAAAAGATAGAAAATACTATAGCAATCAAAATATGAGTGACATACATCTTTCCGTTTTCCATTCGATGATGCCCATACAATCGAAACAAAAGTCAACTTTTGTGATTGACTCTGAGCTTAAGAAATGCAAATTCTAACTTATGGCATAAGGAATGAAGATGCTGCATTTGAAAGCCCTGCTCACTGTTGACAACTAACACATCCTTCCAAACAATTGTAAATAAAGGAAACACCAAATTTAAATTAATGTAAAAATTTACAGAATAACGTCCGTAGATGGGCACATTTGATGTTGCTGATCGACAGAACATTCACATTGTAGAAAAACACTTCCCCCACGCACAGGACAAGTGCTTTAGCGCACGTTTCAAAAGCAAATTAAACTGGGGGAAAAACATCTCTTTTTCTTATTCCTGGAAAAAGAAGACGCTTGTTTCATTACAAGAAATCTCTTCTCTCCTTCAATGAAAATGGGATGAACAAACAAGAGCAAAGACAGGCGAAAAGTCTTTCTTTTTATAGAACAACCAGGGATAAAAGAAGCAATTTTGTTATCTCTTTAAAGAATTTGAAAAAGGTGGGAAAAGCTCATAGTCCTTGATTTAGTATTTGGTTAATAATAAAAAAATTTTTAATCAGCCGCCAAATAAACAGCACTCTTTTGTGATTTGAAATTTTTTTTTATTATTTACTAATCAATTTTGGCATTGGTTTTCTGTTTGATCCTCCAGTTACACAGATGAGTACATTTTAATTTTTACCCTTTTTATTCATTTGTTTTAAATTTCGATTATTTTTCTAGAATTAATATCTTCTATGGAACAGTCTAATCCCAAGGAATGTGCTACATTAAGAAAATTTGGAGAAGGGGTATGTTTTATATATTTTGCCTTAAAAATATTTTTTGTTACAATGATAAAGTAGTCAATAACACTTTCAAGATAAGTTCTATGAAGGTAAGAATATATATATATTATTATTATACTTCAGATCAATGTATCTTGGTTACTTACTTCTAGAGGGTTTCTCTAATCACTACTTTTAATATATATTTTTAAAATGTTTGTTGGAAGTGAAGATGTGTTGTACAAAACCTGTTTTGTAGTATGACTAAAGAAACATTGTTTTTGTTTTGTTTTTTTAACTTTGAACTGTACGAGAGTTATAACAACCCAATATTATTAAATACATAAAAATAAATAGAATGAATTGGATGGCCCTCGTAATTTGAATGAGTGATGGCAATACAATAAAAAAAAATACTGCTTTTTAGACCCACTGGAACAAGAAAGCATGGAAGAGTGATTTTCTTGTAATTAATAAAAAGAAATGAAGATCAAAGATAAATGGGAAGTCGTTATGGAGAAATCTTCAGAGGAAGGCATCGGCCCACATTGGGCTGTCTGGAAAACTATAGAAAAAAACATTTAAACATTGAAATTTTGACACCGTCTAAGATAGTTACTGTGACAGTAAGATTATATTATATCATGAGTTCAGTTGTTGGATGATCTAACTAGTTTTGATAAACTTACAAACTTAAAAAGAACAAGTTTTAAATTTTGCTGCTCGTTTAATTAACTTATATTTCATTTTAGTGTTAGGATTTATTATTAAATATATGTTTCTTGATCTGATTATAATTATTAATTCATTTTAGGCCAGAATTCTAAAATATAGGTTACGTTTAAAAAAAATGCTCTAGCCTGAAAATATTGTTTTCCCACAAGTTTGTTTGTTTTGTAAATTTCAGATTTATTTTAAATATCAGATTCAAAATATTTCAGATTTATTTATAAGCATTTTTTAGGTGCCAATTAAGTAGTTTAAGTTTCATTCACAGTTTCAGAAATCAACTTTTTAACATATACTTTTAGACTGTTTATAATGAATTAAGTCCACATTATGAGTTTCAAATGAATATATAAGCTGCAAAAACTAAAAACACTGCAAATCTAGTGAAAAATTACGAAGGAAAAGGGGACTGTAACATTCTAAATCAGTTTCATGGTTAGAAAAGTGATTTTTTAAACATCTTTAAGTTTTAACAGAGAATCGAAATTGTTGCGTCATGTTTAGTCCTATCTACGGCATTTGATTTATTAGGTTGAAATCGCGTTTTTATTTTTCTCTTGTTTAAATTATGATTTGTGTCTTTTAATGAGTGTGCTTTTTTACTTAATTATTGACAAGGATTCAAAAAACTTATTCTACTTTATTCACTATAAACCACCTGTATATAATAGCTGATAATAACTAATCCACTTCTCAGCAACTATCTTTTGTTTACAAGGAATTTTCTAGCAACACTTTCAAGTAAGAAAAAATCAGAAATTAAAGAAACAACAGAAAGACGTTGCGTTTTTTCTAATCTATGCTATAAATTCAAAACGAGCTAGAAACTGAACTGTAAAGTGCTTTTCTGTGCTATAAATTAAGGAAGTAAATATTATAGGGAAAAAATAGCATCTTGAGAAAATTTAACAGATTTAGAACCTAAAATGAATCCAGAAGATGTAGATCTATTAAATAATGTACATTTTTGTATGTTAACTTCAAAAAACATTTTTAACTTTTCTTGTAACAAAACTAAAATTGAAAAAAAAAATATTTTTACTCTGTCCTATTATATTTAATACTATATGTATTATTTAATACTGTTCTATTGTATTAATTATATTGGGAGTACAAATTAGTTCGGTCCGTTTTTTTGTGGTCAAAAATGCATTTATTTCAGAACATAATGAATGAACAGTTTAATCAAAGTATTGTCTATCACTGGCTACTACTTTTACCCACCTCTCAGGCAATTTTCGAATTCCATCTCGAAAAAATGTCTCAGTCTTTTGAGGCGATCCAAGTTAGGAGCCAATTTTTGATGTCTGCAAACGAAGTGAACTAGTGACCTGCAAAATCATGTTGCATCTGTCGGAACAACCAGTAAGCAGAAGGAGAAGTGTCCAGTGAATACAGCGGGTGCGATAAAATATCCCACTTGAGCGTTTCCTTACAATTTTTGCGACTCTTGAGACATCAGGCCGACTGTTATTATGCAAAAAAATAACTTTATCATGTCTTTGCTCGTATTCCGCCCTTTTCTCTCGTAATGCTCAACTCAAATGAATCAATTGTAGCCTATACCGATCGCCTGTTATGGAATCACCAGGTTGTAGCAGCTCATAGTATACAAAACTATTTATCATTCACCATTCTTGAAACGTCGAAACCATTCCCTACATGATTTATCAGTTGGAGCATTGTCAACGTAAACTTCTACAAGCATTCGATGCGCTTCAGCTACACTTTTCTTCCGATTAAAGAACAAACATAAAACCTCCCGCAAATGGTGCTTCATTACCTAAAATTTGACATGTTCAACAAAGTAAAAAACAGGGTTTTTGTATGAAACTCAAAGCGATATAAACTGAATATTTTTGACAGGTGCTTAACCTCGCTGAAACCACCGAAACCAGCTGTCACTGTATAACATTCATAACAGCAGAGCCATTTTTTAAAAACGGACCGAACTAATTTGTACACCCAATATTTAATACTATTATACACTTTGTGCAAAATTCTTAATTTGAACTATTATCCTTTTTATGTCATCTTTTCGTTTATCCTCTCAGTTGGAACGTTTACAAGATAAAGTGCATGGCTTCTTCCTGGGAAGATCTAAACTGAAACTTCAAGAATTATATGAAGGAGATCTTTCATTCTTGAAGGAAACTTGCCAAGAGCTTTCCAAACAGTTTGAGCGAAGCAAAGAGGATTCATTGCAAGCTGAAATTACGGAAATTTTACACACATTTAGTGACCATCATGTTGATGACAACCAAAATGCAAAGTAATAAATCTTTTTATGTAATTTTCTATTACATTCTGTTAAATCAAGCTAAACAGTATACAAATTGCAGAAATAATGCCCATAATAAAGAAAAATTACATTATCATTTTAGCCCACTTAAAAAAAAAAAATTATTTTTCATTCAAGGTTCAAAACAACAACAATAGCAAACATTTCTACTGTCATCAGAAAAAGTATCCAAAGAGTCATCGAGAGGCAACCAACTCAAAAGTAATCGTTTTTTCTAAAGTAATACATTAACTAAATTTCTTGAGATATACTTTGTACTTTATTTAATCTGTATATTGTTTTTTAGTACATTATGTTTATGTGACTTCTTGCCAGAATACTATTTGCAAAATGAAGGTGCAAAGTTATATTTTGATGTTCCTTTGAATGTAAGTAAAAATTGTGTATTCCTATTACATGTATATATATATATTTCTCTTACACATTGACAAAGAAAATGCTATTTTCTTTTTTGGGTTGGCAACAAAGAATTAAAACATCAAGCGTGTGAGGTGTCATAAGCATGAAAGTGTAAATGTACTTTTTTACAAATTCCTGAATAGAAATTCTTTTCTCTCCTATATAACGAAAAGCTAAAACAAACAAAACTATAACTTGAGAAGAATTAAGAGGTTTAAAGCAAATAGTTCATATCTACAAACAAAGTATTCTATATTATGTTTTAAATATAATTATGCAGGCTCATTAATAATAATTTTATTCATTTTTAGTGTTATTCATTGAAAAACGAGTATTAGTTATGCTGTTACATATTTAAGTATAATTTTAAAAAATCATACTCGTAGAACGAGCATTGATGGCTCTTATAAAAGATGTAACATTGAAAACATGTGTCATACATGTTGTTTCCTAGAAACATAATTGTTGTTTCGTTTCTGTTTTCCTATTGCATGTCATTTGTTTCAGTTTAAATTTTTTTTATTTCAATAACTTATACACTAAAAATTTTAATTTTTTAAAGTGGAATTAGCTTTAAAGATTTTTATAATTGATCCAAAATCTTTGGGGGGTTAGGTAGCATCCGTGAATAAAGAGCAGAGCCGACTAATTTAGTTTATTGTGCATAAATCATTTCTATGAAGATAATTCAACAAATTTTTTATTGTTACAAAAAAAAATGTGCTTTTTTTATTATGTAAAAGGTTTTAAGACAATAAAAACAAGCTATTTAAAGTAACAAACTCAGCAGTTCCATATTGGACACATACGTAGCTGTATCCTCTCTTACCATCTTATTCATGTTTTATTTTGATGCATTTAATTTTACTTTCTAATATAATTCAAATAAATTACTTTTGTAATAAACTGATGAGCTGTAGGGATGACGATTTTATTATAATGAATATAAGCAAATGAGCTTTAAAGTTTAAACATCCCGTTTTAACTAATGAACATGTTATCACTATTTGTACTTAAAGTATTATATACATTAACATCATTATTACTTCCGTCCATCTTATTCAATTTTTTTTTTATTTTGATGTATGTGACTTATAACATTATTTTACATTCTAAAACAGTTATTAAATATCCTTTTTATTATCGAACTTGTTTTCACTATTTGATATCCACTGCCATTTCATCTCAAGGCACTTTTCAACTGTTAAATGAAGTTTCTAACATTATTGAATTCCAACAAATTAGTTTAAATGTTAATTCATTGACAATAGATAATTAGCATTATGTTTTATTTATATTTTTGTAAGCAAGCTTCGAACTGACAAAATCTTATAAATTCTCTCTTTTTAACTATTAATTTCTCTAGTATTTGCAATCTTGGCATTTTGTGCAGTGATGGCTCAGAGGATAGAGCGTTCGCCTTCCAATGAGGTGAACTGGGCTCGAATCCTAGCGATGGCTGGTCGATACGAAATCCGCATTCGGCTTGCACCGACCACAGTGTTGTTGTAAAATATTCTCAGTGGTAGACAGATCATGGATTAGAGTCCCCTTGCTGTCAGGCTAACCGTGGGAGGTTTCAGTGGTTTTCCTTCTAAGTGTAACGCATATGCAGGTTAGTTCTTTCAAAAAGTCCTCCACAAAGGCAAATTTCTCCCAAGACTTAATCCAGGAGTTGACTTGTCTTCTGGATTGGGTTCAAAATTACAAGGCTACGGTGTTGAATATTAGTAGTCTTAAACGCAAAAATTGGGTTGGCTGTTCAACAATGATTATAAAATGAAATAAAATCTTGACACTTTCTAAGGATTTTCATCAACTTTTTGTTGCCGAATACTTTTTAAACTTTCTTCCTTCTGAAAGCACTCTGAGATTGTCATTCAGCACATTTATCCACTGACGTCTAGAAATAAAAAGACTTGGCAAAATGAATGAATGATTAGGGAAATAAGACTATAATGATGTCTTTCCCAGGAAATCTTAAATTTTTCAAAAATGTCACTAAATGTCTATATTTGTAAAATGGTTTTATGAATAGACGGTTATAAAAGGAAATAAAATCTTGACACTTTCTAAGGATTCTCATCAACTTTTTGTTGCCGAATACATTTTAAACTTGCTTCCTTCTAAAAGCACTCAGAGATTGTCATTTATCACATTTATCCACTGACGTCTAGAAATAAAAAGACTTGGCAAAATGAATGAATGATTAGTGAAATAAGACTATAATGATGTCTTTCCCTGGAAATCTTAAATTTTTCAAAAATGTCACTAAATGTCAAATTATTCAAATGCCCAGTGGCTGGAGAATCACACTCCAGTTCGGAGGGGCCAGGGCTCAATCCTCCACTCCTCTAAGACTCTCTAAGTGTGTGTGATATACGTGTCTGTAAAATCTGTGGAATCGGAAAGTTTTGTAGTAAGTCACTAAGCTGTACCATGGGTACCGAGGTCTGGAGAAAATTTCTTTCTCCTTCAGATTTCTGTCTAATTTGAGTTAGTGACCTTACAAATGAGATCCCCTCTGAAGAGGATCAAAATTGTGATGGCATGTTTTTGGTTCTTCCCCGGGTATGTTTCCCACTGCGTCACCAATGACCCATTGTGCAGCTCTAGTGTGATGTAAATAAAGTACCTACTTTATCTTAACCTACTTTAAATACAGTTCTTTGAGTACTTTTAGTCTAACCTTCTTAAGTCATTACCTTATTATGATATTTATTAATAGAAAAATGTGCTGTCATTAACACTAATGTTATTAGACATTTTTTTTATTAAAAAAATGTTTTATTTTAATGGGTCTGTACGTATTTCTTCCAAAGAAATGTTAAAAGATAATTTTTTTTTATTAGAAAGGAAATCAGGCTTCAAGAAAAATTTCTGGATTTTTGAATAAGGTGGAAATTGTAAATGATGAATTTAACTTTGGTATCAGAATTTGTATGAAAGGGGAAAATGGACAGGTAAATATTGTTATTAATTTCATCTTTTCTACTTTAGTTAAAAGACATGTTTTAATGTATTAGTATCTATCAATGATAATATACATCAAAGCAGTAGTTAGTGCCTTTTTTTGTTTTTAATGTCTAAGTATCTATCAAAGGGCTGGGATAGCCTAGTTGGTAGGGCACTGGGCCCGTGTCCAAGAAGAGTTTGTGGGTTCGATGCCCGCTGACCGAAGACTCCCGTGTAGTAAACGGTGACTGATGCAGGTTAAATCTGTCGAGTCACTAAGTCCTCCATGTTCCCATAACATATCATACCTCTGGGGGTATCCAGGAGTTTCCTTGTCTTCTGGACTGACTCAAAATTGCAAGGCTACGGAGTTAAACATTCGTAGTCGTGAACCCAAAATTGGGTTGGTTGTTCAACAACGGATATAAAATATTAAAAAACAAAAGTATCTATCAAAGAAAATATACATCAAAGCAGTAGTAGTTAGTGCAGTGTTTTTTCTTTTTTTTTAGATAATATATTTACTGTATTATTAAATATTTTTGCTGTATTATTATCCATCATAGGTAATATAGATCAAAGCAGTAGTTATTGCTTTTTTTCAGTTGACTGCTATCTAATAAATGTTATGGCAATTAAGTCAATGAAAATAAATGTATTTGGAACTCCTACTGCGTGGCTTCCAAACTATCACTGTTTTTATAACACCTTTTTATGGCAAACATACACTGTTGCCCATTCAATTGTTACTAAAATGGGAAGGTGTTTACTTGCTGAAGGTCACTATCCTACAGTGTTGTAACTTGCTCATGGCTACCACTACGCATCTCAAAAATGCCTTTTTTTTTTTTTTTTTTTTTTTTTTTTTTTTTTTTTTTTTTTTTTTTTTTTTTTNTTTTTTTTTTTTTTTTTTTTTTTTTTTTTTTTTTTTTTTGTCGTCTTGTATTTGTAAAATGCATTTTTCATTGATAATATTTATTCTCAATTGACTGCTTTGCTTAAACTCGTTAAAGTTTCGTTTATAGTGCTTTAAAATTTTAAGATTTGTTTATCACAACCCATAAATTTGAAAACAATTATAAAACTTTTTAATTGTTCTTACTATCCTGATGCATATTAAATTAATTCTATTTCTTTTTGGTAGATTCTTCCATTTGTGCTCCAATTTTGTCATCCAGATACTTACATGATGCAAACTTTAGTTTACCAAATGTATGAATTAGTTAACATTATTTTTAATCAAGAAAGTGAAAGCATGGTAAAACTCCAATATCCCCAGTCATTACTCATTGGTCCTAATTTGAAAATCGTATCTGATTACAAGCACTTTAAAACGTTGCTTGAACTATGCTCTCAGGTAAGAGTAAAATTTTGTTATAAAACTAAGATATGTAATTCAAAGTTTTGCATTTTATATGCAAGTAATTATATACTGACAATGGAATGAAAATGTTAATTAGGTTAAGGTTTCCTTTAATAATTGTATTTATTTGAACTAATGCTACTTAATTATTTATAAATTCTAAATATTATAAATACTAAATGTCTTTGATGTTGCATTTTTATTTTTTAGCAAAAATATATTTTATATGTACAATTTAAATGTGATTAATTGGAAAAAGTATACATTTGAAAGACTCTGATAAAAATGAAGTCGTTGAAAAACGGACTTTACCCTGCTAGAAAAGAGAGGATTTAAAAGTGCTGAAGGCAGTTAGTGCTAATCATTATAGGCTTTGGGGAATTGATTTCACTGATCTAACCAGAACCAAAATTATGGCATATATGTGAAGAAAGTAATGTTTAAGGTTTTCATAGTTTTTCTTTCGATGTACAGCCACTGAACCTCATTCAATAGGTGCTTTACAGTAGCGAGTTTTTCCTGAACCTTGATTTCGAAGACTCTTGTTTTCTGAGTCGGGTTCATAATTCTAAAATTAATTCTATTGATTAGCTCTTCACTACCTGAAATAAAATTCAATATTTCAGTTGTGTGCTATATAATTTTAAATCTTTTACTGTTATTTTATAATGCAGTCAAGATTTTTAACTGATTAGTTATAGGCTGCTGGAAAATATTTTATGAAAAATTGTTTTTAAAATTAATTTAATAATGATGCATTTAGAAAAAAGATCTCCTTTCAGAAATACAAAAAGATGATTAGAATAATTGTTTGAAATAGATTTTGATAAGTAATTGTAATTATTAATTACAATTACTTGTTTAAAAAAGAAAATGTAATAATTGTTTAAAATAGAAAAAAAAATTGCAATACTTTTTAAGAAATAATTTTAATTTATTTTTTATCATGGAAAATTTCCACATTCACATAAAAAAATAAAGATATATTGATTTTATAAATACATAAAAAAAATTTATTATGTTTTTTTTTCTTCTTCTGAGATTTGCATACATCTGCACGCCACTCACGACATACTCTAAGAAATTTATATTCCAATATATGCTATAAGTCCAATTAAAATGTGAATACAATTTTATCTTATTATAGGTTTTGTTGATGAAAAAAGTTAATAATAATATAATAACACCAAATTAGGGTCTTTGAATCTTATCTGAGCAATGTAAATGTATATTCGTATAAAATATTAGCACTCATAAAACCTGCAAATATTTCTATACAATCAGTTATTTTCTGTGTTCAGTATAATTGTAAAATGTGGTATATGCTAACAAATAATGGCTAATAATGCATGCCTCATGAAATGAATGTTCATTTAATTAGTTAATGTAGGTTTAAATTGTTATATAAGATTGAAACTAAAAGTGCATTGTTTTTAAAAAAAACTTTCCAAATTTTTATTCAGACCTCAATGTAAAATTCTATACTAAACACTGCAGCATAGTAGAAGAATATCAAAATGACAAACAATATAGAAAGTGATATCAATTAACTAATATTAAAGTTACAAAAAACTTGTGTTTATGACAAGTTTGAAAAAAAATTAACTATCTCACTAAAACAATAAAATTTTTAAGGAGTGTATTTTTTTTTCTTTCATTTCTTTACTCATCTGACAATAGAAAATGGTAAAACATATGTAAGAATAATTGGTAACTAACTCGGAATTAGCATGTAACATCTTATTAAAAATATATGAATCTGAAATCACACAAAGACAAAAAAAAATTATCGTAAATTCAGACCATCAGAGGTTACCAGCAATTTTTGCTACTGTGCTTTTCTGTATCTTGTATTTTGTTTTGTTTTTTAACTCTCAATTTACTATTAAATTAATCAACCCAATAACCTGAAGCAATAAGAAATATCCTGATTAAAGACTTCATTCGCTTCAATAATATATAACTAGGAAGTAGCAGTCGATGTTTCACGCACTCAAAAGCAGGTGCTTATTTTCAAGACTTGCCAGATGTGAATGAAAAGAAACAAAAGTGATTTGAAATATAAAACGTGAAATTGTCAACGAAGAATGGAAAAATAAAGGTGAGAAATAAAGCTGGAAAAATTGTTGTATCTGAGAGAGAAAAATTATGAGAAACATAAAAGAAAAATCACAAAGACCAGAAAGACCAAATCAGGGGGAAATGCATTTCCACTAGCTAAGGACAGGTGAGGATGAACTAATATCGTTAACAAGGGAATCGGCATTTATATGAATAAAACAAGAATTCAGGACATCACGNACATATATTAATATGCGTTACTATCATGGTTGTCAACTTAAGTTTTCTCAAATACAACGTATTTGTTTGCTTAAAATTGAAGTTTTAATTCCATTTTAATACCACTGGGAAAAATGATAATGGAAGGGATTAAAAGTTGGCAGGTATGTTATATACATTAACATCATTATTACTTCCGTCCATCTTATTCTTATTTTTTTATTTTGATGCATATGACTTATAACTTTATTTTACACCCTGAAACTGTTATAAAATATCCTTTTGACTATATTTTGCTTCATAAAATAGTTCAATAAAAATACTTGTTTGGAGCTAGATTGATGAAGATTTTTAATAACTTTTCAACTATTAAATAAAGTTTATGACATTATTGAATTTAAACAAATAAACATAAAAGTTAATGCACTGAGAATAGAAAGCTAGCATTATGCTCTATTTTTATTTTTTGTAAGCAAGCTTCCAATTAACAATATCTTATAAATTCTTTATTTTAACTATTCATTTCTCTAGCATTTGCAATCTTGGCATTTTGAGCCGTGATGACTCAGGGTATAAAGTGTTTGCCTTCCACTGAGGTGAACTGGGTTCGAATCCCAGTGATGACTGGTCGATGCCAATTGCGCACCCAACTTGCACCGACCACAGTGCTGATGTAAAATATCGGTGGTAAATGGATAATAGATTAGAGTTCTCTTGCCGTCATGCTAACCGTGGGAGGTTTTCGTTGTTTTCCTTCTCCGTGTAACGCAAATGCAGGTTAGTTCCATCAAAAGTCCTCCACAAAGGCTAATTCCTCCCAATACTTAATCCAGGAGTTGATTTGTCTTCTGGATTGGGTTCAAAATTACAAGGCTACGGTGTTGAACATTAGTAGTCTTAAAAGCAAAAATTGGGTCGGCTGTTCAACGACGGTTACAACATGAAATGAAATCTTGGCATTTTAGTTTTCTTTCAGCCGGTACTTTCTAAGGATTCTCATCAACTTTTTGTTGCCGAATACATGTTAAACTTTCTTCCTTCTGATAGCACTCAGAGATTGTCATTCGACACATTTATCCACTGAGGTCTAGAAATAAAAAGACTTGGCAAAATGAATTGATGATTAGTGAAATAAGACTATAATGATGTCTTTCCCTGGAAATCTTAAATTTTTCAAAAATGTCACTTAATGCCAATTTATTCAAATGCCCAGTGGTTGAAGAATCAGACGCCGGATTAGAGGGGCTAGGGCTCAATCCTCCACTCCTCTAAGGCCCTCTAAGTGCGAGTGATATACGTGTCTGTGGAATCGAAAGTTTTGTGGTAAGTCACTAAGCTGTACCATGGGTACCGAGGTCTGGAGAAAATTTCTGACTCCTTCAGATTTCTGTCTAATTTGAGTAAGTGACCTTACAAATGAGCTCCTCTCTGAAGAGGATCAAAATTGTGATGGCAAATTTTTGGTTCTTCCCCGGGTATGTTTCCCGCACCGTCACCAATGACCCATTTTGCAGCTTTAGTGTGATGTAAATAAAGTACCTACCTACTTTATCTTAACAGTTCTTTGAGTACTTTTAGTTCAATTCTCACCCTCTTAAGTTATTATCTTATTATGATATTTATTAATACAAAAATGTGCTGTCATTAACACTAATGTTATTAGACATTTTTTGTACAAAAAAAATTTTTCATTTTAATGGATCTACACATATTTCTTCCAGAGAAACGTTAAAAGAAATTTTTTTTTTATTAGAAAGGAAATCAGGCTTCAAGAAAAATTTCAGGATTTTTGAACAAGGTGGAAATTGTAAATGATGAATTTAACTTTGGTATCAGAATTTGTATGAAAGGGGAAAATGGACAGGTAAATATTGTTATTAGTTTCATCTTTTCTACTTTAGTTAAAAGAAATTTTTTAATATATTAGTATCTATCAAAGATAATATACATCAAAGCAGTCGTTAGCATAGTTTTTTTCTGTTGTTTTTGATGTATTAGTATCTATCAAAGATAATATACATCAAAGCAGTAGTTAATGCTTTTTTTGTTTTTAATGTATAAGTATCTATCAAAGAGCTGGGATAACCTGGTTGGTAGAGCACTGGGCCCATGTCCAAGAGTTTGTGGGTTCGATCCCTGCTGGCCGAAGACTCCCGTATAGTAAATGGTGACTGATGCAGGTTAAATCTGTTGAGTCACAAAGTCCTCCATGTTCCCATAACAAATCTGAGGATACTGATCCAGGAGTTTCCTTGTCTTTTGGACTGGCTCAAAAGTACAAGGCTACAAAGTTAAACATTCGTAGGCGTAAACCCAAAATTTAAATTTTGTCCGCTGTTCAACGACGGATATAAAACATAAAAAAATTAAAGTCTCTATCAATGAAAATATACATCAAAGCAGTAGTAGTTAGTGTAGTCTTTTTTTAGAAAATATATTTACTGTATTATTAAATATTTTTACTATATTATTAAATATTTTTACTATATTATTAAATATTTTTACTGTTTTATTTAATATTTTTATTGTATTATTATCTGTCATAGGTAATATAGATCAAGGCAGTAGTTATTACTTTTTTTCACTCCACTGCTATGTAACAAATGTTATCGGAATAAAGATACTAGTTTCTATTCTTCTTTATTCAATAAAAATAAATGTATTTTAGAACTCCTTCTATGCAGCTTCCAAACTATCACTGTTTTTATAACACCTTTTTGTAGCAAACATACACTGTTGCCAGGGCCAGATTAACCTATAGGCACACTAGGCACGTGCCTAGGGCCTACGAAAAACTTGGGAGAAAAAAATTTGTTGACAAAAATAATTTAGCTTTAAAAACAACAAGTGTATTTTGCACAAAATTATGAAGATACAAATAAAAATATAATATTTTTTGGTAATAAATTATTTTGCAGAATCTTATGATCTAATATATTACTTAATAACCGTCAGCCATTTTAGATTTAATATCACCAAACAATGAATGCAAATCCAATTGTTGACTATAAGTTATGATCCTGAAAAATATATATAAAAAACATTGGTCAATTGCTAAAATGACTCATTTGAAAAAACGTGACTAACATTTTATTAAAATACAGTATGGAACCGATTATCCGGAACGATCGGGACCATCGCTATTCCGGATAACTGATTTTTCCGGTTTTCTGAATCGCTACAGAAAGACGTTTTTTTTTATTGTTAAACCCAACTAAAAAAAAAAAAATTTTGGAAAAAATCTTAAAAAGAAGAAAAAACGATGAAGTAATACACTAATGATTATTTCCAAAATGATGGTAAGGTAAACATCTTTCAAAAAAGAAAGAAAAATCCTAAAATCTTATGAGGAAAAAAAAATTTTTTTTTTAAATGGCGGGAAAATTTATCGAATTTCGATCCGGTTTTTTGGTTTTCCGGTTTTCTGATTTCCGGATAACGGGTTCTGTACTGTAGTATTAAATCATTTTTTTTTCTATTTGTAAACATTTAACCTACCTTGCAAAGTTATTTATTAATAATTTCAAAAGATTTACTTTTGTCAATGTTAATTTCCTTCACTTAGTTATCATAGTAGTATCATGAAAACTATGAAGCTATGCCTAGGGCCTACGAAAGGTATAATCTGGCTCTGACTGTTGCTCATTCAATTGTTACTAAAATGGGAATGTGTTTACTTGCTGAAGGTCACTATCCTACAGTGTTGCAACCTGCTCATGGCTACCACTACGCATCTCAAAAATTTCTGTTTTTTTTTTCATTGATAATGTTTATTCTCAATTGACTGCTTTGTTTAACCCTCTGACTGCTCATCCTGCAATTTCTATGGGCATGTGTTTTTCTTCCTTTATTGATAAGCACATCCCGTTTATTCCTCGTTTAGCAGTATAAGACGTTTAATTTACGTTTTGACCAACAGATGTCGTTAGTTGTCCACTAAATTGCCGTATTTGAAGGCCCTTAGTGTAAAGCGATTTCGGTAAGCGCGTAGTGTAAAGCGATTTCGGTAAGCGCGTAGTGTAAAGCGATTTTTAAAGCGAAAACACCTTAAAGTTTTGTTTATAGTGTTTTAAAATTTTAAGTTTTGTTTTATCACAACCCATAAATTTGAAAAAAATTATAAAATTTTAATTGTTCTTACTATCCTGATGCATATTAAAGTAATTCTATTTCTTTTTGGTAGATTCTTCCATTTGTGCTCCAATTTTGTCATCCAGATACTTACATGATGCAAACTTTAGTTTACCAAATGTATGAATTAGTGAACATTATTTTTAATCAAGAAAGTGGAAGCATGGTAAAACTCCAATCTCCCCAGTCATTACTCATTGGTCCTAATTTGAAAATCGTATCTGATTACAAGCACTCTAAAACGTTGCTTGAACTATGCTCTCAGGTAAGAGTAAAATTTTGTTATAAAACTAAGATATGTAATTCAAAGTTGTGCATTTTATATGCAAGTAATTATATACTGACAATGGAATGAAAATGTTAATTAGGTTAAGGTTTCCTTTAATAATTGTATTTATTTGAACTAATGCTACTTAAATATTTATAAATTCTAAATATTATAAATGCTAAATGTCTCTGATGTTGCATTTTTATTTTTTTGCAAAAATATATTTTGTATGTACAATTTAAATGTGATTTATTGGAAAAAGTATACATTTGAAAGACTCTGATAAAATGAAGTCGTTGGAAAACAGACTGTACCCTGCTAGAAAAGTGAGGATTTAAAAATACTGAAGGCAGTTAGTGCTAATCATTATAGGCTTTTGGGAATTGGTTTCACTGATCTAACCAAAATTATGACATATGTATGAAGAAAGTAATATTTAAGGTTTTCATAGTTTTTATTTCGACGTACAGCCACCGAATCTCATTCAATAGGTCCTTTACAATAGCAAGTTTTTCTTGAACCTTAATTTCGAAGACTCTTGTTTTCTGAGTCGGGTTCATAATTCCAAGATTAATTCTATTTTCTACCTGAAATAAAATTCAATATTTCAGTTGTGTGCTATATAATTTTAAATCTTTTACTGTTATTTTATAATGCAGTCAAGATTTTTAACTGATTAGTTATAGGCTGCTGGAAAATATTTTATGAAAAATTGTTTTTAAAATTAATTTAATAATGATGCATTTAGAAAAAAGATCTCCTTTCAGAAATACAAAAAGATGATTAGAATAATTGTTTGAAATAGATTTTGATAAGTAATTGTAATTATTAATTACAATTACTTGTTTAAAAAAGAAAATGTAATAATTGTTTAAAATAGAAAAAAAAATTGCAATACTTTTTAAGAAATAATTTTAATTTATTTTTTATCATGGAAAATTTCCACATTCACATAAAAAAATAAAGATATATTGATTTTATAAATACATAAAAAAAATTTATTATGTTTTTTTTTCTTCTTCTGAGATTTGCATACATCTGCACGCCACTCACGACATACTCTAAGAAATTTATATTCCAATATATGCTATAAGTCCAATTAAAATGTGAATACAATTTTATCTTATTATAGGTTTTGTTGATGAAAAAAGTTAATAATAATATAATAACACCAAATTAGGGTCTTTGAATCTTATCTGAGCAATGTAAATGTATATTCGTATAAAATATTAGCACTCATAAAACCTGCAAATATTTCTATACAATCAGTTATTTTCTGTGTTCAGTATAATTGTAAAATGTGGTATATGCTAACAAATAATGGCTAATAATGCATGCCTCATGAAATGAATGTTCATTTAATTAGTTAATGTAGGTTTAAATTGTTATATAAGATTGAAACTAAAAGTGCATTGTTTTTAAAAAAAACTTTCCAAATTTTTATTCAGACCTCAATGTAAAATTCTATACTAAACACTGCAGCATAGTAGAAGAATATCAAAATGACAAACAATATAGAAAGTGATATCAATTAACTAATATTAAAGTTACAAAAAACTTGTGTTTATGACAAGTTTGAAAAAAAATTAACTATCTCACTAAAACAATAAAATTTTTAAGGAGTGTATTTTTTTTTCTTTCATTTCTTTACTCATCTGACAATAGAAAATGGTAAAACATATGTAAGAATAATTGGTAACTAACTCGGAATTAGCATGTAACATCTTATTAAAAATATATGAATCTGAAATCACACAAAGACAAAAAAAAATTATCGTAAATTCAGACCATCAGAGGTTACCAGCAATTTTTGCTACTGTGCTTTTCTGTATCTTGTATTTTGTTTTGTTTTTTAACTCTCAATTTACTATTAAATTAATCAACCCAATAACCTGAAGCAATAAGAAATATCCTGATTAAAGACTTCATTCGCTTCAATAATATATAACTAGGAAGTAGCAGTCGATGTTTCACGCACTCAAAAGCAGGTGCTTATTTTCAAGACTTGCCAGATGTGAATGAAAAGAAACAAAAGTGATTTGAAATATAAAACAAAAAATTGTCAACGGAAATCAACATTCAAGTGGAGTAAAGTTTCTCCTGGTCAAATTGATAATTTCCGACATTTAATTTCTAACACTATTTCTTTCAATAAACACTTGAATAAATCTCATCTACGCTCAAAAACAATATGGACATAAATGGAATGGACCATGCCGATATTATTTCCACTAAAGTCACATCAGCTCATTTTGATGCCCTGGAATCTTGTTTTATTTATGTGAATGCTGATTCCCTTGTTAACAACATCAGTTCCTCGCCATCTTTCCATTACGCAGGGAAATGCATTTTGCCCTGATTTGCCCCTCTCGGCCACTGTCATTTTTTCTACTTTTGTTTCTCCTCTCTATTTTTTGTTGGCAAATTTTTGTTTTATATTTAAAATCACTTTTGTTTTTCTCATTTACCTCTGGCAAGTCTTAAAAATGGTTACCGGTTTTTGAGCCCTTGAAACGTATTGGCTGTTATTTCCTATTTATAGATTTTTGAAGCAAATGAAGTTTTCAATCAGGGGATAGCAGTTTTCGAAACGTATTGGCTGTTATTTCCTATTTATAGATTTTTGAAGCAAATCAAGTTTTCAATCAGGGATAGCAGTTTTCTACTTACTTGTCAATGAAGTCACGCTCTATTGCTGCTAATTCACCTTATAAATTTTTTAAACAGTGAAGCATAAGGAATCGTTTCAATTTATTTTAGCCTTGTTTATCTGTGTAAAGATAACTGTTTTTATTATTATCAAAACTTTCATATTTCAGGCACCTGGTAAAAAAGAATTTAATGATTTCTTCTGTGAAAAAAGGCTTTTATCACTGTATGATGAATTCCGTAGTATGGATTACTTAGAAAGAAAAAACATAAAATTTCCTACAGATTTGCTTAGAAATTGGTGTCTGACTCATAAAGATCCTCGATCATATCAATTGTTTAAAAGACAGGTAATCATTTATTTATTTGTATGCTGACTTATATATAAAGTGCAGCCATTAATATCCAGGACTGAGCTAATAATTACTGAAAATATTTTCCGAAATACACATGCATTTAATACTTTTAGAAACAGTTGTGGGAAAAACAATGTTTTTGCACTTAACTACAGCTACTACTACTATATAAAACATTTTCATATTTTATCACAAATTGGTAAGATTAATTTGGGCTAGCCTAATTTTTACAACTACAAAATATTAGTACTTGAAAAATTTTTAGACTAGTTTCTGATCATTCACGCTGTCTCTTCAATGAAAAATATTTTGAGCCTATATCTATTTAAATACAGTGAAACCCCTATTTTGCATTTTCCTTTGAGCTAGCGTTAAAAATACGCAAAAACCGGGGTAAAAAATATCCAAACATATTTTTCAAAAATTGACATTTACGAGATGAACTATTAGAAAACATTTATACTTTATATTTATTCTTTTTTTTAGGTACAATATCATGCTTGCTATTGCTTGTAAATTTGCTTTATGGTTTGCATGAGAAAATAAATATTGGGTGAGATTTTTTATGCATTGAAACTCTCTTGATTAGTTATGTCCTCCTGATATTTTTTTCATCTTCATCACTATCATCTGGAGCAGTCATTAAATGAGATAATTTATTTTATCACCATTGTCGAACAGCCAACCCAATTTTAGGTTTATGACTATCAATGTTCAAATCCGCAGCCTTGTAATTTTTAACCCAATCCAAGTAATTTTAATCCCAATGACAAGGGAACTCCTTGATCAAGTATTGGGAGAAATTTGCCTTTATGTAGGACTTTTTTATATGGAATTAACCTGCAATTGCATTACATGAAAAGAAAAACCTTCTGTGGTCAGCCTGGCAGCAAGTAGACTCTAACTCCCAATCCGTCTACCACTGGAGATAATTTAGGTCTGCACTGAGGTTAATACGAGCCAGGTGCAAAGTTGGTGTAGGCCAGCCATCTCTGAGTTTGGAACCCTGGGCACCTCATTGGGAGGTGGGCGCTATAACCCCTGAGCCTCCACGGCTCTAAATCAGATATTTTATTTTAAAATCATCTTTGAACAATCGATACAATTTTGGGTTTATGACTACTAGTGTTCAACTTCGTAGCCTTGTAATTTTGAACCAACCCAGAAGACAGGGAAACTCCAGGATCAGTACCCCGATAGGTATGATTTGTTATGAGAACATGGAGGACTTTGAGACTTGACAAATTTAACGTGCATCATTTACAATTTACTACACGGGGAGTCTTCGACGGGCAAGCATCAAACCCACAACCTCTTAACATGGGCCCAGTGCCCTACCAACCAGGCTATCTCAGCCTTTAAATGAGATATCGAAGGAATTGAAAAGTAATGGACTGTGTGTTGCAGTCGATATACCATTTATCGATTTCTTTAACCGCCCTATTTTATAACGAAGGGCCAATAATCCTGTTGGATAACCATCGCTTAGTTTGGAACCCTGTCACCTCATTGGGAGGAGAGCACTGTAACCCTTGAGCCACCTTGAGCCATAATGGCTCTCAAAAATTGTAGTTTGCTGGAAAAGATTCTTTTTGCAAATTTTACAAGTTAAACTCCTGTACTTTTTTTTCAGCACCCTTCCTGTACTTTGTCCATTCCACCAACTTCCTGATTTTGACTATAGGGGGGGGGGGGGATCAGAACAGCTTCGAACAAGCCTCTCATCTTTCTTTTAAGGAAAAAAAAGAACTTAAAAGAAGTTTGTGTGAGCTTTATAAAGAAAAAAATTGTTTTGATCTGTTGGGAAAAAGATATAAAGTTGGTTTTCCTTTGAAAAAAAAGGTAACGTTAAAATAGATAAAATTTAACGTTTTCATCATAGAAAAAAAATGGGTGAGAATTTCTCACCCTTTCTCAAAAACAGGGTGAGATTTCAAAAAGTTAAGTGAGATTTCTAAAAAAACAAAAACTCTTGAAAAAAAGATAATTTCTTTAATTATAATACATTGTTAATGTCTTCTATTTTTTAAAGCATTGAATATTTTTGGTGCATCATCATAGAAGATTTTGCCTTTACAAGGTATTTGTCCATCTTACATAAGTGCATAAAAATTTTGAACGTCTTACATGAAGAAACTTTACCTACGGTAAACGCGTGGTTGCAGAGAAATGTATTCTGAAAGGGGTTCCATGGTTGTGTTCTGTTGTTCGAAGAGGTTCTGAACAGTACTGGTAAATAGGGAAGCTAGATAATGGGGCAGATGTTGAAAATAATGAAAGATCCAGGAAGAAAAGATAACGGATTTTATTCTAAATGGCGCAATTCGAAGTTTTTACCAAAATGCGAGAAATTCGTGAATTTTGAAATTGATTTAAAGAATGCGTGAATTTCTCGCGGTAATAATTTTTTAATGCGAGAAAAGAAAAAATATGCGAGATTCTCGCGCTGTAGTGAAAACACTGATACCTGTGTAAAGGCTGAAACTTAACTAAATATTTTATTATAGATAAGAGGTTATATTAAGGACAACACTGCTGCCATCTATGTCAGCATTTGTGATGCCATCTATGTACAACAATATAAACTAACTCTTTCAACAAGGGCCAGTGGTTGAGAAACAATAATATACCTTACTCTTTAAACAAATTTTTCATTCCGTAAGAAACAAGATATAAGCATGTCAAAGACATCAAGAATATCAGAATGGGAGAACTATCCCAAAATTATGAAGTGTTTTTAAATTATTTATGACTTATATAAATTGCGTTATATTAGTAAATTTGAGCTTATGTTAATTTTAATCTTTGTTAACTCATAATTCTAATTTACAATTCTTAAGAAAAAACGCAAAAAGGAATTTTATTTGTAGCATTTAGGGGACCTCCAAAAATGAGTGGGTCCTAGACCTGGGCCTCTCAAACCTTATGATAAATCAGGCTCTGAGAAAAGTGCATTTCTGAGGGTGGATTATATTATTGGGGTGGATTTCCAGGATTATATCAATCCTGGAAATTAATATCTGAACTTTTTATATTTATTTGTGAATTGATTTAAGTTGCTGTTACAAAGGGAACTATTTGGAAATATCGATTAAGCCCTACCCAAATTTTAATGAAAATCACCCCTAAGTGAGGGTAGGAGATAAATGAAAACAAGTAAAAAATGCAAAATCTTTTAGAAAATTTAACTGCCAACTCTACTGGTTTAATAAAAAATTCTCTTGGTTTTTGTACATTTTAGAAAATTCCCCAAAATGGAGTAAAATAAATCCCTGATGAAAAGACTTTTTGCACGAATTATTTCTCGCTTGAAAATTTAAATAAGTATTACTAATATATAATGAAGAGAGCTTCATTTATTTGTTCTAAAATGTTCAATTTATTTTTATTCAGAATTCCCTTTTTAAATTAATGATTTAACTAAACTAATGTTATGATGCATATTACTATTCAAAATTATAAGTAAACATAATACACAAAATTTCAAGCAAATATTGCAGTTTTTCTTTTTTGATGACTATAGAAATCCCTAAAATTCCCTATGTGTGAATTTCAAATTCATCTTCAAAGGTAAAACTTCTATAATAAAGAATAAACACAAAGAACAAAATATTAATAATATTTATTTACAACCATCTCTAATAGGTCTACAAATGATGTCTATGAAATCCCGTGAATATGAATAATGGCATTTGATTTTAAAATCTTGTGAATATGAATAACGAGGTTTGTTTTTAAAATCACCTGAATATGAATGATGATATTAAATATGTGTGAATATGAATTGCAATATTAAATACAAATCGTGATATTGAATTCAGTATTTAAATCGCATGAATTTAAATCATGGTATGTAATATTTAAATCCTCAAAATATGAATTGAAATGAGCAACTTTTAAGTCACGTAAATTGATATTAAAATTGTATGAACATAAATCGCGACATTGGATTTTAAAAGCGCATTAATACAAATTATTTACGTGACTTTTTTTAAATCATGTGAATATCAATCACAACAGTTGATTGCAAAAACATCATTTGATGCTTATTTTTGCTGCTAGATCGCACTAAAGGGTTCAGGATTTTTTTTCTCTTTCTTGATTTTTTTCCCTGCATATTTGTGAGTTATCATGCTTTTTGTTTTTCTTTCACGCAATAAGCATTTATGAAAAATATGGATTTGCTGAGTGCTGCCACATTATATGTAGGAATAACAAACAAAAATATCTTGATTATGAAGGACTGTTATGATTATGGATAGTAAATATCTTGATTATGATTGGAGTATTCCATAAATCTGAGCTTTTATTTTATTTTTTCTGTTTCATTACAAACTTTCTGTAGCATTTTTAGGGACAAAATGTTTAAAAATTATATTCATCTGAAAATAAAAAGATTGCATGAATTTTTTCACTTATAAACCCTGCCCACTGAAACAGTGGGTGCCTTATTATATATTTTTTGAAAACGTAAAAGATAATAAAATTCTTGTATTATTTTAAAACAACTGATGAAGATGTGGATTGTAACTTATGTCGATAAAGAAAATATAAAATAATCTCCCCATTTTTCAGGACTGGAAATTATAAAAACTGAGCCATACTCAGAGGGTTAAATCACTCTAATTTTTCCAAAACTGTCGAGGGCATGTCTGAATATTCTGTATATTCGCTATTATTTATAATATATTTTATAATGCTTTATTGTTCTAATAGTACTTCTAAAGCATTAGATTTGCATAAATCTCTATTTTTCTCAGGAACTATACGCTAGGAGGGTTAAATAAATTCAATTTCATCATCACAAACTCTCTCATTCTTTTGTAAAAAATGAAATCGTAGTGCTTAAATGTATTTACAAAATTCATATACTTTTCAGTTCTCAAAAAGCTTGGCCATCTGTAACTTCATGAACTATTCATTTTGCCTTGATCACCAGAATCCTGATTTGTTTCACATAGACCTCAATACTGGTCACATTGCAATTCATGATTTGAGCTTTCAAATTTTATCAGGTAATTATCATATGTTTGTAATACAGTTGATTTGATGCATGTACAGTTGAGAATTGGTTAAAAAATTATGATCTATAATATGGAAAATATGTTGTTAAAAAAATGTAAATGGTACTAAAATTTTTAAAATCATTTTCTTACATCATACTTACAATGTATAATTTTGCTCTTTTTAATAACTTTATGTTAAATATATCAACTATTATAACTTCATGCACTCTATTTAGTTTAAGATTTGCAAAAGTAAAAAATAAGGTAAATTAATTCTTTAATTGTGCAAAACTACTTAATCTTAAACATTTATTGATTAAATGTTTATCCTTGTTTTTCTTGTCACATACTACATTTTGTGAACTATAATGTTTGATTTTCAATTTTTTTTTTGTTAGTCCTAGTCATTGTAGTTAGAATGCTTTTCCTTCAGAAATTTTTTTAAGCAATTTTCATATCTACTTATTATACTTCATATCATGACATTAATTCAAATTTATATTTGTAGAAAATTCTATCAGATTTTTCTAATAAAGAGTGCTCTTAATGATTTCTTTTTTCGCGAAACAATTTTAATTATTAATGAATTTTTACTTTATTATTAAAAAAATTTATATTATAAATTGGTTTTTTAAATAAATTAAGTATATAAAACTGAATGAAATGTATAGAGGCTGTTCAAATGTTATGCAAGCACCTTAGGGGTTCTCTATTCGTTTATTTCTTTTATGACAAGAGAAAGAGGGAGTCTGAAAAATGCTTTTATAAGACACTGTAGTTCTTTTACTGATATTGAAAATACCTTTTACTGAAAATACTTTATAAATTTTAAAAATTATTATTCATCAAGCAAATAAGTTAATGTGCATTATTAAGAACGTAGAAGGAATGGATGATGTAGAATTGATCAATAAAGAGGTTGTTGAACCAAAAAAAAATAATAATTTAATAGATGCTAATAATATCGTAATAACTGACATGGGGGAAATTAATTTTTAATATTTAATTTGATAATGGTTGAAAAAATTTAGAATTGTAAGATACCAAAAATTTTACATCATTTTAAGGAATGAAGTTTTATGTTGTAAAATGCATTTTTTTTTATGAAATCCATCAAATAGTCCTCAAAAAATCTAATTTTAAATTTACGACTTTTTTTTAAATGTGTTGATTAAAAAACTATTGGAACAATTGTGCAGAAATTTGCATTTTAAAATTATTTGTATCTTAAAAAAGAATTTTGTATCTTAAAAATGATATTAAAGTTTGCATACATCGCAATTAAATAAATTATTATTGAATATCTATAGAACTATTGAATAAAAAATAAATATGTATTAAAAATTATATTGTGCACGAAATTACTTTTTGACAAAATAGTTGTGCATGTCAGTTTTCCGATTCACTTAAAAAGTTTTCAAAGTACGGCAAAATACGCATGAATTCAAATTAACAGTAAGGAATCCAAACTTTCGACCGCTCTCCTGATCAAACAATTTAGGCTAAATTGTGTCTGCCTCCTACATTTTGAGGATCAAGAAACCGTAAGAAATATGTTTTTGTATCTGATTCTACCACTTAATTTATCATCTGTGCTAATTGATTAACATTTTTGAGATCTGACACTTGAACCATTACGGTTAAGTCATAGTACGTGAGTGAAAAATCTGATAATTGATTAGCATTTTTGAGATCAGACTCTTGAACCAGGTTAAGTCATAGTACGTGAAAATCTGGTTATTGAATCAAAAATTATAATTTGGTTCTTAATAGAAGAGGTTAAGTTAGACAGGTGGTCACCTTTTTTAATGTATTTAATGTTTCTTTTTCAGATGACGCAAACGATGCAGTAGAGATGCCTTTTCGTTTGACACCAAACATATCAAACTTCATAAGAAATGAAATAATTGGCCCTTTCAAAGAGGATATGATTTCTTCTGCCCGTTGCTTATACAGACGAGACCAAGAAATTTTATATTTTCTAAAGACATTGTGGAATAATCATTCTCTTTTCGAAATTTCACTTTTGGTGAGTGTGTTTAATTCATTTTAATTAAAATAATTTGGTGTTTTTTAAAATAAAAAATTTGCCTAAAATGCAAGAAGTCACAACATATTTTTGGCACATATACAACAGAGGCCATAGCTAGTAGGGGTAAGCAAGAGAGGACAGCTTTAGTCTCCTTTTGTCCGACGGGAAGCAGTGAGGAGGAGATGTGCCAGGGGGAAACTCTGTGAACGCCACTGAGGACAGGGGGAATATACAGGGGGGTCACAATACAGGGTATTTAAATAAAATTCCCAATAAATAAAGGAAAATGGTTTAATTCATGTGTGAGGTAAAGTACTGTATTTTTTTTCTAAAAAGAATAATTTTGTAACAATTTTTTTTAAAAAAAAATTATTTGCTTCATTTTAACTCTACTTTTATTTTGAAAATCAGTGCGGGTTTTTTTCTGAGTATTTTTGGAATACTCAGAAAAAAACTGTTCCTAAAACACCATTGACCCACTATATAATTATTATTTTTTATTGTATATAATTAGTTCCTCTCCTACATTTCTCTCAATATCCAAAAGACAAAGCAGGATTTTTGTATAAACTAAATAGGCTGCAGCTAAGGGTCACCGATACTGTAGCCCCCTACCTCCAAATTAAAATAACTTTTTTTTAAAGCTTAGCTTGAAACTGTTAAAAATTTGCTAGGGCCCCCGAAACTCAAAATATACGCGTCTTTCGCATTACTCTGCCCTGATCAAAATCTGCAAATAAAAAAATAATAAAAAATTCTTCCTCAATTTCCAGTAAATTGTTTTGCTAATTGTTGTCTGTTCCACACTTTTTGGTGTCAAATTTCTTGGACCATCCTTGTTTGCAAAGGAAAGCGTTTCTAAATTCGATAGGGTTTTAGATTTGATTGGTATCAGAACTTAGAACAGGAAATTTTTAATTGAAATTTTCTTGTATCAAACTTTCAGTTATTATTTTCTGCATACCATTTATAAATATTCAGCAATTTTCTGTGACCTCCTAAATTCTTAGAATAATGTAAATGACATGAAGGCTCCTGTTCCTGCTTGTTTAGTAAAAAAAATAATAACGTCAATTTGCTTTTGGTATATTGAAAATGGAGATGAACATGTAAGGGCCCTGCCAAAAGATGTTTAAATGTTTTCCTTTCAACATGTTCATTATTTTTGGAAAGAGCCAGAAATTGCATGATGCTATAACTGTATATACAGAAATCCCCTTTAGTCGACAAACTTGCAAATCTGTAGTGATACTTTAGATGTGAGCAGTATGGTAGGCTGTCCTGTGACAGGAGAAAGTTATTGACCCAGTTCTCTGACTCCTAACTTAGTACATCTATTACCCTGTAAACTTTTGAAGTTTAAACTTTTTTGCACATTTTTTTCTGATTTTGAAGTTGGAAGGATGTCCTGTTCAAACTCATTTCTATGATGATTCACATATGCACTTGTAAACAGTTTTCAGAATAACATCTATAGATTTTAACATTAGCTTCTTTGGCACTATCTTTAAGCTCTCCTAAAGAAAGCTTTCTTCCCGATTCGTGAAGCTGAGACAAAACTAGTGAGCTGAATGCCTAAACCAATAAAGCTATCAGATTTATGACTTTGAATAGATCACTAATTTCTGCTTTAAAGATATATATTCACTGTATTCACTTATCATGCTTTGTACTTGACCAATATCTGCACTGAACTCTGTGGGGCCTTTCATCAAAATATTGGACCCAGGAAATGCTTGGAGTAATCTGCATTCTGTGGTTTATATACTCTTTGATGTGTGTGGTGCTATTCAGTGAAAATGTTAGACAATATTTCCTGTTTCTCTGAAATTGTATTCCTCAATATCATTAATACAAATTTGTTTATGTTTTTATCGAAAAATAACAGTCAGACTGTTGAAAAGGGATTTTTCCGATGAGGAAAGTGTATGTACTTTCTCTTTTTAGCCACCTGTAATCATTTGATGAATATTTTAATCTGTAAAATTATATTGTACCAATTAAATTATTATGCTTCTTTAGGAAAATGAAGAAATATCTGATGAAGAAACATCTGATGAAGAAACATCTGATGAAGACACATCTGATGAAGAAACATCTGATGAAGAAACATCTGATGAAGAAACATCTGATGAAGAAATGGTATATATATTCTTTTTTATGTAATTGTATTAATAATTGTTTTTATGAAATTGTATTAATAAATATTTCTAATCTGTACACGATTTTATACACTTTGTTTAGGAAATTGATGTAAGAGAAGCTTCCAGAAATTTTGAGGAGATGGACGAAATTTTAGACGAAGCGGCAAATAGTGTTTTGAAAAAAATTAAAGGTAATTTAAGTTTTTGTGGATGAATAAGAATTGTAGCTTTTATTCATATCTCCTGCATAGGTATATTTATTTATCTTTGATCTGATCTCTCTCTAGCAGGCCATTGTTTATTGAATCATTAAAATGAAATTAGTGGTGGAGCTGTGTTTCGAAATGTTTTGGCCATCGGTTACCATTATAGTTAATTGAACCAAGTTTCCATATTTTAAAATACTGTTAGTGCTACAATTTGGTTCTACATTTTATTTACTTTCAAAGACTTCAGAAATACCAGGAAGCAAACTGAAGTTGGCTGCTAATATGTATTTCAATGTAACTCATCGTCATTTATAGGTTCATACTGTCATAAAAAGATATATTTTTATAGTCCAATTGGATAATTTTTCATAAAGCATTTAGAAAAAAATTGGTGTTAGGTAAAATAATGGGTTTATTTCAGGATAAAGCCTTTTTTTTATCAGAACAGATAAGCAACCAGAGAATTCGAACAATCTCTGAGCTGCAGAAGGTTGAACATCTATTATACTGTTGCATAAATATCTAGCCTCTGTTGCTTTCTGTTTGTCAACCATGTTCAATGTTGCTATCTGGCTAATTTCAGAAAGTGCTATATAAGATTCAAAACAACATTTTCCAACTCAAGCAACACCAGTAAAAATTTTGAACCTGGTATATTTTTACCTTTTACTTGCTTTGTGTTTCACTACAATTTATCAATGTCATGTTTATAAATTGTAATTAAATTAAATATATACTGGATAAAACCAAATATTTAATATACTATATATTCAGCAATAACCACCCTTAATATATAATTTTCGAATTCCTATAAAAATAAAGTGACCGAACTATGATAAAAAAAAAGCTATAGTAAAAAACTTGAGCAAAACGAAAACCTTTTTTTCCTTCTGATTAATCACTATTGAAATCAATAAAAATAAAGGAGAGAGTAGACTTATCTAAAGCCAATTTATTTGAGAGTGCAACTTAAATGTGGAATCTAGTAAAAAGTGAATGCATTCAAGTCTCAATATACAAATTAACTGTTTTTTATTCCTCACCAGCTCTTCATGACCTCTAAAATGATTAGTCAGAGTTAGGAAATACTTTTGTTTATTTTTATCTCCTAAACTCTTCAAATATGAAACTCCTAATTTGCTTTTTCTTATTTTAAATTTTTTTGCAAATATTCAAAAAAGGTGATCACTACACCCACCTTGCCCTAGAAATGTATCTTCCTTTGTAGTATCTACCTTTGCCTCTTCTTGCCTTGTGGTGCATGAGCCACAAGTTTCTGGCAACAACCTCTTTGATCCTTGGCTGCTTCTCTATTTAGTCGTCTTCTCTTTCTATGATCTCGTGCCCAAATAATGTTAGTTGTATGGAATCACATAGTTTTATTTTGAAGGATGTAACCAATCAAATTCCAGCATCTCATTTATAGATGTTTAGTTAAGAAATAGCTGTTTTTTGTGACACAAATCATTGCTATAAATTTGTTTGGACTAATGTATTTGTAGACTTTATATACATATGATTCAGAAAAATTTTGGTTTGGAAATCATTGATCTTGTTTTCCTATTTAGTATGTTGCTTGAAATTAAAATCATAAGATATTCAAGAAGACTTTGACTGGCATAGTATTGGGCGGCTTTGAGGAGAACTTCTCTAGACTAAAAGTCTGGGGCTGTTAGCTGCTGTAGTAACAAGCGAGAGCACATTTCTAATGGAGGAATGAATGTGTCTATTAGTTTACTCACACTGGCCTATGCAAATATCAAGACAAAACTATTCACCATAGCCTTGGTGGCTCAGTGCATTAAGCACCAACCTCCCAATGAGGTGACCCAGGTTCAATCCCAGCAATAGCTGGTCAATTTGAATTCCACATCCGGCTCACACCGACCACAGTGCCGACGTAAAATATCCTCAGTAATAGACGGATCATGGGTTAGAGTCCTCTTACCATCAGGCTTACCGTGGAAGGTTTTCGTGTGGTAACGCAAATGCAGGTTAGTTCCATCAAAAAATCCTCCACGAAGGCAAATCTCTCCCTATATTTGATTCAAGAATTTCCTTGTCCTCTGGATTGGATTCAAAACTACATGGCTACGTAGTTGAACATTAGTAGCTCATTCATGAGTAGAACATTCGTTGAACAAAACCTAAATTGGGTGGGCTGTTCAACGATAGTTGTAAAATAAAAATAAAAAGCTATTCACCACACACTTCTATTCAAAGTGACTTTCTTTTTCTTGTAACCATGGTAACCGCCACAACTCAAACAAAAAGTAATACATATAATCTAACAAAGATCACTTTAGTTGAGGCAATAACTTTCAAAATATTTGTTTTAATTGTACTATAAAACCGAACTTTACTCTTGTAATTTAGTGCAGGGCCGTACTGGAGGGGAAGGCGAAGCCAAGTTGTTGAGGAAAATGTAATGTGTGCGATATTTCAATGGGTACTAGTTTTAAAAAAAATGCTGCCTCAATTACTGCAACTCCATAACTTTGGTACAGTACTACTGCAGATTGCATCCCTATGGAGCCATCAGAAAACTTCTTAAATATATTATCAAAGTATTTTGAAGATGTTAGGAGATTGAGCGTCTTATAATCAAAAGTACTCTCTAGTTCTTTTTATGCTGTTTGTTTTTAATAATTTTTAGCGCTAATTGCTTCGCTTAAAATTTTTCAGATTTGGCAGACTTACAAAGAAGCGGCACTAATGCTGGACCCAATGAAGCAATACACCAATTAATTATATATTCCCAAAGGGACATACGTGACACAGCTTCCCTGTATAACTGGTGTAGATATAAATTCTGGTTATAATCAAATTTTCTGTTAAATTCCAATGTTGAAAATATAAGTATTTTTTTATGATATATCTATAGTGAAACTTCAAAAATTTTGAAGTTAAGTGTGAATAAAACACCAAGTTATTGAAAATGATATATCTACATTGGAACTTCAGTTATTTGAAGTTAAGTGTGAAAAAAACCACCAAGTTATTGAAAATGATATGTCTACAGTAAAACTTCAATTATTCGAAGTTAAGTGTGAAAAGAAAAAAAAACAAGTTATTGAATTGATATATCTTCAGTGAAGCTTCATTAATTATAAGTTAAAAACACCAAGTTATTGAAAATTCAACTTATAAAAAGTCAATTGAAAATTCTTTTCTATTTTAATCTATCCTGAGAAACAAAATTTTGTTAAGAGCAAATAACATTGTAAACACTTTAACGAGTTTTAACAAAACGTTTTAACTAATATCGTTTTCAAAATGTTTTACAAGATATGAAATCGATTTTAAAACATGAGTGCAAAGTACTTAATTCATTGCATCTAAAAAAAAATTATGATAAAGGATTACTATCTGAAAAGTAATCATATTTGTTTGTTTTATATTTTGAGATACTTTCTTGGCCAGGTAGCTGTCCGAAGGTCTCTTGGATATTTAAAGGAAGGACTTTTTTTTATGTTTTGAGCTTATAATTTTATTTTAAGCTTTATTTATGAAAAGGAATGAGTAAACAAAACAAAAAACTGAGCATCAATTTCTGTAGAACAATCGAGTTGTAATTTTTGTTTAAAATGATTTCGCATATTGATGAAATTTGATTTTAAAAAATAAAAAAATTCTAGTCATCGAAAAAATCAACTTTTTGAACTTCCAGTAATAGAAAAATGATTGCGCACATTTTTGCCAAGATTTTAAAATTTTTAGAGTTTCTAAAAAAATCAAGTTAAAGAAGTTTAACTATAAAATCAATGTAAATAATAAAAAAAAATTATGCTTAATGTTTACTTATCTTCTGATACTTATGGATTTTGACATTAGATTATTTATTGTTATACTCATTGCATTTCTGTGGGAGATCACAGGTTTACCAAGTTTTATTTTTTATTACATATTTGCCAATTTTATAACTACATATTTGCCAATTTTATAATTTATTCAGGGTTGGCTAGAAGTATCCCTAAGTAATGACTTATTCTTATGGATTTAGAATCTAATAGATTCAGATCTGCAGACGTGCTCACAAAAAGTGAAAAATTATTTCGTAGTTTTTATTATTAGAGAGATTTAACACTAATGTTTTGCATCCACTTAGTTCACACAATTTTATTAATTTAATTAACTGGGAGCATACAGTTTTGGAGAATCTGGTCCTTGGGTTTCATTATTAGAGATATTTAACACTATTTCATGCCCTCTTAAGTTCACATGTTTTTGTTCTAAGTAAATAGATCTGTGCATTTTTAAAGAGCCTGGTCATAGGCAGGTACAATTGCTTCAAAACATACAGACTTAAACAAGAGGGGATTTGAATTGCTAGTGATAAATCTCTCTGTTACTAAAACCTGTAATTGAAATTGAGTATGTCATGTTTTTAAGAATCTGCTCCCAGACATGCTAAGTAGGAATTCAGACTCCCTTTTAGAGGTACAAGCTTGAAGAATTTTAATCTGAACATAGGATTTACTTCGAACTCAAGATGTATATAGAGAAAAAACCCAAATTTTGCTATCTCAACACTGAACTCACGAAGCAAAAGGACTGAACAGGAGTAGCAGATCACTTAAATGTTTACCTTATAAATCTTAAATTTTTTCAAAATTGATGACTGAACCAAATGTGTATTTAAAAGCATTAAAAGAGTTTAGTCTGTGTCGTTTTTTTTTTTTGTTACCGAGTCAAAGCCCGTCTATTCTCTAATGTACCGTTTCTTCATTCCATGTAGGGAACCGATTATCCGGAACGATCGGGACCATCGCTATTCCGGATAACTGATTTTTCCGGTTTTCTGAATCGCTACAAAAAGCCGTTTTTTTATTGTTAAACACAACTAAAAAAAATTTTTTTTTGGAAATAATCTTAAAAAGAAGAAAAAACGATGGAGTAATACACTAATGATTATTTCCAAAATAATGGTAAGGTAAGCATCTTTCAAAAAAGAAAGAAAAATCTTAAAATCTTATGAGGAAAAAAAAAAAATTTGTTAAAAAAATGGCGGGAAAATTTATCGAATTTCGCTCCGGTTTTTTAGGTTTTCCGATTTCCGGATAATGGGTTTTGTACTGCATATGTATATATTAAAGTGCAAAGATTTAAAAGTGTTGCTAAACATTTCTTATCATGATACCCTGTGGAAAAGGGTTTTGGGCAATTTGCTTGAACTGTCCAAGAAAACTGAAATGGATAACCCATGGGGTAACAGTCTATTATATTTTATTGGAATGTTATGTGATAAGTCATTACTTGTGGTTGCTTTTATCCTAAGCACCCCGTATTATATTATAGTTATTTATTTTTAATTCTCATATCTAATTACTGTCAGAGTTGACAATTTCAGCTAGTTTGTACATTATCACCATTCATTATAATCGATATTTAAAATCTTTTGGGATAATACTGAGTGATTATATTGTACTATTATTCATTTGCTGACAGAGATTTTTACAATCAAGAAAAATTTGTATTTTATAAAAAAAACTAAATAATCCCAATCGCAAATGGCATTCTCTGTTCTTCTAGTGTAATTAAAATTGGATGCTATAATCAGTATTTTTCCTAAATTTTAGCATAATTTTGCATTATTATATTGTTTTTTTGTAAATACTCAGTTATTTTTGTTGTAATTTTCAATTTTTATCAATATTTCATAACTCTTTAATTTATCCATCAAATCATTATTTTGTACAACATTTTAATTTATGTCTAAACTGATTGTTTTAATTATAAATATTGTATATATGTTTTAAAGAAAATTGTTTTGTTTGTTTTTTTAGAAAATAAATTATTATATTTTTGTATTTCTTGAACATTTTATTTAATAATTATGTTGCACACCTATTTTAATGCAAATGCAACTTACAGAAATAACCACCTTTAATAACAGAAAAAAGGTTTAAAGATTAAGGGCTGCATATTAATATTTAAATTACGAAAATATAGAAATGCCATTGAACTATAATGAATCACCGCAGAAAAAGACATTTCATGAAAATTTTTAAAAAAAACCTGTTTGGAGACAGAAAGGATTAAAAAGGGGCTTTTTTGAAATGTCTCTATCATCAAACAGGATTTAATCTTTTTCATCCTGCCTTCCTCTTTTGTGACTCAACAGATTTCATCTTTGTTTTTGTTCCTTCGCTTAAGTATTTATTTGCCACCAATAAATTATACATTTTCTGTACTTAATTTTTGACAGGTGTTTTAAAAATATGTTATGGGTGATGATTATAGAACATCCTATATTAATCTGGTCTTTATTTTTCAAAGTTTGGAATATTTTATGAGATCAACCCATTATTTTGCTCCCTTTCATTAATACATTATTTCTGTCTAACTTATTCATTAAGTTAAACAAGTGCGATTTTCAAAATTCAAATTGAAAGTTCCCTTGAATTTTTCGAAAAACCGTCCCTATTCTAAACCGTATTAATTTAGCTTAATTTTAAAAGTGATGAATACTTGATCGTACGGGGTGTTGTCTTATGACCGCCGTTAATATTTATTTTTGGAAAACTAGCAAAAATGTAGCTCAAATATGCATATTACAGATTTTCAAAATTCAAATTGAAAGTTCCCTTGAATTTTTCGAAAAACCGACCCTATTCTAAACCGTATTAATTTAGCTTACTTTTAAAAGTGATGAATACTTGATCGTACGGGGTGTTGTCTTATGACCGCCGTTAATATTTATTTTTGGAAAACTTGCAAAAATGTAGCTCAAATATGCACATTACAGATTGCAAATTAATATTTAAGCTAGGTTATCTAATATATAACTACTTTAATTAATGAAATAATCTAACAAATAACTAATAAAATCATTAGAACCTACTTGATTTTTCAAGGAAAGTTGAAAAGCTACTTGTTGAAATCACTGGGTTTTATCAAACTGGTTTTAAGAATAAAAAATTTTACAAAAACCAAAATGATTATTCTTTAATATAAACCAAATTGCATTCTTTTTCATTTTAAGCATACAACTCTTCTACAAGAAGAAAATATTTTAAAGTTCAAATTACTACCATTTACAAACTTTATTGACCATTAAGGATAGCAAGGTACCCAATTGAGCAATTCTAGAAAGAATTTATTGGAATTAGTTCCAGGGTTTTAAGAGTGATGTTCTTTGGCGCCAGCTGTGAATAACACTTGGGTCCATAGTTAAACGCTTTAACCACTAAAACAGGGTATACAATGTGCAAAATAAAAAACAAACCACCCTGAATAACTTTTGATCTTCACGTTCTAGGACTCAATGTTAATGACTCAAATAGGTGTCCTCAAAATTTTAATTAATTGCAGGCTATATTTTTAGTTACATACAAAATCAGGCCTCAAAAACGTATTTTTTCTAAATTAACAGACCGCTTTATCGATGGATTTGGATTTAAACTCCAAAAACATAGGGGGTAGCCACAATCTGGGAAATATAGTCCCAATAGTTTGGTCAGGATGAGCACTTCAAAATTTTGATCTCTAAATATTAATTTTCCCATTTTTCGTATTTCGCTTTATCTCCAGAACTTTTCAAGCGAATTGAAAAGTTTTTGCACACAATTATAAAATTCGTTTTTACAGAGATAATGCCATGCAAAAAAATAACTTTTAGTAAATATTTATTTAATAATGGTTGAGAAAATTTTTAATTGTAAGGTACACAATTTTTTGCATCATTTTGAAGAAAAAATTTTACAAAATTTGAGCGATATCAGTTGAATAGTTCTTGACAATTCGAATTTTAACTATCTGACTTTTTTTAAATTAAATTTCTCTGGAACGTTTCAACCGATTTTGTACTTTGCCATGTGAAATTATATTCTTTAAAATGATGCTCAAAATTGTATACTTTACAATTCAAATTTTTTTAAACATTATTAAATAAAATAATATTTACTAAAGGTTATTTTTTGCATGGAATTATTTTTGGGTAAACGAATTATATAATTGTGTGCAAAATTCTTTAAATTCCCTTAAAGAGCTCTCGTGTTATAGCGAAATACGCAAAAAGTAAAATTAACATTAAGGGGTCCAAACTTCAAACCGTTCTCCTGACCAAACTATGTGGACCATATTTTTCACAGTACGGCTACCCTCTATATTATGGGGATCAGAAATCAAAAAATCTTGTACCCGTCATTTTACGAGTTTCCATGAAAAGTTTTTCTTAAGTTCTCGATAAATAACAACCAAAATTTATTCAGAATTTTTGGATAAAAATTAGAAAGATAAAATTGAAATTAGACAATATTTCTAGGCAAGGTGATTCATGTTTGAAACTTCTAAAACTTTTTTATTTATAAACCAATTTTAGTCTCACAAGGAAGACAATGATACCAAGCATCTTTTAAAACTATTAAAATTATGAATGCATATTTGAAAATATTTTAAAATGTACTTTGAAAAACTTTTAGAAAAGTTTTAAAAAAAATTTTTAAAATTAAGTGCAATTTTGACCACTTGATTTTTTCCCCTCATATTTAATAGCACAATTTACAATATAAAATATCAATCAAGAAGTTGATGCTCGTTTATAATCATTAAGAAAATAAAAAGTTGTTTTGAAAAAAAATAATTATATTTTTTTTAATAACACAAAAATAAAATTTTATGCCCTCAATTTATTTCACATGATGGTAAATGCTATACTTTTCAGCATAAAAAGCATGTTTCTTGTTTTTTGGCCAGTAGAAAACTGAAAAGTTGTTTTTAGCCAAATATTTCAAGATTATTTTTTTATTGTAAGGTAACCAAGTCCCCTAATCTTAATCATAACAACAAAAAAAACACCATCTTGAATATTTTATTTTTAAAAATAGATTTAACTTAATGAGAAAAAAAAACTGAGGTGATAAAAAAAAATTTCAAAAAAAATATATATACATACCCAGAATGCAAGCAATAATACCTAAATTCTAGTGGCCAAGCATGTTACATAACTATCACTTTTTCCTTCCTGATGCCACCAAAAGGGTGATTTATAAATAAATTTTAAAAATTATTGACGTTAAGAACACAATAACCACTTTTTCTAGTTACACGAATTTTTTGTTAGACTAGGATCCAATTTTCAAAATTGGATCCTCAGTTTTGAGTCGAAAAATTTGAATAAATTATTTCATATTTTTCACAAAGTGAACGTTTGACGTGACCATTCCCTTCTGAATCCGATTGTTTTTTCCCAAAAAAATGTGTATTTATTTAACTATTAAACATTCAAATTAACCAAAAAGGCCTCCGTAGATGATGCAATGGAAAACGATCCTTGATTGGCTATGACGTAGCATGTGCGGAATGGAAACGTGCCGTCTCCAGCCGCAAAGACTATTTTAATGCTCTTTTAGTTTTGATATCCCTTATCGTATGAATATCCTTTGTTATTCTATATTAGCAGGGCAGGATTTACGTATAAGCTAAATAAGTTGTAGCTTGGGGCCCCCAGATCCTACTTTCCCCCCTCTTTTTTTAAAGTTTCATTCGGAGCTGGGGCCCTCAGAAGCCCAAAATGCATTTTTTTTCTTTTTTACATTGTCGGACATAATAAATGTAAATAAATGACCGAATAAAACAAAAAACTTCGTTGTCATTAGTAGGGAACATATCATCTTTCAAGCAATTTGAGTATTAATAAATTATTTATAAATAAACTATTTTTTAGTTTAAAAGGTAAAAAAGTTTTTTTTTTGCCCCATCATTCGATCATCAGGCTGTTTAATATCTGTTTCTAAAGATCAGAATTCCCTTTTATTTTACTTTTTTTTATTTTAAAATTGTACAAATGATATATTTAATGCTTTCATGTGATATGCAGCAGTTTTAAATAGCACTTAAAAATATCTAAAAAAAGGACAGAAATTGTCAGTTCAAAAAATTAACTAATACTTTTGAATAAGAATTTAAACAACTACACACGTTTGTTTTGCTATCTCATTCTATGTAGCATTATTTAGAGTAGACAGTTGCGTGTGGGTGTGATGATGACGTAATAAAAAAGGCTTACATAAAAAGCAAATTTCATTTCAGTTAAAATCCTCAATATTACATTTTTAAACTCCTCAAAAATGCAGTAAAAGAGGTACACAAATTAACTGTCGCAAACAAATTAATATTAAGTAAGAACGAAACAAAAATTATATCGAAATATGCTGAATCACTAATGAGACCGGGATGAAAGACATCGAAACCTATTTGATTGAATAGTATAACTAGAAGGCGTTTCTAAAATTCTGAAATCTATCAGGCTTTATTTATTTATTTTTTTTGTCGCTAACTTTATCAGTAATTAAAAATAATAAATTCGTTAGATTTCAATATTGGTTCNAAACAATTTTTTAGTTTAAAAGGTAAAAAAGTTTTTTTTGCCCCATCATTCAATTCTACAATTGTAATTATCTAAAATTAATTGATATAAAGCTTTAGCGTGTTCCATTGATATGTTGAATGCTCGTTTTGGCGGGATGCCCGCGACAGTTGCACTTTCACATCCTAGCACTATACACCATCAAGAGCAGAGCTAATACTTTAAACCCGCATGATATTTATTCTCTCTGATATTTAATAGACCCTTAAATAAATTCTTAAAAATAAAAGGCAAAAATTTACATAAATAATGACAATTTTTTTTTCTTGCACTAAAAGTTAACAAATGTACTTAAAATAATTAAAAAGAAAGCAAAAATAATGAAGAAATACTTTCAATGTAAACATCAATTAAACAATATCAGCTTACGAAATGTTCTTTTTATTTTTACAAACAGTATTAATATAACGGCCCTCACCTGCTCCAGGGACTGCTGAGTTGGGTTCAAAATGACAAGGCTACGGAATTGATATTAGTAATCGTAAACTCGAAATTGGTCGGCTGTGCAACGACTGTTATAAAATAAACTAATAAATTTGACCGGGATAGCCTGGTTGATAGGGCGTTGGCCTCGTGTTCGTGAGAATGGGAGTTTGAATCCAGCCGGCAGAATACCCATGTTAAATCTGTCGGGGTCACAATGTCCTCCAAGTTCTCATAACAAATAAATACCTCTGGGTACTAATCTAGCAGTTCCCTTGTCTTCTGGATTGGGTTCAAAATGTCAAGGCTACGGAGTTGAATATTAGTAGTCGTAAACTCGAAATTGGGTCGGCTGTGCAATGACTGTTATAAAATAAACTAATAAATTTGGCCGGGATAGTCTGGTTGATAGGGTGTTGGACTCGTGTTCGTGAGAATGGGAGTTTGAATCCAGCCGGCAGACCTATACTAATACCTGACTAATAGCACTAACCTAACTTGAATGAGTAACATGCCATAACATACCTTGAACTTGAATTTTATCTTCAACAACTTTGATATATTCTTTAAAATTCAACCCTTCCTAGATATTCTCGTGTTTAAAAATTGAAAGAAGAAAAAAAAAAATTTTAAATTTTAATGAACTCATAAGTTGATTTCTAAACAACTGCCTGAATATTTTTGGAATCCTGGTCTAATATGAAGTAGGGTGTAACGAATATTCGGCCCTTTTGCCGAATATTTGGCCAAACATTCGACGAAATATTACTTAGAAAATTAATTTTCGCCAAAAAAATTTTGGGGAGAAAGTTTAATAGATTTAATAAAGAATAATCTAAAATTTTTACTAAACATTATTAGAAATAGTTTTTATGCATTAAACTTGTCAATTTATGTTCTGAAAGATACATGGAAAAGCGAAATTTGAAGAATTAAAACAAGATTATTTTATACTGAACCACGAATTTTGTAATGCTGATTTTTTTTTTTTTTAAATTATATTTAGTCCAACTTAATTTTATCATTTTTTCAACACGTTGTTTTAAAAATTAAGAACTTTGTTAGCTTCATTTTTGCTTGTTTTTCTGTTTTGACAAAGCGTTTCTAATAGACTTTAATTCTTTTAAAGACTTTTTTTTAGTTGTACAGTAATACAGATAACTAGTGACATATAAAACTTAGATTCTCAAAGTTAAAGTTATATTTCAGTAATAAAAACATTTTTCTGTTTTGCTTTTGAAATTTTTTTTAAGAGCGTTTTTATTATGACAGTATTTTTTTAAAAAACGTTATTCTTTTATGGTTACCTTTTTCTAAAAATATGACAATGTGAAAAAGGTTACATTAAGATTTTATCGAAAAATCTTTTGTTTTAAAATAAGGAACGATTTTTGTTTTGGTTTCTATCTTGCTGGAGTTGGATTTTTATTTTTTTCTGTTTTGCTTTTGCATACAATCTTAGTTTTTTATACTGCCATGCAATTGAAAAAACAACGTAAGTGCTTCATGATGAATTCTGAGAAAAGTAGTTTGCTAACTTTTTTCTTTCTATTGCTAATGCCATGAACGCTACGCTAAAATAGAATTTCAGATAACTGTGATAAAACAAAATTTATTTTAGAATTTCTTTTTTTACAAAAGATGTACTGTATCATACAGAGATGCCAAATATATATAAATCTCAATTTCGAATTTGTTTTTGTGAATTATGTTGATTTTACTTTGGCATGGAAGTATAGGCATTTTTATGATAACGCTGCATTTTTAAAAGCCATTCTGATAGACATTATCTATTTTAATGTTTTGTGGATTAATTTTTTTTTCCAGAAAATATTTTCAGTATATAAGTTTTTGTTTTAAGAATTAAGAGGATATTATATTTCTATTTTTTTTTAACTTTAATTTTTTTTAATAGCTTAGTTTTTATTTTAAATATTTCTAATTATCTTAACATCTAATTTTTTTTTAATCTTAAAACACTTCTATTAAAACTTTTTTTCTTCACTTTACTCCATACCAATGATTCATCTAAATTTTGATTATTTTTTAATAATGACTAAGCTTATTTCTACATAAAAAATATCTATTAATTATTATTTTTATTCTATTTGGCCAAATTACTATTCGTTTACATCCCTAATATAGTTAAAATTATTTGCACAATAGGGGCCATAAATATTTGGGTAAGAAAAAAGATGACAACATCATTAAAAACTGGTGAATAACTATTGCAGTATAAGGTAGAATTAAAAATATCAAAATCGGTTAAGTGCAAGGTTTCGAAGAAAATTTTTAATTATCGCATTTCACCTCTCTATTTTCTTAGGTAACGAAATAGGTTCTGATGTTTTTAATATCTCCTTCATTAGGTTTTGGTAACTTTTTCTCGCTTAAATATTAAATTTACTGATTTTGTATACGCCTTTTCAGCAATAAATTTAAAAATGCATTAAAAGTGATAAATTGTCCCAAATTTAAACTGAGATTCCATAAGTATTAGACACAAGTATCTATGTTAGTGCACATAAACAAAGAACAACGCTATTAATCAAGAATTTCTTTAATGGGACTCACAAATTTTATGTCTGTGTCTTCCAAACTGACTTGACACAGATTTTGACAAATACAAATTTCTGACTACATAAACAGATTTACATATCAATAACTTAAAACAAACAAACACTTGTTCACAAAAATGGAGAAAAATCAATCTTTGGTAAATTGTGTATAAGCTGTACACTATGACGTACATAAACAGTTATAGAAATCAGGGTGCTGCAATAATACATAGGAAAACAACAAAATTATCAACATCTCAGCCTTTTCTCCCCGTAAATCTTCAAGAACATGCTGAGAGCAACTTATGTAAGTGATAGATATCACTTACATAAGTTGCTCTCAGCAATGTAAGTAAAATAATCAATACTTTATGTAACAATACATGTATTTTTAATCTTCCTAAATCTGAGATTCTCAAGCCGAGAAAAAAGAATTATCTATACACTACTTTGAAAAGTTTAAAAGCTATCTCCATGTTGTCTCCATTCATTCTAGTTACTTTTGCCATTATCATACGCGTTATGACAAAATTTGTTAAAGAAATAGATGCGTCGAAAATAACAGCTAATAACAGCGTAGTCAAATTATTCAACAAAAAATAAGCACTGAAAAATATTTTTAAGCACTTTAAAAAAAATATCATTAATTAGGCAGGGTTAGAAAGGTTTTGACAATTGACAGTTTTATCTTGATTTAACCGTCATGTCAAAAAAAATAATAACTCTTGGCATTGTTTTTGACAATCGTCAAAAATCAGCAAATTTTGAATCGGGGTAAAACGAATGGCGTTTTCATACGCAACGGACTGACAATACACCGAAATAGATTGGAGTTGAAGTAATTGTGAAAACGTTGAATAGAATAATGTGAACTGCGTCTTTTTGCATAATTCGAAGTGAAAATCGACATAGTAAAGGAAAAATCTCAATTAGAAAAAAGGGGAAATTAAGCACTTCTTAAACACACCCAATGAAAAAAGCAGGCTTTTAAAAATCAAAAATAAGCACCTTTAAGCGCTTTTTAAAAACGCTACACACCCTGTAAATGACAAGGTAGGTAGGTGAAGGTTTAAAGTATCATTTTAGTAAATATGAGTTAGTTATTTTTTAAATTTACATTGACAATAGAAAAGAAAGAATATGCCCAACCTTAATTACTTTTCCATAATCTTTTGATTGACGAAACGACATTAAATAAAATTATTTGGTTCAAGGCGTTTGCACTATCGGCATTTTAATTTCTGCAATTCGAAATTCCTTTTAAGGTTACTTGCTAGCTGCTTACTGCCGAATGCACACTAAGAATGCTTTTCCATTACAAAAACACCCAAGGCTTTTTACTTAGCATTTTCAACTACTGAGATCCATGAAATTTAAATACTTGAAAAAATAGGCTTACATTCTATACAGATAAAAATAAAATCTTCGAAGAATAAAATCTAAAAATCGAACAAAATAAAATCTTCTGAATAAGTACTTTTCTCACAAAGTTTGTAAATTATGAACTATTCTCGAAGTAGATGCAATTCCAGAATATAAAAACTAGATTGAATATTTGCAATAAAATATAGATACACACTTATTTAAATTTGTGTTATTTCTACAAAAAATCAATTTTTTTAAAGAAAAGTTTAGTTCAAAATAAAAATTTATTAAAATTGAATTTTTTGACATAAAACAATCTGTATTGCAAACACTAAATCAAAACTGTAACTAAACTGTTTTATACTGTAACATAGGGAGAGCAATCAAACTTTTAAAGAATAATCAACAACCAGTTAGCCAAAGCTTGTTTTAATATCTAAGCACCACACAAATATTTAAAGCTTGTAAAACCAGATATACATTTCAACAACTTTGAAATACAGTAAATGCAATATTTACAACTGGGTGCAAACATAATTTCACAACCATTAAAAATATATATATTTATTTATAAAAACTGTTTTTAAATTTTAACAACCTTTGATTAAAAAAAAAATTCCATTACAATATCACAAGAGTTTGATGACAAAATTATTTAGATACCTTTACCGTAAACAGCCAATAATCGTGAAAACAATTATATAAAAATTCAATCAATTACTTGAGTCTATGTATGTATCTAATGATCCGGAGAATGTCGACGAAGAGGTTAATAATATCGAGGTACAAATTCAAAACAGCAAAAATGTATTCTTTAGGTGAGATAGAATATTTGTGATGACCTCCAATCAAAATTTGAGTATCACAAACCAAGCACTGAAAAATAATCAATATTTAAAAATATGAATAATTATATTCTATCTAGAAAAATATATTTAGTGCATCCACAAATTCAAAATATATTTTAATGAAACTTGATAAGGAATGAATATGTTCAATATCAATCTATCATTAAGGATTTGGTTCGTATAAAAATTGGGGGTGGGGGGGGATTCAACTAAGCTTTTCATGTAAATGATCCAATGAAATATAAAATTTCCAAAATAATTTTTTTTAATTATGCCTAACCTTTTAAACAATAAAATATAAAATGCTAGCTTCATGTATAATATAGGGATACAAAAATTCAAAAAGTGAAGAAACTAAATTAACCCAATAAGACATGTACATGTTAAGAAACTATTAGGTATAAGATTACAAAACAAGAAAAATTATAGGAAATTAAAAAATAAAAAGAATGTGTTTCGGACAAAAATTTGAAGATTACTTTGTGTGCAGCAAATTTTTTAACAAGATAATTTTTTTAACAATAAACAAGAGAATTGATAAATCTTAGGTATATCATTAGGAAATGAACGGGCTAAAAAATATAGCATTCAAAAAAATTTCAAATCACCTTGAAATAATTAACTGTTACTAAACAATATGAAATTTTAATTAAGTAAGATTATACCACAATATAAAACAAATGAGCAATATAAATCAGGGTACGGAGCCAAATTATTCAATACAAACTAAGCACTTTTCAAGCACTCAAAAAATATTTTTTAAGCACTTTAAAAAAATATCATAATTAGGCAGGATTGGAAAGTTTTTGACAATTGACGATTTAATCGTGTTTCAATAGTCATATAAAAAAAAATTTGGCATTGTTTTTGACAATTGTCAACAATTATATAATTTTTAATCATGTAAAACGAATGAAGTTTTCATACGCTACGGATTGACGATAAGCCGAAATAGATTGGGGCCGAAACAATTGGGCAAATGTTGAAACGAACAATTTAACCTGTGTCTTTTGCATAATTCGAAGCGAAAATCAACATAGTAAAGGAAAAATCTCATTTTGAAAAATGGAAAATTAAGCACTTTTTAAAAACACCCAATGAAAAAAGCACCTTTCAGGGCTTTTAAAAATCGAAAATAAGCACCTCTAAGCACTTTTTAAAAACACTAAGCACCCTGTAAATATCAATGATATAAATAGCAAAACTGACCATGTAAAACGGGGTTTAATTGACAATACTTAATAAAAATTAAACAGTAAATGATCCCCTAACACAGTGTTTTCCAAAGTGAGGTACGCGTAAACCCAGGGGTATGGGAACAGTTAAGAGGGGGTACGCGTTCTTATGCAAAATATCTTACAACAAACGAAACTTCAAAAAATTTTGTTTAACAAAGCTAGCCATGGAAATTTACGATTACGTATTTTTGTATTGGGTTGTTTTTTGCAAAATAACAGGTAATAATTAGTGGCGTCAAAAGCCAGTTTTGATTCTTAACTTTTGTGTAATTTTTTTATCACAGCAAAAACAATATCCAAAAAAAGAAAAATAAGCATATTTTTAAAAAAAATACATTCAATTTTTTATTCGTGGTAATTCAAAAAATTTAGAAAGGGTAAACAAAAGACATAAGTTTGGGAAACACTGCCCTAACAAATCACATTAAAAAATTTAAATTAACAACACCTGACATTATTATATATTTTTCCCCCAATGCCCACCTGGAGAATGACCTTTCGTTGTCATACAGGCACCTGAAGGGCAGATTTGCCCGCCACTCTTTCAGGGGTACCATATTAGGTGGGCCAACGTTGCTCCAACAGTAAGGACAGATAGAACAGAGAAGGAAAGAACATCTATTCCTTGCCCAGGATTAGAACCAAGAACCTTTCTGACGCCAGGTCAGTTCCCTGACCCCTACACAGGCGGTCGTTATAATATTTATCGATTGAAGGATTATAAACCTTGTGTCTAGTAGATCAGCTACTACCGTACTTTAGACGGCAAAGAATGTTAAACACAAAAATGGACTTACGTATAACTTTTTGCATCATACATGGAATCACACACATAGATTTAAAAGACTAACAGCTAAATTGTAAACAATTATCTTTACTTCTCATTAAATCACATTTTTAGAACCTAATCATTGATGACATAAATAAAATTCATTATAATAATTTTTTTAAGAAATTTACCACTATAGCAACAAATAGAAAATTGAAGAATAAAAAACATATCGTGCTGTTTAAACACACATTTAAAATAAGGTAATGCAGTACTGGATGCTATATGAATCATAATGCAGGAATTTTAATTACAGTACATCATGTAAAATTATTCTATACCATAGAAAATATGAGAGCACCGACACAAGTATAAACCAGATGTACAATCTAGAAATGAATGATATGATCAATAAAGTATGGATAATTCTGATTTGGTACGTAACATACAAAGTAAGTATTATTAGAAGATATAATGAAGGGAAAAAATGACAAATACATACCTTATCATGAAGGAAAATAGCCAAAATTCCAAAGATAACTAAGCACAACAGAGCCACACACAGAAATACTCTCATCATGGTAAAATCATACTGTTAATGAAAGACAACATTTAAAATTTATGGGAAAATAATGATATAAAATTGAATAAATTAAATCCAAATATTACCTTGGTTTGAAACGCAAAAACAGTCAAACCCAAACATATAAACTAAATAGAAAGAAAAGTCAAAATTATTATTATTATTATTTTTTGGTTGAAAAAGGTACATATTGAGATTTTACTTTGCAATGAATTATGTTTCACTTACTGCACAAATTCCAGCAGCCCACATGACTTCCTCAGCTTTAAAAGTGCTAAAATAAGATAAAGACATTATCTAAACAAGAAACTAGTCAAGTGTTTAAAAAAAGCAAAAATTAATACTAAATAGATAAATATAATACTTCCTGTTTTTTATGGAAGTACAGTGGAGCATCGTTTATACGACGATCACTTATACGACGTTTACATTTATACGACGTTTTAGTGTGGTCCCAAATCATTCCTATTCATTTTAATGTAAAAATACATAGTTTATACGGCGCACAGAATCGGTTATACGTCGGTTTTTCGATTTTGTTCACGTTTATTTAATTTTTTATTTTTTCTTGTGTATTTAAAAAAGGGCGGCATTTGCCAACATGAATGATACAGAAAAGGGTGCCAACAAGAATGCTTGGATGACGACCGTAATTTTTACTAGATGACTGAAAAAACTAGACAATATTATGAAGAGGCAAAAACGAAAAACTTTGCTATTCATCGACCAATGTCCAGCGCA